TCTTCCATAGCGTCTGGAAAATCGTTTCAAAATCACGACAGAGAAGATGGAACGAAAAGGGGAAACGAATGAAATCAGACTGGCAATTTTAAGATTTTGAAGAGACTGTGATGAAACTTAGAATTTTTAGGTTTCACTTTTTTAGTTTAAATGTTACTTGTTTGAGGCAACACTATTTTTAGCTATATGTCGGAAAACTGACTGAGTTCTGCGCACCAAGGAACTCACTCTGGATCCGCCCCTGATTCATAGTTTTCTTTCGTTTTCAGCAGAAATTGCAAACAGTGACCCCTGTGTTTTAAAACGTTGTTTTCAATGGTAACATGTCAAGCAACTGTTCTCAAGCAATTGACGAACGACGAACGAGGACTGAACACTGTGGCATCAAACTATCTTGCTTTATATCTTTAAAAGTAATTAATGTTGGGAATCGTTTAAAAAATTTTTATATTATCATTTTATAATACTTCTCCAGCAGAAACTGTCTGTTCTTTTAAGAAAAATCAATACGCAGTTTTGGTTGAAAATTCCTCTATGCCCTTATTAAAGACTCGTCAAGCTATTAACCTGCTGATAATCGTTAAATCGATATCTTCTTGAATCATCGACCACATAAAGCCTGGTTTCCATATAGCCTTAAGGCTGCCTGCGACTGCCTGCGACTGCTTTCTCCCATCTTCCATCTTCCACCCTTACAGTAGCGCCGGCAAATAGAAACGTTCTGTTTTCAATTGCCTGCGCTATCGGTAACTATGCCGGTAACTTGGTAAAGTTCTAGCGGGAAAAACTGGCGGGCAAAATTCAACAACAAAGCCCTGTTTCAATTGGTTCTTGCACATCACATGATCCGTTTGAACAAAAGAATGCCGCAGGCAGCCGCAGGCAGCCGCAGGCAAGGCGTTTCCATTTGTAATTTGTCTGCCGGCGGTACCGGGAGGCTGCCGTAGGAGCCGGGAAAAGTTGAACTCGTTCAACTTTCTCCCGGCTCTCCCGGCTCTCCCGGCAGTCTTACGGCACTTCAAACAGCTGCCTGCGGTACCGTTAGAGAGCGTTTCCATAAAGAATTATCTGCCGGCGATACCGTAGGGATGGAAGATGGAAGATGGCAGAAAGCAATCGCAGGCAGCCGTAGGCAGCCTTACGGCTATATGGAAACCAGGCTTAAGTTTGAACAAATTTATCCACCAAGTAAAAGCAGTTTTCAAAGGAGACACCTATTTAGCTGCTTAAAGCGGAATTCACACTAGATGCATTTCTTTGACGCTGCCCATATCAGGTTCGCGTTTTTTACGCGATGCGCGCAGTTCATTCTTTCAGCGTTTTTTCAACGATCAATAGCTATATAGAGAAAGTTGATGGTTAAAATCCTACAGACTCCATGGTTTTCATACAAGGACCTTCGAGTCTGCCTGTAGAATAGCAGCAATAAATCTAGTTTGCGAGGCCAAAACGTCAGCCTTTTGTCGACGTCAGCCTGTTAAGAAACGAACCAGATATCTAAAATCAATATTTAGTCGAAGTAAAAAACAGTTTTGAACAACTCGAATGCGATTGAGAATTTTGAACAAGTAATTGCGAAGGAAAATGGAAGAGGTAAGGGAATCACGAACACTGATTTTTTTTAGATCAGCGATCACGAAGAGGAATCTCCTTCGCAATTTCTTTCCCCCGTTCTTCATCGCCTTTGCAATTCTTTTCCCCCGTTCTTCATCCTTTGACTCTTTGAGGCTCTTGCACCCAGGGTAAGAGAAAATAAGCAAAAATAGATGAAAGAGAGTATCCTGAAACTGATGGCTGAAAGAAGGGCAGTCTGAAATAAGAAGTCTACTAGATACAAAGATATGACATACATGAATCATGGTAGAATGCAGGACAGCCAAAGAAGATTGGATAGAATCCTAATGTATATCTTGAAGACCTCGAAAATAAGAACTTGCAACTGATGTACTTGAAAATCAAATGCATGACAAGAGACGGCCGGCCAACCAATACTGTATTGAAAAACAAAGACGGTAAAGTGGTTATGGATCAGCAAGACGTTTTGGACAGATGGGCTGAATACATCAGAGAACTGTTCAATGACAACGCAAATTTGAAGGTCACAACAGTTGAGAAACTTCTGGAACAGAAATTGAAGCCGCTCTTGAAGAGATGAAATCTGGAAAATCAGCGGGTGATGGCAATATCACTACAAAGTTTCTGACGGCATGCAAAGAAATAAGTATTAAGAGAATATGTTTACTAACCTACAACGTTTACGAATCAGGTATAATGCCGAAACAATTGAAAGAATCTGTGATTATCCCACTTCCGAAAAAAGGTGACCTACTTGAATGTGGAAACTATCGGCTAACTAGTCTTATGAGCCATATCACTAAGCTAATCTTGAGAGTGTTAATGAGACGTATAAGAAATAAAGTTCTTCCAAAGATAAACGATGGACAGTTTGACTTTCTGGCACTCGAAATGCAATATTCCTGCTAAGATTAATTGGTGAACGAGCATGCAGAAAGATGTCCACCTAGCATTCATTGGCTACGAGAAGGTCTTCAATCGAGTTAAGCATGACATCCTCGTGGATGATCTCAAATCACTAGGCATTGATGGTAAAGATCTTCGGTTGATGAATAATCTCTACAACAAACAAGTAGCTGCCATTTCGATAAACGGAAATTTAAGTAACTGGGCTTCTATTAACTGCGGTGTACGACAAGGATGTGTTCTGTCGCCTGGCCTTTTTCCGCTTTATGCCGAAAACATTTTGCGTCAAACGATTCAAGCAGAGAGCTTTAAAATTAATGAAAGGTCTATCATAATCATCAGGTACGCAGACGACACTGTCTTGATTGCTAACAATACCCAAGATCTCCAGAAATTGATAACATCTTTACAGAAAGAAAGCGTAAAAAGAGACCTTTTTATCAACAAAAGGAAAACGAGAATTATGGTTTTGACCAAAAAACAAGTAAACCCTAAAAATGAGATCCTTTTACACGGAGAAATGTTAGAACAAACTGAACATTTTGACTACCTTGGCAGTACTGTAACGTCGGACTGCAGAAGCGACAAAAAAATTCAAAAGTAAAAAGTCCTGGCAAAGAATGTGTTTATGGATAAGAAAAATATCTTCACAGACAAGAAACTAAATATAGCACTGAAAGTTGGACTTCTGAAATGGTATGTATGGTCAACTTTGTTCTATAGCTGTGAAAGCTGGACATTGATCTAAACTATATAGGACACCAAAACTTAACCATCTTTACGAATAAACTACATTTTTGCAAATCATTTTTAGGGTAACCTTTTTTAGAGAATTGCGAATTAAAGATTCAAACATACACTGGATGCCAAAGGCTTAAGAATTGAAAAAATATTAAATTAAAAAACCATTGCCCCCTTTTGATACAGAAATTACAGGGAATGTTTTATTTCTCACAGAATCACTGCCATGTCATTCATCTAATTTTTTAGAGTGATGGCCCCAAAATTCTCAAAAATGTGCAGAATTATTGATTGTGCGAAAGAGCCAATCAGATGAAAAATTTATCCTTCTCAAAGAAGGATTGTGTATCACATCACAAGTCATTGTTGGCGAAATCAGGATAGAGAGACCTCTCAAAAAAGGCTCCTGGAAATTTTCTTTTTTCGTATCATACATTTTATCGTCATAAATATTCTATATGATCCTGGAGAATTCGCGTCTTTTTATATTTGTTTTTCCTCGTGTTCTTCTAGTAATTCATCTTTACTTATCTGTTCCCTATCTTCTAGGACAGGTGCTAAAAAATCATAAAGTTGTTTGATATTTTTAATACGATATCTTATCTACACGACAGATAACATCTTCAGTGTGAATAGCTACCTCCCTTTTTTGATTAAATATGTTCCAGCTAAATGGATTGAATTGGAATTAATCACTCTTGCTTTCTTCGGTGATTTTGTACGCTTTTTGACAGTTTAAAGTTCAGTAATCTCTCTGATTACATGAAACTATTTGAGCACTGTTTGTCAAAACAGTAGACTTCTTCGAATCCTCTGAAACTTTATTGATCTTAAAAATTACAACCTTTTTATTCTTTCTGTATATTCCAAGCATCATAAAAATTTTGTTCAGATGATTATATAAATATACAGCAGACTGCTACTGTGACATCAAAGAAAATGGAGGAAACACTACAATAAAAGCTTGCCAATTTGTCTAGAGCACCCTCCCCCCTCCACTCCAAAACGTGGTCCGACATCCCTTTATTGTTTGAGCCACTAATGAAATTCTTTGTTTATATGAACAATGCCATTTTTCTATTGTTTTTAGACAATGGTGCCCTTGCTATCCTTCTCAACGACGCTGAGAAATAACGACATTCAGTTTCCTTTTTGCGAGTCACACTAAACACCCTGTGTCCTACCGAGATTCTAAGTAGTTTGTTTGGCAAATAAGCCCCTGCACCTATCACGTTCTGCCCAAAGACTTGCTTCGCTAAATATGACTTTTTTATAACATCTTTTGAAGGATAGATAGAAGACGATAGTTGAATTTAAAACGAAAATGGAAGGTAGGATTCCACAGATAGGAAAAAGAGGGTCTTGGTAAAAAGGGTCAGCGTCAGAAAGGACCAACTTTATAATGTTTGGACCAAACGTCATTATGGTTGTTATTGATAAGTAAATTGCAAAAATACATAGAAATGCGTATGTAATTTCCTTATCAGTATTTGATTTTAATACATTTTGAACGGTGTTAAGTATGACTCAAAGTAGCGATAGACTTAATTCCCTGACTGGAGTTGACAGGGACGGGTAGGAAGGGCTGGCGTCAAATTAAGACTGGCATAAAAGGGATCGGTTCCCTTATATCTATACTATATAGTTGGAACAATATAAGCCTCAATTTCACTTCAGCTCTGTGCTCTTGGGGACTCCACAGCTATTATCAATGGTACTAGAGGAATTAAGAAGAAGTAGGATTGACCTTACGGAACTGCGTTTTCTTCTGTTTGTAGAAAGAGAGTCATTTACACTCAAGGCAATCATATTGGCCACGATATGGTAACTGAAGATATTGTCAAAGAACATCGTACGTTAGATCATAATATCTCGAATCTAGAAATATTGGCAAGGAGGTAACGAGAGATCTTGTTACAATGCGGTGCAGATCTAACAATAATGCAGTGCAAACGATACAACCATTGAACCAAGGAGAAAAATGCGAAATGGCTCTTGTGCTACCAACGAAAACGGCACAGTTTTCTTGACAAATAAACTGTAGTTGAAGACTTGAAGCCCATTGTATATTTCAATTATTATTGAAGCAACGTTTACCTCGTTGTAATCAAACGTATCGATATTTAATTTTATTAGGTTATATGTTTTTATTAGTTATAGTTTATTTTACTTGGTAAGGGGAAATTATGAAAATTACATCCGGTTACATCCCTTGGAGATTCTCACACCTTAAGCAATTATCGTGGCTCCTCCGAAAGGGGTTCCCCCTCCAAACTTTTGATAATTTTCTTCTGCGGCTAACAAATGTCATATTTTTGAGAAGTTCTTCTAGGACTGCCAAACGTCAAACTTCTGATAATTTTATTGCAAGAAAACAACCTTCCAGATGACTGGGTAGGTCTAATTGTGTAAAATAATATTTGCCTAAAAGTTGGTGCTTCTCTCCTCGATTAGCTCAGCTACTTTGAGAGCTTCTTCTCAAGAACTCCCCTACATGCAAATACTTAAGTCGCGTTGCCTTCATTTGCTTCATGCATATTTGTTTGTGTCTGTGTGCTTTATTTGTAAGCAGTGGAATTTAGGTCAAAGAAACTGAACTGAACTGAAATACCATTTCCATCTGAGGATTAACAATGCTAATTCAGGTGATAATTGCTGTGAGTCTACTGAAAGTAAACAAATGTTTCACTATTGTCTTTTCTGGGTGCATTTCTTTTTGAATCAGAATTGTTTTCTGCACTCTAAACTGGATTTTTAGTTATTCGGCTGGCAGACATGCGGAAATATTCTATATATCGTTCCAAGCTCAAATTTTAATCATCCGATCCTTCCTGGTATTGAGAAACCACAACGAAAACATTTTTAACAGTAATAGAAGAGAAAATAATCCTATTATTTGCCAAGGTTAACACTTGTGGTCATCTGCCGTCATGAAGTAGCAATTTAGGCCCACGTGCTGAGACCACGCTCCCTCCCACTCCCACTCCTACAACTCTGAGAGAGAAATATCATCAGCTCACCTTTCATTAGCTTTATTGATAAGTCCCCACAAATACAGCAGCGAAATAAAAAGCCATCTTTCTAGTTCCTACATTTATTCTTTTGTTGGAAATATACACTCTTACCAGACTGTCAAGATACTGTAGAACATTCTAGTTTAATCTCTCATATCATTCTAGTATATTCGTAGTATTAGTTCAATTCTATTTTCTGCATCAATAAGTACTTCCGCTTTCTCAAACCTTCTGGAACGATACTTTTATAGAAACTTCTAGAACATTACAATACACATATAAAAGAGCATTGCTTTATTAGGTTAGTTAGTTGTTCATAGTATTACCTCTGCGTTAATCAAACTGCGTTAGTCTGTGAACACCTTCAACATATTTTTCATAAGAAACAAATGTCGAAGACGAAAATCAAGCTTATTAATGTTGCTATCCATATTTTTAATGTTTTTGGAAGGGACAGAAAAAATTAAAAATGTTGCCAAAAAATCGTTTGACTTTTAATTAGCCGGTGAAAATTTTTTAAGCGTTTTATGTAGCTGTTTATTTTTATAATGTTAGAACCCGAATCCTTTGGGGTATCTTGGTGAGTTTGTTAACTGTAGAAGGAAGTTTTATGGTAATGCTTTCAAAAATTTTAGCATCGATGTCCATTGATTGCCCCGTGCACATAAACGTAGGAAGCAGGGGGCAAAGGGGCTATGTGTCCCCCCCCGCACTTTTCAGAAACAGTGGTAAAGTACTTTCTTGAAGCCTACAGAGATGCCCTTATTTTGACTACATGTGTCCCCTCCCACTTTTAAAATGCTTCCTATGTCTATGCCTTGTATAAATCGATTAACTTCAAAGTAGTTTTTTCTCTTGATAAAGGTTAGGCAACTCTCCAGTTGTGTTTCACCTCCATTCATTTGCAAACAGCTCTTCATTTCGCCCTGTTGCCTGCCTCACTCTTTTGCATCTTTTGATTAGAAACTTAAGTAAAATCATCAATGGTTTGCTTTCTATTATTTTTCAGGAAAAAGAAAAGTTAAATTCCTTTCACTTTATTTACTCTTGACAATTTATGCAGTTGCCTTCCTAAAAATTACTGCATCATCGGGTAACCTTCCTTTAGCCGTGAACTCTTTGGGCGAGGGGAGCAGTGAAGCTTCAATTTTTCTTTAAAATTTTCCAGTAAAGTCTAGCTGAAAAGGTATGTCTACCTAGTCTTCCCGATCAAATTTCAGGAAAAATAACTTGTTTCACCAACAAGCATCAGAATAGATCTTACAACACTTTTTTCGATGAAATTGGAACAAATATGGTTTTCCAGAAGAACACAGAGAAAACAATTTAGACGGTGGGGCCTTTGTCTCTTCAGAATTTTAATGTGACGAGTTTCGCGGAGGCACAGCTTGGACTAGATTGTTAAGGGAAATCCCAATACTTCTGAGGCCATGGCGATCGATAATCTTTCTGCAACTGAAAGTGACAGAATTTCAGCACTATTTCAGAAATTCATATGTCGTGAAAGTCTCTGTATCCGAAGTTAGATTTGAATTTGATTTTGGCAGAAATATGCTTATTTTGTAGAAAATTTTGAAATTGCACCGTTGAAGAGGAATATCATCCAACATGGATATCATTGGCGAATGCATTCAATTTTAGTGAAAAGCGCTACAATAGATACATAGAATTGCCTTACTCCTGCATTGTAACATGTTTAGTCCCCCACATCAATCCGTAATATGTTTCGCAGTCCCTGATTCCAGATCATTAACTTTGTTATATTCTTTCTCGGTTTATATAGATAACAACGATGTACAGTACTGTCGAGAGGGTGGGGTGGGGGGGGGTGAAGTCGGTATAAATTCCACGGGTCCGGGTCTCAAGAAGGGCCCGCAAAAAGTTTTGCTAATGCTGAAGCGCCCTCTTGCCCCTGCGCCAATACTCCTGCACAAAGTCCATGTTGTTTATAGCCCAAAAGCCAGAGCTGGCTCTCGGCGGGCCTGACGATGTATAAATTATTTCTTAGCTTTAATCTTTTTATGACCCTTAAACTATTTCTTTATCATAAATGTTTTTTATTCTTAGTGAGTTTTGCTGCGAAGAGAGGCCTAAATCAACCGTTGTTGTGATTAGATTACGTGCCGATAGAACTTTTAAGATTATTGGTTAGTTGCAAAAACTGAAGCATTATTTTGTTTCAGATTTGTACAGATTGCATACAAGATATGCAAATGAGTTTTTAAAATCAAACTGATGTTTATACGTCATTGTTTGATATTTTTTCTAATGCATACCAACCGGGATCCAGGTAATGTGAGGCTCCCCAACTTTCAAGTTTGAATAAATTTCCATTGGTAAGGCTTGGAGTTCTTTTTTGTTTTTTTCAATTTCAGATTAATTCGGGTTTATTGCATTGTGTACTAAAGTTTTTTTTAATACATCCCGAACGCCCAGCACTCATTTCTGGTAGGAAGTTTTTTTTAATAAAAATGAGTATATGTTCTTTTATGGAGTAACGAAGTGTGACATCATCAAAAGTCTATCCTTAAACCTTTCTAATTTTTACCACATAATATTAAAAATATCTCTCAATATGCAAAATCAGTTCATTAGATATGTTCGAAATTTGGCGAGATATGGCCAATGAAAGATTTCAAATTTGCTAATGGATTACTGTTATTCTGTCCTGGTTCATAATAAAGTTAAAGTTATGGACCAAGACCAAATTACAGTGCTTTGATGGGGAAAGATCCTGGGCTGATGTGGCCATATTTCAGCCAAATTGTAACATATTCAACTAATTTTGCACATGTAGAGGTATTTCATAAACTTTTTTGGGTTATACTGCCAAAATTTAAAGATTCTAAAAAAGGTTTTTTGTGAAGTCATCACTTGACAACTTAAAACTTCCGCTCAACACCTGCGCGTTCATTCTGCGTTAGCTCTGCGTGTCTGCTGCAGTCAGACTCAACTCATCAGAGGATAATCTGCGGTAAGTCAATGTTGTTGTAAGGTACCTAAAAGCGAAGTTTAGAAGGAGTCTGCATTGCAGTCATCAAATGGAAGGTTAAACTTGGAAAACAATCTATATTTAATTCTTTATTGCTATGAGTAAATTATCAAAGAGTGTGCATAAGTCTACTTTGGTTTATCTATAATCATTTAGAGCAATTTTACAGCATGGAAGTCGAGAAAAAGAATTTTATGGATACAAAGAAGAAGGACATCCCATCTGAAAAGTCATGTCGGCCGCTTCGCAAGATTTTAACATCTGGACCTAAATTTCCATTCCTCCACGAAGGGGAAATTTCTGTGTGTCGACTAAATCATCAAAGGACACTTTTAAGCAAACTTTTAGGCTCGAAGCTGCTACGAAGATGGGAAACACACAGGATTGTACTGTCAGATAGCCAAATTTACTCAACGACGGTAAGTTTGATGTTTTACTTATTAGATGCCAACTTGTCAAGAAGGTAGTTTATTGGCTTTTCGTGTTTGAAGGTTATTGCGAGTTTTCGTTGAGCTAAAATTCATCGAATGTATGTTTGCAAGGATTAACATGACCCCAAAAGTTTCTGACGTAGAAAAATCGGATGTCTTGATGGCTAACCATCACCACTGACTTTCATTAGTATCTATTGTTTCCGATCTAAGTATATTTTCCGGCTTTACCGCTTGTAGTTGTGAAACCGGCATTGCATTTACACATTGTTGACTTGTTCAGTAAAGCTGAAAATGCCTGATCGGGAACTTTTTGATGTTTAAATACTTGTTTGCTATCGGAGGTTTTTCCTTCCTTGTGCAAGACTGGTTTGCAATGTGATAAGGGTTGCACCGCGGTCGCGAAATTTCATGACAAACTTTCTGAAATTTAATACACCATTTTATTTGGCGTTGTATCATTTTCTCAAGTGTATATTATGTCACCTTACACAACATTTGCCTGTTATTTTAACAGGAGATAGAAATTTACGAAATTATTTCTTAAGACTTCAAGCATTCGCGATCTAGATTGATAATTGTAATAGGAGCTATCAGTTTCTTGCTATTTCTATATAGTTAACAGGGTAAGGTATTGGTCGTTAGTTTCAAATAACTATCTATAAAGTGTCAAATAACTATCTATAAAGTGCAAAACTTTGTTGTTCAACTGTATGAAGCTCAATTAGTTATGAAGCAAGGACTGTGATAATGTTCGCTTTGCTGTCACGGGTTTCCATCCTGTCACCACTGCTGTTGCGCAACAAACCAACCATAATATTGGAAAAACAGACTGGATGTTCATAAACTTTTAGCAAAATAAACTAAAACAGATGTTGTAATTGCTTACAATCACAAAATGAAGTTTATAAATTAAATACTGAACAAGTTCTGCTGAAAAACTGAAAACAAAGAATGCAAAGTTTTATACTTGAATGAATTACAAATGAAAGATAATAAAAAGAGATTGGTTTAACAATTTTTAAGGTAAGGTCAGTCTCACAACTGTATTGTAAATGTATACAAAGAACTTAGAGGAAGCTGAGATAAAACTATGAAATATATTTCAACCTGGGAAACTTGAACTCTGTTATAAGTTACCTGCAGTAACATGCAAATTCTCTCTGAGGTTGGAGAAAAACAGTTCCCTCACTTTATTTCTGAAGTTTTTTTCAGAATTCTTCAAGACTCCCATTTCTTATTTCAAACTTTCTTTTCCCCCAATAAAAATGTTTGACAAAAGTTTCAACATTTAAATTGTCCTTGCAATCACTTTCAGTGATACTTTCCCTTGGAAAAGATCAACCACTGTTTATTTAATTTTAAACTTTTTAAAACCTTTCGTCTATCTCACATTTTAGCTGCCCCTATGAATGAAGATATTTTCATTGCTTTTTTAGGTGAAAAACAAAAATATTTCAATTGTAGCTCATTTCGATCCCATTCATAGTTTACATACTTCAAAAATTTAAACTACATGCAGTTATATCATAGTAACAGATATCATAAATGTTTTCCAACTAAGTTCTGTCACTTTATCAAATGATAATCAGTTTATGTTATAACAAATGGAGGCAAGATGGCTGTGTCACTTGAATTATTTGCTGTAGGACTAACATAGCTTTTCAGACTTGGTTGAGAGGTAAAACAAACAGAAGGGATATAAAAATGACTAATTATACACCAAAAATTTGAAGGAGGGCCAAAATTGTCATTAAGGCCCCTTGTCTGTTCTTGCAAGGCATCCAGAATTTCTAAAGGGGAAAATTGCTATCCTGGTGACTGTTTGGAATATGTAAGATATTTTCTCAAGGATAGTGACAATAACATGCAGGTTTTTTAGGTTTCACAAGTGATAATATTATACATTATGATAAATGGTGAATATTTGTGATTTTGGATAGACTAAAGCTGTAGGCATCAAATAATTATTTACACAGAGATTTTTTGTTAACTTATATGATATTTGATAAGGGGTATAAGTGATATTAAAGGATTACCTCACTACCCTTGCCCGAAAGACAGTTTAAATAAAGAGCCTCATTAAAAATTTGCTTTCTGCATTCTTTGCTGACAGAATTGATCTTTTGTGGATATTTGTTTGAGGAAAAATGTCTGTGGGCAGATGTTCAATATTGAATATCAGGTGTATGATAACTTCTCATTTTTGAAATATTGGTGAAAACAGGCACCACTTGCAATATGGTTTCTCAATATTTTTATTACAAGAAACAAGTAAAGGTTAAACTTGATGTGTTCTCCTATGAGTATAATTTCCCAGTTTGCTGTTTTACTAAAAATATAATTATTATCTTGTTAAAAAAATCAAAATTATCCCAATGCTAACTGTATTGTTATTTGAAGCATCGAAAAGTTGAGAGACTTATTTGAGATGAATATAGCTGTTTGTGCTATTTTTATCCATAGCTAGATAGATATCGTGGTTCACAAGGATTAATCCTAATGCTATGGTTTGTAGAAAAAGACAGTGCACAGGTGAATGTGATCACCAGGCAGTTTTTTTTGTAGTTTATCTGGAAGGTTGTGTATGAAAATTAACTGAACTGAACTGAATTGCATTATAGGCAGTGTGTCACACCATTCATTGGTTTACCAAAACTAAAAATTGATAGTCTTCCTTGCAGACACAAGGATTTCAATCAACAGGTAATAGAAAAGGACCTTACTAGCTTTGAAAAGATTTGTATTGAACCATACTGAAGTTATTTTAGGCTATTACCTTTTTCAAACCAACCTTAAATCATGTCACTTTTAAATCTGGTTTAGTTGTATATCCAGGTATTTTCCAGGTTCAGGTATTTCTCAGGTTTGGGTATTTATCAGGTTTAGGTATTTCTGTACCTGTAAACTATGCTAAACAGAAAAATTTTGTTACCATTTTTTATCATTCTTTTATCATTCTTTTGTCTTTCTTTTATCTCAAAAAGTTGATTTCATGCTGTGGGTTGGAATTTATGCTCTCTAAAACTTTTATTTCATATCCAAGTTGAGTAGTAAATTTGTTGTGATAATGTTTTTAGCTAATTGCATTTTGTCTTAAAAAAGGCAAGCATTTTTTTGTATACATACTAATCCTTTTTTATCTGCTTCAGAATATAAAGTATTTTGTATTTGAAATAACATGTTCCAAAATGTTTGCTTCTTCAAAACCATTTGACATGAAACCTGAGAAGAATCCATTTTTTTATCCAGCAACACCTTCCTAGCTGATTGCATGCATTTAGAACATTTACATAGTTTTTTAGTTTGTTTATGAGGTCGCATTCTCTGGCTGCTGTCAATAGCTACTCCAAACACAACCAACCACAAATGACAAGTTCCTGAACTCATTCTTGTAGAGTTCTTTTTTTTAGAATTATACTTCCCTTTGGTTTTGAAAAGAGTCTTCTAATTAGACTTCTGTTTGCTATGTCACCAGTGCCGATGCTTTTTTACAAAAATTATGGATTTTACAGTGTAAAGAACCAGTACCTGCAATTAATGGCTTTTTGTTTGCTGTTTTCGGATGTATGCACAAAGCTCTCCAGTTTCGTTTGTAATAAAATTAAACACCTTAACAGTCGATGGAAATTATAACATACCAGCCTGCTAATGTATTTGTAAAGTTTTTTGTCCTTTTAATCTGTTTTCTTTGTGAACACTTTTCAGCCCTGTTTTATTCTTGTTAGAAGTTCTCAAGCCACTAACTTGTGTGGTAAACTACAGCCATTGAAGCGGTTATAGAGTAGAAAAATTCCATTTATATGCTGCGCATCGTAATTAAAACCTCTGACTCCCCTTTGAAGCGGTTCGTGAAGCGCTGGAAAGCGAGAACTCATGTTCTTTTCGACATTTTGGTGTCAAAAAGCTTTTGATTGGGAGCCAAGCAAAACTCTGTAGTTCATAAACAGACAAAATCAAGAGTTTCAAATAAGGTGCGTTCAATATGGAATGTTATTACACATAAATTTTTTATAAAAAAAACTCGCCATGACAAACGAGTAATGGGCAATCAGAAAATATTAAGAAACTTCAATACTCGAAGCGAATCACATGACAGAAATACCACGAACGTTTGAAAACAATACAAACATTGTTGAGTCTCAGTGTGCGCAGCTACGGAAACCTTCCCCAACAAGATTTTTTTTGGAAGTATACCAGCGGGAAATATAACATATCTTGGAACCCAATGTAATTAATGACCCTATATTTAAGAAATTCTTGATCTTAACCTATGAAATGGTGAATATTCAGCTTGTTCTTAATTTGTTCTTAACCAGTTTTGACCAGTTTTGAGGCTCGTGTTCTTATAAAATTGTTCTTATAAAAAAGAGTGTAAGTCTTGAAATTATTGTTTCTCTTATAGGTCAATTGCCATTGCATTAACGATTTAATAAACAGAGGGCTTCACCATCTGCACGAACATTTTTCAGTGGGGAATTCGCATAAGGTAGAAAAAAACTAAGGCAAAGCTTTAGCAAGCACGGCGTTAGATAATCGGACACGTAAGCTTCCAGCTGGGTTATGCGTGCGTGACTTTTTCTACTGCCTAAATTTGCGCGCTAAGAAGACCGCGCGCAATTTAATGTTTGATTGATATCTGAATAAAATTTGGCCGATTTGGAATTTGTCTTATGGTATTCTACCCAAAAAAAACGAATCTTACACGGTCCCTTTTTGTCCGTTTCTTTTACGCTCACTTATTTTATCATATTGGCAAAATTTTCAAAAATCAGTATCAACCGAAAAGACCTTAGCTTTTTTATAGATAATACTGCAAAAAGAAAACATTTAGCCAATCCGCCCTTAAAATGTTGAGAAGAAATGTTCATAGGTCATATCTGGTTTGTTTCGAGAAACTTAGCATGTTAACATTTTGAAGTTTATGTTATCTGGGATCGCACATGTTGCTGCGGCACCCAGTGCGAAATAAAACGCCTACGCACACAGGTGCGTGAATGATAACACGAAAAATCAAAGACTTCTGTTCTTTTCAGCTGGCAAAGAAGAAACAAGAGAATCTTTTGCAGTATTGGATAGATTCTTGCAAAGATTATAATTTTGCAGCAAATCATTGGTCTTTTTATCATTTCCTTTTCAGCTCTGATTCGCAGCGGCAAGTCGGCGGTAATGAGTCGCGTTTATGTTTTAACAGGCGCACTGGTGTGTAAAGTTCAAAAACTGCTGATTTGCACGACTAATTTCCCTTTTAATAAAAAGTTTTTATTCTAAATATTTGAATGGTTAGTACGTATTTTATATGGAAAGTTGGTGGCCGTTTCTCAATGAAGTCAAATCCAACAAACTGATGCACCAAAAGTAAATTTAGACGGGAAGACAAAGTTCACTTTCTGTTCTATCTTGAAACTTACTGTAGATCAGCGATTAGGCCCATCTTTGCATCCGAATATTTGTTCATGGTGTTTTTCCTCGAGGGTAGTGGCTAATTAAAGGGCAGGGTCTTTTTTCGAGGCTGGGGCCTATTCGAGGGTAAAGGCTTGTTCGAAGATAGGAGCTTGAATGGTTGAAAATTTCTGATTTTTCAAATATTTTAAAGATGGAATATATACAGTGAACTTTGTCTTCTCAACTCAAATACTTTTGATGCATTAGTTTGTCTCAACCAAACATGTCTCATTCTTGAAATGCTTTTTCTGACATTCTTGCATAACTCTACTCTTGCACCACTTGTTAAAACTGTTTTAACAGCTTGCAGTTGAATTTTTTTCACCAGCCTGCACACTTTTATTATAATCAGCCGATTTATAAGAATCTAAATCTCACTTTCTCGCAATCTAATCAACAACAGATTTTGACGCTGTGATATTAATCAACTAACGCGATCGTTTCTGCAGTTCTGGTAGGTATTTACATGCATTATTTAGAAGAATAATGCAGTCACTCCAATGGATGTAAAACTCTAGTTTTCCACCTAAAACTCCTTTTCAAAGTGACCATACAACATCTAAACACTTTTTTGATGGAAGACAATATGCAAATTCTCAACAACTTTTTGAGTATTCAAATGTTTCGTAGAGATTTCTGTAGGGGGGATTTTTAACCCAGGTTTAGAAAGCAAGTCAAATTTAACCTTTGTTTGAATGTTCTCATATGAACTATTGCATCAAGGCAAAAGAATTTTACAGCGGTCGGAGATGAAACTGAACCCGAGGTTAACCCGGATATACTTGTTTCATGTGAATGGCCTCTTTACGATATTGGAACAGTTTTCCCGTACCAATTTCGTTAAGAGGGCTGTGGCTTTATAATTTGAAATTTCAACTGGTTAATATTAAATTTGGTTTTATCTGCTACTTTTCCAACCATGGCGACAGAGATCAGCGTTACAAATCTTAATGACAAATTCTGGCTGAAGACATAAGCGTTATTCTTTTAACTCAAGTATGGACTGGACCGATTGGTATAAATCTTCTGAGAGGGCCCCAGCGTACACGCTATTGAAGCATTGCTTTTGCGTCCATTTTCATTAATATCGCCTAATGCGATCTCACTGTTTGCTGAGTGCTCTAATTATCTCAGATGGTTGGCTCCCACGGTTCAAAGAGACAATGTGTGAGGCTGCCACCAGACCTCATTTATAAAGTTTTAAGTGACTTCAAGGTTCCCTTACTTTTTGTTATGAATAGAGGACTTTCAGTGTTTATGTTTAATCTTTTGAATGAGTTATTCTAAAAGACAATCCCACTTTACACACAATATTGGATTATTTTCCACCTGTGCTTTGTGAATATTATTTGAATTTTCGTTATCATTTCCAGACATATTGCTTACTGTTACTTCGAAATGGAAAATCGCTCTTCGATAGAAATTGTGGTTTTTTGAAATTATTACGCTGTCACTTTGATATTACCTTGATAACCAAAGGATTCGATGTCCTCCTGTTTCTATTAATCTTGCATCAAAAAACCTGTCTTGTAACGTGCAACTTTAAGTTGTCTTGTAACGTGCGAGGAAGAAACTATGCCAACGTAAAGTTTATATACCCAAGGACGATGCCGACTTGCACGCTTGTTGCTTTGGCCGTATAAAAGTAATGCTTACTCGAGCACTGCTACAATGACCAGAAACTCTGCAATCGTGCAATCTGTGCCAAAAACAAAAGTCCAAGGGGCTCCGAAAAGGCATACATTGTCACACATAAAACGTGATTAATTTTCATTTAATCAAGCTTTATATCCCGTTCACTTTGTTTATTGTAAATCTGCAATATGTTCAAATTTAAAATAGCTGTATAACGTCTGCTATAAAGCATATTTTGCCGCAAAGCTGTTACCTTTTTTCGCGTCTTTGTCATTTAAAGGATGACCCGAAAACTCACTTCTACCTCTAATTAATGCTTGTTGCCTGTCAGATATTTAGTTCAACTTTTTGAACATTATTTTCAAGCTGACATGGTTTCTTAATCAGTCAAGTAACTTTCATTTCTTATAATAACTTTACTGTTTAGCTTATATGAAACCTTCAGATAGCTTTTTCAACTTTTGAGTGGACTGATGTCGTTGAATGGGCTGTTTATATCGTTGCGAATCCTTTGGTTGTTATCAAGTTTAACGCTTCAACATACAGAATGAGTTCATTTTTATAGTTGAATTAGATCTTTGCAGCTTGCTGAAACGGAAAAGCCCTTCCCTAGCCTAAAGATAATGTTAACAAGCAACACAAGGTTTTGGTAATACTGATTAGGCCGTTTAAATTTTTTAGTGTAACGCGTCATGTTTCTTTATGACTAAGATTTAGTTAAGAATTTACAGAAACGCTATCTAGAGCGTAACCTGAGCGGATGCAGCCTCAAACCCTGGAAGTGTCATGTTACTCTTCCTTCTCGTTTAATTATTTTCCAAGTGGCTGAGTTCATCGAAAGCAAAATAAGAATTTCTTAATAATATTTAAAGGACGTAACTCTTCGAATTTGCATCCATTACAAAAATATAAATCCTGGTTACCCCACTGCAGTCAAGGATGTTTAATCAGGATCAAAATCAACTGTTCGTTGAATCTATAAGTAAGCTAAGTCGTTAAGTCCGGGCGAAGTCCCAATAGCTTGTTAGCGGAGAGAGTACCGAATGGTGAATATTGAGCCCGGGCGGAACGTGGTCAGTTAGCTCTACCAACGATGGTATATCGCATTTTATCGCATGTATTATCGCACCAAATTTAAACACCCCATTGTTTTTAAATTTAAGATTTATCTTAGCGCATATCTATTAACAATCTTATAGTATGAAAATTGCTCAAGTAGATACCTATGATGTCATAACTATAATAAGCATATACCAGATCACGCTGCAACCAAGTGCAATCCGGTTGCTTTATTAGCTATCCGGTGATACTTTGTCCCAATCTTTTGCAGCAATTATGTTATGTTTAAGAAGACATGCTTAATTATGTTGTCACTTGTCATTATAATGTTTTATTCTGTTTCCACTGAAATCGCCTTAAGCCAAATTTATTAACTGCAGAAGATCAGGTACACCTTAATGACAAATGCCGATATGTGTACCCAAGAATTTTGTTTTTTACACCCTTGATATGTTTTTCTAATTATTTGATGTTTCTTTTCAGCCAACTGGTTGCATGGAATTTGGAGTATCGTACAATGAAATACAAGATGTTCATAGTCTTCCGAGATGGGACACAGGCCAAAGATTTGTCATTCAGATCACAATTCCGGACGGCCTGCTTTTACTGCAAGTGAGTGCACATTTTACTTGAACTGAAGTTTTTCATGTCTCATTTTGACAAGTAAGAACGAGGCTTCTCGTCATGATAAATTCCATAGGTTTTTAAGCTTCATCTTTCAACCAGTTACAATAAATATCTATATACCTTGCTTTTTTGATAGTATCGCGTAGAATCAGAACCACTTCAGCCCAACCAGACTTAACATTTGTTTGTCTAAGGTGACTGAAGAATTACTTTGAAAAATTCTATTCCGACAAAGTTTTAATAGGAAATCCTTATCTGAGCTCAAATAAAAACGAAGTTTGGAGTGATTCCAAGCACGGGCCACAAACTAAGCGTGGGCATGCAAAGGCCAATGTCCAGGTTATAAGCTTTGCAAAGGCCCTTGTCTGCCTAATCAAGTTACGAACATTTGTGCAAACATTAAGGATCTCGCGAAGGGAGTTCGAGGAGGGGAGGTGATATTGCGCATGCTATTAGGGGTATTGCGCATGCTATTAGATGATTTTTTTCACTCTGATGAAGCCCTGTATGCCGGGGCGAAATATTAGTATATTCTTTGAATTTAATTTATTTTGAAAATTGTATTTCGTGACATTGGATTATCTTCGTCGTATTGCTTTGTTCCTGTATATCTTTCATAACAACACTCATTGCAAGATTCACAGAATCCGGCGGACAGCCTATCCTGCGGTTCTTCCTTCTCACACACATATTAGGGATAGCCCTTTCTTCCAACGATAGGACAAAGTAACTGAGACACTGCTTTCTTTCCTTTGAAAATATCACCCCTTTATTCAAAAACACCAGTAAAGAGTCCTGAAATAAGATTTGCAAAAAATATTTAAAAACTTTTAAAATTCAGATATCACAAGGCAATGTTATTTTTGAATCTTTGATAAAGTAATTTTTTTAGAACGATTTTGCCAGGAAAATATTCAGGCCTAGAGAAACCGACTCTTCAAATTGTCGTAAGCGCGCTAAAAGCAATCGTCAGTTACCACAGTGGCTTAAGCCATCTGTCATTCAATCGGGCCGATCAATAAGTGTAATACAACTCATTGTGTTTATTGATTGGTCGATTTTGATTGAAAGACTGAAGAAGCCACAAAAGTATATGTCAATTGCCTTTAAAACAAAGATATTTTTTTTATGAATCTCATTAACACCAGAATTCCTCATGAAAAGTGAGTGTCACCTCTCATTTCAAAACGTTCTCATTTCAAGTTTAATTACCAAAGGTCATTATTTTCATGACAAGTCTACTTGTTTTTCTGTCGTCTTGTGGATTAAACATGGCAGCTTTAAACTCGGTTTGTGGTCATTATCAGACCAGTCGTTTCTATGATAGATAATGAGTCATTACCCTTACAAACCAAACTGCAGGCGTGCTTTTGATCATAGAAAAATCTGACAACGTAGGATTGATAATCTGACGTCGATTCTAGCTTGTAACCTGAAAAGCAACCTGAAAAGCTTGGATCTGGCTTATAACACGACAAAATATGCCTTTGGAGAAATATTCCTATCTTTTCAAGGGTTTTTTTGAAAACATTGGTTGAATTCATTAAATCTCGGTTTGCCGTTGAGCATGTTCAGTATTGCATGCGTTAATGTTTTAATCGCATTGTGGTTTTATATGCAAGTCAGTTACACGTGCTTTTTACCACACAATGAAATGTTCCTCCCTACGTAGGTAGACATCATTGAAGGTCAGATGTGCTATTATGCCGCACGTCTCTGGGATTTATGCAGTATACGACATATGGCACTTTCATATAGTCTGTTTTGAAAGCTCGCTTTTGTTTCGTTCGTGTCAAGAGTAGACTTTAAATCAAATAGCTCTAGCAATGAATAATTTAAGAAGACCATGTTCTGTTTTCTTGTTCTTTGCACCAATAATTGTTTGAACATTTATGCCGTTCTTGGCCCTCCACTGTAATTTCTATCTCCGTTTACGATCTTTTCTCTTTGGTTATGAATTTACTTTTTACGTTACCATTTGCTGATGTTGACTTTCTCCAACTACGTTTGTTCTATAATAAAAATCTTATTTGCAAAATTCATGATCAGCTACTCGTTGCTGTGGTATCTCCTTTTCTTTTGTTTGGATTTTTCAGGTAACGTTTTTGTTAATGCACATATTATTGAGGACTGTTGGTTGAAAGATCGGTATAAGCATCAATCCATTATTTTCTACAAGTAAAGCTGTGGATAGTATAAACTGCAAGACACGACACCAGTCTTTGAAGTGCCCGGATTGTTTAATTCCCTGAAAACATAGTCTTCAGTCTTTCGCTCTGTATACGTTTTTTCTCTATTACTTCAAGCTGTTACCTTATGGTATAACCAAATAGATGATATCTTATATATGGCATAACCATGATTGACATTTTCCCTTCAATCAGGAATAACAGCTTTACTTGTAAGACTCTTACGATCAATACTGCATGTCTCTATGGCTACACCTGCGGTTGTAGGGCATTTGTGTAATTATTATCATACGATATGAAGGCTACCTGACTCTGTGTTTATAAGATGTTTGTATATCGATTTGTTTCCATTTACACTAGGACGGATTCGTCAACTTTTTAAATGCCCTAATTTGTTAATTTTTGATGACTGTTTTACTATTTGGAAATTTTTAAGCATTATATAATTAAAACCTTTCAACCATATAAGACGTTTTTGGATGATTGTTATTTGTTTGTGAATTAAAAGGTACCTGGTGATAAACAAGAGGTTTTTAAAATATACATCTAGGATATAATTTTAAGCACGCATCATAAGTGAGTTTTTTCCCGTAGATATCATAAGGAAGAACAATTCACAGAACCTTCCAAAACCATTCCATTTTTGCTTGCCTCTATTACAGTATAAAGAAAACATAGTTACTACTGACTGATTGTCTGATATGTCAACTTGTCCTTCATTTGCTTGGTAAGAAGACGAAATGGTGGGAAATGACATTTCCATTCCATCATAAGTATCGAGTGGCTAGTTTTTATCGAAACAATATTTTGATTAAATAATGTGTGTCGATAGAAATTACAGTTGCATGCATGGTTGTTGAAACTGCTTGTGAAATGTTGACATGAATTCAGCTTTTCTGTGTTTTTATTGGTTAACACCCAGCTATTTGTACGTTGATTGGCTTAGACAAAGATAAACTCCCTTTGATACGGACATACTGCCTATAAGAATGCCTGGTATGGAATATAATGCCGTGAAACCTCGAATTAGCGCTCTGGGGGCTTATTTATTTTTGATATTTTTATATGGGGGCTTATTCGAGGGGGAGGCCTTTTACGAGGGGGGCTTATGAAATTATTGTAGACATTAAGAAATGTTGTGGAAATTTGGTAATTCAATAAAACGCCATAGCCAACCTCAGATGGCAAAAATCATCAAATAGAGGGGTCCAGTTCGAGAGCTTAAGGTAGCAGTGGGGGCTTACTCGAGGGGGGGGCTTATTGACAATTTGCAGTTCTAGGGTGAGGGCTTATTCGGGGGGGGGGCTTTTTCGAGGGAGGGGCCAATTCAAGGATTTACGGTACGCAGAATCGAATCGAATCGAATCAAAAATCGAATCAGACGAGATTGCTATAATGCTTCCTACTTTAGCTCAATTTCTATTTATATGAAATTCCAGTGAGTTAAACCCTCTCTCGTAATTGAAACTCAGGGCCTGCGTCTTACTTCAGCATAAGCGGTTTTCGACTCAAATGTGTTCAACTTAGACGATGTTATCTGTATCAGGCCAATCAGATCTCCAAAGTTTTATAAATCGTCTCGGTGGAGTTGGGAAATTGAAGCTAGAATTTGCTAGATGCGAAAGCTTTCATTTTATCTGTTGATAATAAAGCCACCAGCCCGTTTTGATGCAAATTCAAATATGAGAGTGAAGTTAATATGTTGTGGTCAATATTGCACCTGTCGCTTGGAATGATTTGCTTTCAGCTCAGTGTAATTTCTGATGTTGTATTGACTTTCTGGCATCTGTTTGAGCAAACATGTAATAAGCTTTATTGGCTGCAACCAATTCGTCGATTAGGAGATACGGTTTTCAAGATAGTGTTTTTCAAACCTGAATTCTGTTGTCTTATTCCAAATCATCAACATCAATGTTATGCTGTCTGCTCTCGATCTCTAAGTCGCTTATTCAAATTTCGCGTCCAAAAAGTTGGAAAATGTTAATTTATCTCATGATATTCGGCCACACCACTTTATTTGTTATGATTTTAAGCTCTGTGTAGTGCATAGTGATGATTGCAAACCACTATATTTTTGGATAACGGTAAATTGGTTGCATTACAGGTCTTGTCGCGCATTTTGTTAAAATCTAGTATCTTAAGACTTTTTTAGGATAAGGCAGTGCTGCTTTGGTGGAACCCCGTACAATTTCTGCAGACGTCTTAGATGTATTGATAAATAGGCCCTACTAACATTGTCTGCTGATCCTGCATAGCACCTATGTTAATTTATCCAATAATTGTTTGAGAAGTTTCATTTTTCAATCCACCCAAAAGAAACCATTCCGAAACCTCAACAGTCATGTGCTCGTGTTTCTGATTGGCCTATTGCGATCCACAACTGGGTATATATATTTCCTAGCGTAGAATTTTCGGTCTATGTTCTGACGTTTTAAACTCTGAAGAGTGTCAGACGAAAAGCTTTAGTTTACTAAATGTTTGCTTTTTTGAAAGCCATTTTCAAGTTTTGTACCACCAAAAGATTGTTAATGAATTACTTTGATATTTTGATTTGATACTTTGCCATATAATTTGATTTCTTTACTTCATAGCTCACCCTATCTTGAGTATATTGCCATCTTAACCCCAAGGCAAATACTTAGTCAAGTCATATTATCATGTCTCTTGATCAATCCTGTGACCTCTGATTTTGCTTTTCGCTTAGAGCTACCTTCCCACGCAAAAGATTAACAATATATCTTAATCATGAATGATCTTTGGTTATGAAACTCTTAGCAGTTTCCTTCGAGAAATTATTTGCTCACGAGGTGTTTCATAATTTTAGAGATTGTGTGGAGTAGTGTGTTGATATCTAAGATAGAAGGATCAAAACCAACAACTGTCATTGCTATTATCAATTAATTTTACAAATATTAATGTGTTTCGCAGTAATCAGCTTTCAACGAGAGATGGTGAACCTACTTTGTTGCGTCCCTTGAGGTGTAATAATTATTGCTGTTTTCTTTCATTTTACGAATCAATAACGTCGAACACCCTTCTAGATCCTGTCAGTTCTCAAGGCTTTGGAAATTCATTTTATGATTCTGTCAAATGGTCCCTCGTTATGATGCGTTGCCCCCCCCCCCCCCCATCTTGTCCGGCAAAAATATCATGGAATTTTTGGAGCTACTCGTCTCCGGTTGCTTTGAAGTTGATCCTTTTATCACTTAAGGCAAGATGAAAACCAACATATTGCACTCATTTTTTCATTGCTACAAACTATATTGGTTTGAAGCTCCAGACCAAATCGCTTGCATGATTTGTATGAAGCGATTATTCCGTTTTGGTAATAATCTGAAAGCTCTTAAGACTGAAAACCATTAATTGTTGGGCGACCGCCAACCACCTTCCATTTCCGCTAACGACCGACCCGCCAGCCACCGCCAGCCGCTACCGCCAGCCACCGAACTAGCTCGCCACATACTTTACTTTTCCCAAATGCACCACATCATACTTGACATCCCACATAATGCACCACACAAATACGCGAAAGGTCATGGAATGCGATTCTGTTTGTAAAAGGCATCAGGCCACTTTCTAGCCAGATAAGTTTCGAGCCTTGGCAGTTGGAAAGTGAAAGTCAAAGTATGAAGTTGGGCATTTTCCCAAATTTAGGACGCGTTTCTCTGTCAATCATCGAACAAAGAGATTTCGTCATATGAATGTCTTTTTTGTTTATTATAGGTTTATAAAATGCATTTCGTCACATTTCACGCAAAAGTTAACCTGCCAAATGAGACCCAGTTAAAATGTGACAATTGCAAGTTTTGGTGCAAATCGGCGTTGCACGTCTCACTTGATGGAATCTTATAATGTAGATGAGAGAATGTTCTAACGTAGGGTGGAATGGGCATGATAGCTGGTTCATGTCCCTTTTTCATTTTTCGTTCCGTCCATGAGAAATTATTTATCCATTTCTCTTCTCCTTATAGGCAAATAACACATACCTTCGTGACCAATGGATGCATTCGTTGGTTTGGAGGGTGAGTTTTCCTTTTGTAACTATTTCTTTTACTTCCTTGTTTTGCTCCAAGTTTTCTTTCGCACTTTCTCTTGTTTCCAATTAATTCATTTGTTCGTTTTGTCATCCAATCGCCTCTTCAGTTCTTTTGCAAATTCACTTGTCCTTCTTCTCTGTTTTTCTTTTTTCCCTTCTTTCTTACCATAAAATATTGTTTATTGTTCTTTTATTTATTATTGTTGCTGTTTTTTTCTTTATGCGTATACAGCTTGTTTCAACCTTTTTGCCTTCTTTCTGTCATTTAACAATAAGAAACATTTCAGGCTCTAATTTGAGATTATTCTTGCTTTTAAGGTTAATGCGAATAGATATCGAAATTTATTTGCAAAGCTCCGAAATCCGGAAGAACTTGTTAAAGAGCTGAAGGTATTGGTAATTTTTTGCTAGCCAACCTGAATTAAATTAAAATATTTTACAATGTTTACTGGGGATTTACTGACTTCTGCTTACGTAAAGGCACAGGTGGAAAGGCCGGATTTTCTTTCGAAACTGTTCTCTTTCGAAACTGTTCTCTTTCGAAATTATTTTCTTCTCATTTCAGTTCGTATTGTTTTCTAAACATTGCTATCAAAACCTTCTCCGTATTTTCGTGCGCTATCTAAATTTCAGGTACAAAATTGAATTATTGAAATATGTTTTCGCTTGTTACATCCAAAAATGTCTTGGTCTGCCAAGTCTTGAAACACTAATGTCAGATTTCAAAAGCACATTTAGTGATCTCACTCTCCTCCTGGGAACAATATTGATTTACTACAACGACCCAGTATAAGTACATTTTTGTTTCGACTTGACGATATTTGCCCCAAGTATCAACATTTGAAAGTAGTAACATTTGAGAAAAGAAATAGAAAATACAGGCAAGCAAAGCAAACTACTAAGTGTTCCAAATAATTTTAGCAAGCATTGCACACTTCGGGATTGCACCTAACAGTGCTATCACATAGAATATTCAACCCAGAACATTTCTACCACCATAAACTGTATGTGCATTCTGCTCTGAATACATTATCCTGTTTTATTCGATAGGAGCTGATTCAGTTGTCCTTGGTAACGCAGCTACACGATGACATCGTTTTTCAACTACCGTTGAACACAGTATCAAACTTGTTACTTCATGTAAGTCAAATCCTAATATTTTGTGTGTTCTATTACTCAAGTTCTAAAACAGCTTCAATCGTTAATTTTTTGTGACTCATGGATGCGATTAATGTTATCTGTTGTAAGAAGAATTCTCTGTTCTGGCGGTAGCTTTTCAAAATGGTTATCAGCCCTATCTATAAATTCAGCATACTGAGTAAAAACCGAATTTTGATTCAAGTCCAAGCAATGCTTGCTCTTTTACAACTGTTAAAATATTAAGATGTATGTCCAAGAGGATATTTATTCGATGCCTAATCTATTTTAATACTTTTAAGAAACTAACCAATTTTAGACTTTTTATTGGTTTTCATTATTTGCAACTCCAATTTAAATCCAGATGTAGCCCAGATGTAATCCAGATGTAGCCCAGATGTAGCCCAGATGTAATCCAGATGTAGCCCAGATGTAGCCCAGATGTAATCCAGATGTAGTCCAGATGTAATCCAGATGTAGTCCAGATGTAGCCCACAATCCTTGCCAAAAATAACTGGAACGCCTTCCCATTGCAGCATGCAAATAAACAAAGCAAGTCTAAAACTACCTTACCAAAATACCACTGCCGCTTCAAAAATTTCGACCCCCTCCCCCCCCCCCGTACAATGTTGATTTATTTTCTCAGTACTTTCATACAGCTTCCAGTGAAAATGTTTTTTCCTTCAGCGTCAAAACAGCCGAATTGAACAACATTGTAATGGGGGGGTAGGGAGGATTTTTCAAAAAAGCTTCAGCTTTGCACAAGTGTTCCAACAATTTTGGCAAGGATTGCAGATGTAGCCCAGATGTAGCCTAGATTTAAATTAGATGTATCCCAGATGTAACCTAGATGTGAAGTATCCACGAAGATGATGTGTTCTGTATGCAACAAATTGTTCTTGTTGTTTGTTTAATCTTGCCATTGTTTTGATTAGATGCGTTACGCAATTTGTTACGCAACTCTGTGATATCAAACTGTCATAATTGGGCCTTGCATAAGTCGTATACTACTTACCTCAGAAAATGCGTGGTTCTAGTCCATTTGATGTGAATTTTATCAATTATCATCGCCCAAGATGGATTTTGTAAGTCAGATATTGGCAATAGTCGGACTTTTTTAACTCCCTTATAAGCTCCGAATTTCTCATTCATGCATGGAATATCTATGTTCTTACCTTGTTTGTAATAGCATTGTTGACCCAGAAAATCTCTTCAGTGAAGGGACTACAGCAAAGAATCATCCAGTCCGCATAAATAGGCCTAGATGTCTAGATGTCTAGTTGTTGTGCGCTTAAATAAGTGAATTTCGTTTGAAAGATGGCTTTAGTTAAATGAGGCGTTTCCCTATTATGCAAGGTGTCGCTTGCTAACCAACACATGTTGTTTTTCAGCATGGATACAGGATGGCAGATGCTGTAAAGGAGGCCTTACTGCGGGTAAACTTATCATTCATCGTGTTGATATCTTCATTATCATCTTTAGCGTTCCTTCCAACCGGCTATAGGCAATATTGAATACTCCTTGAGATAGAGGCAGTATTTCCTTCCCTTTCAAATACTTCTAAGTATTCAAAAGAGCTGGCCTCTTTGCACTTCATTTCAACACATATAGTCTGTGTTTCCGGCTTTAATTTAAAAAAAATTTGGGCTGCTTGGTGAAGGGTGGCAATTCGGTTCATGATACGCCGTGGTTAATGATTCTCAAATTCCTCTCAAATTCTTAAATGCACAGAACGGTTAAAATTTCATCACAGCTGCTGTTTATCGTAAGCCATTTTTAAATTGCCCATGCCATTGATCGACGATTTATCGTAATTGTAAAAGCTGTGAGAACTCTCCATTTTTGATATTATAGTCTTAGGAATATTTCATTTATTGATGAGCTATGCTGAGCTATTTTTTGGGTAATTTTGAGGGTAATTTAAAATTTTTAGGGTAATATTTTTGGGTAAGTTAAGGTTAGGTTCATGTAGGCACTGCAACAAAAATACCGTTTCAAAGCAAGGGCTTCTTTGAATCAAATAAAGTGCGTTTTGTCCAGTTTTTTCTTGCTACTTGCTTTTTTATACAGTGTTTTGATTTAACACGCTTTTCATAGATCGAGTTTAACCTTTAAAGGGTACAATGTTCTAATACCCGTTATCTAGATTGCGTAAACTTTTATAGTTAGATGATCTTCGCTTGGCACAACTCTCTTTGGACTGTAACCGTCTTTTTCCAATGCAAAGTGTCTTGTTTTTAGTAAGATCCACACGAAGCATTTCCACACTTAGATTAACCCTAGAATGGTCTTGAAGTCACGATTTATCCGTATTGAGGTTCATACATAATGAGTGCGTCCAGATCGCCTATAATCGCTGCTTTTGCTTAGCTGCACCACGCTGAAATTTTAAAAAATTTGGACCAAAGTGCTGTTTATGATTTCTACTTTGTTTGAAATTGCGCAAAACCCATCGAAAGTTGTTCCTACTTAATCCCTGATTGCGCTGTCGTCCGCTGTGTGTTCGATATAATTAATGCTTTGCCACTATGTCTCTTGTATCACCTGCCCTTTCTTAGCAGGTTCATTCATCAAAACTCTTGAACTTATCAAGCGCATATCTAACTGTAAGGCAAATCTTTCAGACTTTGTAGCTGGTTTTTTTATCTTATAATGCAAATATTTTCTTTCTTTTTGTAGGCAACTGAGCCTCTGTTAGAAATTCATAACCCAACGCCGGCCATCTGCAAATGTTTCCAAAAGGTTTGTGTCAGTATTTGTCAAATACGACGTTAGTATTTCTCTCACTATCTATTCTCGCGGTTTCTTTGTCTTTTTCAAAAGCCGCAAGGCACAGTAATAATTTTCAGTCTTGCCATTTGTAACTAAGACAGCTTTCACACGATTTCATTCAACGTGACTCTGGTAGTATTTGGTTTAAGATCATTATTTGCAAAAATTGAAGCCTTTCTCAGACAAGCCTTCTTTAAACGCTCGACTTTCAAGTGCTTTGTACTCGTGATGTCGCCATGTAAAGCATTAGTGAGAATGAATTCACTGGATGAAGAAATAATGTTCATTTATTAAAACAAAACAGGCCTAAAATTGCTAGCAGCCTTCTTACCCTGAGGTCTGATCGGCTAAGAAATGCCTCTAAACAAATTTTCCACACAATTAACGAACTTAAATCATTGCCTAAAGATTTTCAAATAACTAATTAGAACTAATTATTCTTTTAAGATATGCAAAAACCGGCCTCACAGATCGGATATTTTCAACGTCTTTGTACCTTCTGTGCAAAGAATTTTGAAGCACAACACGGTATGTACGTTTTTTTAATTTGCATATCTTTTATGAATCTCTAGATTTTTGATATTTTGTGCCATTGGTAATGTTTTTTTATAATCAAAATCAAAAAGAAAATTGAAGTAATTTTCTTATAGATACATGTTATTGACTGCTATAGGATAGTAAACTAAGATATGATAAATGTCTATGCGATAATATGTTATATGACATAGTGATTTGATTTTACACAGTTGACGTAATATAGTTCAATATTGTTGTATTGCATAGAGAATAATTCCTTATATGCAGGGTATTTTAATAACTGTTCATAAGAATAATAATGTTCTTGTTTTATTCATGAGCAGTTGGTCAATCTCGTGTCGGCCTAATTTCCTTCTCCTTTTCGACAGGACTTTGGCAAAATGCCTTACTTGCGTTCTTTGGTGCAAGATTTCATTTACGCTATATACTTTAAAGATGAAACTCACGAGGAATTATCCAATTTCATAGCAAGGTAAGATTGCAGTTTTTCAATATTTGTATTCATTACGTAATGGTATCTCCTTGTACCACGATGTGATACTTTTATCATTTTTGATGCAATAACTCCTTGTATCACGGTGTGATAATTCTCTCTTTTTTGGTGCAGTATCTCCTTGTACCACGGTGTGACAATTCTCTCATTTTTGATGCAACATCTCCTTGTACCACGGTGTGACAATTCACTCATTTTTGATGCAATATCTTCTTGTTCCACGGTGTGACAATTCTCTCATTTTTGGTGCAGTTTCTCTTGTACCATGTTGTGACAATTCTCTCATTTTTGATGCAATATCTAGCCCACTATTTGTTATTTAGCTTGGACTCTTAACTACAAATTTTCGCAAGTTTCTTCCTAGACACTGTTTGTTACGTCATTTCATCATGATGTATCTGCCAATTGTTATTTGCTTGGTACATGTCATTACTTTTTTTTAATACAGGAGTTGAACAAGATTATTTGCCTTTTCTTTGTTTAAATCTTCATCGTTTTTATTTATCTACCGGTGCTCCTCGTCCTGCAAACATTTTGATTTTGACAGATTTGCTGAAATTCGATTTAGTTTTAAGTCAAGGAAAACTTATACTTTATATGAGGGCATACAAAAAATCGAGAAATGCTACTTCTCTAAATTTTTAAACTGTTTCTAACGTTACTCTACACATCACATTGTTTCTTATTTTAACACTTGTTTGGTTTAAAAACTGCATACATTACTACATTTGAATATTTGAACATTAAAAAAGAAATTTATTGCATCAGTCACAGTGGGGGGTTGTAAAGTCGATTAGTCCTTAGACAAATAGGTCATAAGTAGAGAGAAACATTTCATGAATTTCTTATGAAAGTTGTATTTTATGACTGGATCGCTTGCCTGATATATATTTCTGCTTTGTTTGGTATTTTGTTTATGAATTATTACGTTTACGTCATAAGCATTACTGGTTCCCAAATCTCTTGCAGTGTCCATACCTCCAGTGCCAGCTGCCCGCATCCACGAGTCCTTCCTAATCTCGTTGCAGTTTCATTGGCAGCTTTCTACACGATCCACGATGAGAAAGTGGAAATGTAAGTGTCAAAATATCCTCTAAACAGTCAATTTTTTAGGCCATACACAAATACATCAACAGCATCTAAGATTTGTGATAGGTAGCATCCAGCATTTTGCTTCAAAAAGTATCTTTGTAGTGGTTTCTAATTTCTTCTTAGTTATGTTTAGGTGAAATCTCATTTAGTTTATTTTGGGAGAATTAAAATTAAGGGAATCCTGCAGTAAAGCATCATGCAATTAGTTTTTCTTTTCTTACACAACTAAAGGATAAGAACCAAAGCAAAATATATATTTTTAAAAATAGAATATCTTAATTGTCTCCAAGATGATTGTAGGTACTGTTCTGTTATTTGTTCTTCTGCACTGTGTGTTACATTCGAATTTATCGTAAATGGCTTTAATTTGCTTGTTTGGTTTGAGATATGATGCTCACACTTTTAAAGATATAAGCCATTATTTTCGACTAAGTCTCTTATTTTGATGTTTTTTGACAGGAAAGTAGAAAAGAAGTCAAAACTGCTTTTGTGCTTTCAGAAGCTGCTTATAGAGCTGTAAGTGATGAGTCAATAAATACGTTAAAAATCTGTTTCTTTCCTTTAGCACAATTTTTAGTAAATTTGTTGGTTAAGCTTACAGTGCCTGCCAAAATTGTTTGTACACTGAACAAAATTGTTGAATTTTTCATACAGCATCCCCTCTCCCCTCCTGACAATGTTCTTTTGTACAAAATCGGGAGTCCGGTGCGGCTAAATTGGTTCATTTTAGATAACGACGATGTTTAACGATACAATCAACATTGTTTTGGGGTAGAGGGGGTGTGATGTGGCTCTATTTTATGGAATTGTATGCATGTATGTGCTGGTCCTTTGAATATTTATAATCGATTTAGGGCCGGTTAATATGAGCAAATTTATCCCATCTTTAAGCCCAACATGCAGATTCTATGCCACCTTTAAGCTGTATATCGAGAAAATCTTCCCACGTTCCAACCTATGTGCTGGCAAGTGAGACGAAGTTAATCGCAAATATATGAAAATTTTATCCCATCTTCCAGCTTCATTCCACCTTCCATCGTTTATATAGAAAAAATTCACCCCACACAAATGAGATCCCACCTCTCACGCAGACCCTCGAAAAATACAAAGAATTCTATTGGAGGGTGGGATGTCACCTATCAGCTCACTGGCTTGAAAGTGATTTTTTCATATAAATAGCCCCTTAGATCGGATTTACTAATCTCAGCTCTCCAAGAAATAGCTTTAGCTAGGTTTTAGTAACTTAATGCCATCTTGTTGCATCGTTTCTGCAGCTTTCTTTTATTCTGCATGATCCTCTATATATACTGTGTTTAAACTTAAATAAATTCTTTCGAACACTGGGAAGGCTTGTTCTAAACACGATGATGACTTGTTTTGAACAGGGCAAAGTATCCTGATTGGCTTCCTGGTTTATCTACTTTACTTCAAGCCGTGCCATTTCCGAAGAAGTGAGTTTCAGCAGTTTTTCAGTGCAATATTTGCGTAAATTTTACCTTCAATCCAAAGCGGAAGGCAGTAACATTAGGACTCCTACTACAGTAGGATGTCAAAATGTCAGTGAATAACCGAATTTTGTTTATCTGAAGGTTTGTTTAACAACTTCACTAGAAAAAAGTTATCATATTTATGATTTTATTAATTTTTGTTTCTTCTTTGTTCCAGGTGTCTTGAAAATGAAGAATTCTCTGCGTATGCATCTACAATTTTTTCAATAGATAAATTCTAGCTTGTTTTCTTATTTAACTGTATTAGCTTTTGAACACATTCAAAAGTCATTTCTTTCTACCAAATGGTCTTCAATTTACTTTCTGAAAATATAGTTTGAACATTTCACCTTAAATTTCTCTGCTATCTCCTTTCATAAAAGATTTTGATATCCTTTGATTCCTTTGTGTCCAAGGAATTTATGGGTTTTGATAAATTTATTGGACACAAAGCCCCTTAAAGCAATGCCCCTTTAAGCAATGCCCCGGCAGCCTCCATTCTAGCCATCCCTAGTAAAACTGCATTTTCACGATTTGAAAAAGTCAAATTTTGTATCCTAATTCATCAAAACAGTTTCTTTCAAAACAAGAACATCTGCCTTCGAATAAAGTCTCCTTTTAAAACAGCAATGCGTTGTCCCTTTTATGCAAGAACTTTTCATGGAGCAATTTCTCAGTCTAATTTAAGTTTTCAGCTTTCAGCATTCTCAAAATTGATTATTCTCTAATAATACTCCTCACAGAGTTTTGGCGGAGGTCCTAAAGATATTTGCTCGAGACTCCAGATGTGAGGTAATTTGAATACGAAATACATAATGTCGCTATTTTTTTCTGTTCATGTGAAGTCATGCAGTTTCCCTCTCATTTTTGAATGTCACTGCATGCGTAGTGAACGCTTTTCCATATCCCACTTACTTGCGGGGAAACTTCATTGACTTTTTAAGTAACTATGGAGATTTTGAGCAATTAATTCTAGGTTATGCTTGCTCTTCAAAGAGAAATCCGCAGGGAAATACAGTTCCGAAAGTTCACACCCTGTGGCTAGCTTAACCTTCGCTTTTGACGTTGTCTCATAAACTCGCCCCTTTATCACTGCTAAGTTGTCTTTTCATTCCCTGTTATCTGTTGTAGAATTGCAAATTTTCAACCCCCGAAATTTTCATATTGCTAAAATATGTAATTAAAAGATTATACGTTTTGGCCTTTTTGAATAAAAAAGCTGCATGTTTTTTTGTACATGACGACTTTTTGTACACTTTCTAGCTGTTCATCGGACTGGCTGAGATGTCTTCTATTTTTTAACCTATTTTAAGGAAATTTGTTTCACTTGTTCTCGGAATATAACTCGATGGTGCGCAGTTACTGACCATGAGATAACAGCTCTGCTAATTTTTTAAATTAGCTGAGTTAACTGGACATCCGTTCAGTACGAGCAGGATGTTAAGAATTGACTTTTCAAATAGCGTTTCTCTCTAGTGCTGTGTAAATAGGGGTCCTGATAAACAAAAGAGTTTAGGCTTTTCTAAAAAAATGAATTAACGGGGAATGAGAACTACAAAGCTCGGGGGGGGGGGGGGGGGGGAATTTGGAATAATGAAAAAGCATCCCTCTGTTTATTCGGCTCTTGAGAGTGCATCAATGATATTACTTTTCTGGCGGTTAGATGCATTGATTTGACGAAGAATATCTGAATTCCCTCTTAGAACTGAATTGGGTGAAACATCTTCAAATTCATAGAATGCATAAACGTTAATTTAAGGAAAATGCTTCAGTTTCAGTTCGCAAGACTAGTGATTTTCGTTGAGTTTTTGTTGAGTTAAATTTGCAGTTGTTTCCATTTTTTCGATAGGTCCATCAAAATATTTTACCAATACGCGAAGGAAAGCAAGGTTGGATTCACCATTTTGCGCCAGATGGTATCTGTTGCCACGACGATGCTGCTGTTTTTGCTGATATCGTAAGAATTTTTCATTAAAATTTTTTTTAAATAGTTAAATTGCAACAGAATTTTTCGCTGTACGCTTGGCTATTGATATTCGAAAATATCACAATTTGGATTTCTAGTTAAAGTGTTTTGATTTCAAACGTTGGATTTCATACGTTGCATTTCAAACGGAATATGTCACCTTGAAATCAGTGAGCACTTTAAAACTAATTATTTGTTGCGTGTTGTGAGCAATTGTAGTACTATAGCGTATCTGCCTCGTTTTCTCATTCATTCATTTTTAAAGATATCCCTTTAAATCTCCATAAAAATATGCAATGAAAAATACGTTAGAAAACATATTAATTGATTTGGAAAACTGCCCTTCCAGTGAGTGTTTCAGGATGATTTCTTCGCCCTGTTAGGCCTTTTCATTGATTTTTCTATCAATGGTTAGCATCTCTTATTAACAGATATAGGACTAACCTCACATTTAAAAACATCAAGTCATGATAAAAAGACGACTAGATGTAAACAATGACGGCCTGAATCACACAAAGGAACAATGATTATGCCAAAAGCAAAAAAGCCCCCGCAGAAGAAGCCTATTTACCGTGATTTAATACCTTTAAGAGCCCTTAGTTGAACGAATAAGTGAAGTCGTTAGAATAAACTATTGAAATGAGCAGAATGTCATGAGCAGAATCTCATGAGCAAAACAAGTGCTCAACAGTCAACAAAAATGCCGCAAAAGGTTTAAATTGGAAGATGACATGCCAGTTTTCTTCAATTTTCGGGTGTTCAGATTTCAAAATTCAAAATGCAATCAGCAGGCAACCATTTCTGTTGGTGTATAGAACGGATTCGAGCACCCGCTTTACTACAGACCAGTAGACAGTGATTTTCAATGATTTAAATTATTCGTTATCCTGTAGCATACTTTTCTCTTGTGGAAATATAATCAAAAACTTTAAAACGTTCTGATTCTTACCTTTTAACCTTTTGACAGTTTGCCCATTTAATGAGCTGCTGTGGCAAGCGGAAAAAGTTTTTAATGGGCATACGACAATGCATGAGAAATTCTTTTGCATTGATGGCAATAAGAGGAGACGAAAATTGCATCGAGGTATTGCCTGGCAAAAGCCTTTGGTTTTTATTTTTTAAGACAAGTTTTTAGAAAAATATGTTCGTTTCATTTTCCTTTATTATCTAGGATTATTCCTTAGTGGTTAATCAGAAAGTCTTCGGATTGGTATTTTAAACATTGGGAAACTCAGATTTGTCTTGAATTTACAGATGTTTTCAGTCAAAATGACTTTGGGAAGCGTTTTCAAGTCTACATTGAGTTTACGGCCTTGCCTGCATCTTCGTAATTTTCTTTTTTTTTCTGCTTGTATTACTTAAAAATTTTGATTTACCATGTTATTTGATTTCCCAAAGCTTATTGCTAAAGGTTGCTCTAAAAATCGCCAAATAAAAACTAAATGATGGGGTGCAATCGTTAGGCTTTAGAAGCTAGCTTTTAGCTAGATTTTGCAATAAATTAAAGAGGATAAAATATGATCCTGAAATTTGTCTACTATTCTAGAGTTTATGATTTTTTTTGCTTTGTTTTTTTTACGTTAATTTGCAAGTAAATGAAATCACGCCATATTCTCAATCAATTTCTGAGTTTCCTAGTCTTTTCCCTCTTAGGCTCTGACCTTATTATTGGATTTTGACCTGGTCGAGGACGAAGATGAGAAACAGCAGATTATTACTGCCTTGCAGACCACTGAATGTGGACTGCGAAGCTACGAAGAGCTGTGCTCTAAAAAGACGAAATTTAGAGAAATGGTTCGTCAGTCATCTTTTTATTATTGTTTTTTATTTTTTTATCAAAAAAGTCTTGTTTTTTATGTGAATGTCTAGTTTCTAAAAATCATTTGTTTCAAAAAATGTTTAATCACATTTCAAACATACTTCGTGGTTTCACTATGTTGCAACAAAGCTGAGGAAAAGCTAGTCCAGCTTCTAGAAGCAGTTTTCAATATCTTTACGATTCTTAACCCCTTTTTGTAAGTGAATTGTCGAGTTTGATATATACAGTACATTTATGAGATATTTAAGTTTTTTATTTAATTATTGAATATTTAAATTACCCTTTTAGATTAGATACTAAACAGTGTACCCTTCTTGCAATTGTAAACGAAATCAGGTTCTGATGTATTTTTCATGAGATTAAAGAAGCCACTATCATTTGTGTGCTAATCTAGCTTAAGTTAAGCCAATTTTTGATAGCTCAGGTCTTTTATTATACTTAAATACTTTTTTTGAGGAATCGTGTCCTGTGACCAGTTTCCGATAGTCAAATTTGTATTGTACGCGATTTTTTCTTTTTGATGTATATACAATTGTTGTCTTGAAATTGGAAATTGCCGTATCTTTTAGTTGGCAATGAAAGTTATAAAATGTTTTAGTTGGTGTTAAAGTTATAAAAATTATTAATCAATTTATATATGGTTACAATTAGGTAATGCGAATTTTTAATTATGGTACTTTGCTTTCAGCGAAAACAAGATGGCCCAACACATCTTACGCTGCCTACTAAATCAACGGTATGAAATGCACAAGTTTCTTTCAGTCACTCAGCTGCATCGATAGCAATATAGTATAAAGGCTACAATATAGTATCAACGAGCAAAGTTACTGTAAAATGGGCTCAACAGGCAATGTACAGTCCAAAAACAGTTTAATGTGATTGATTAAATAAAATAATATGCTGAGTATATTTTTGAGACCCTTTTTACGAACTGCAGCACTAAAACTCGTCCTCAAATACCTACCTACACATGGTTTACCTATCAACCTATTTTTGTCAATTTCTGGATTATGATAAAATGGGGGACGATAGTCGGTCAATCGAGGAGATTTTTTCGTAATTAGGGAATCTTGTGTAGATTCACGTCAGGATGTAAGCTTAGTCATACTATGACGATTATATTGATAAAACCTTTTGAAGGTTGCACGAGAAACTATTCCTGTTTTGTCTACAAAAGAATTCTACGGAATGTTTGTTTTAAAAGCCACAAGGCGAACCTTAAGGAGAACCTTTCTATTTGTGTACCTTATTTTTATCATTATTTTGGCAAAATTTTCTTGAAACTTCGATTTAGATCCATGTTGATGGCGAAAAATATATGTGAAAATTGCAAGATAAATATTCTGCGTCAGTCATATGTTTATTTTTTGGACCGTATACTTTATTTCACATTTTTTGCTTGTTTTTCCAAGGACCAAGATCTGGCGGCTGTTTTGAGATCTGGCTCATTTGGTAACTTAGAAAGCCTGAACCTCGCTTTCACAAGAGTCACTGGCGCATGCGCAGAGTATCTAATACAGTTGCCTGCTTTAATTCACCTCAATCTCTGGTGCACACAGGTTTGTGTATGCTCTCAATTTCCTTCATTTGTTGTTATTCATAAAGATTTTATTCATAAAGGTAACACTCCTGAGCTCGAACAAAATTGGTTAGCAGCCAGATAAATCGATGTAATTTGCGGCAACGCATTTGCAGACTGTATCCTTGGGCTGAGTTGGATTGTCTCCTTTTGCTGAGTTATTCACTGTCCTCGCTAAATAATGTTTTTTAATGCTCGTCAGAATTTGTGATGCTTTCTTCGATTTTGTTTATGCATCACCTTTTGCCAAGTCTTAGGTACTTAAGCATAAAACACAGGCTCACTTTTTCTAGGCCATTTGTAAACCACGGTTGCTAGTTTATTCATGCTGTATTATGCACACACACACACACACACACACACACACAGGATAGTGCGTCGAGAATCTTCGTTGTGCCACTATCACTTACTAGTTGAGTCGTTAAACAGATGAGCAAAGCAAATTTTACTTTAATTCTTGGAATCAAAGATCTTAGTTTCTTTTCAGCAACATACGTACTTTTTAACCTATTTCATTCCTGATTTGAGCTTTTGTAATAAACTTGTGCTGAAAAGGTGCAAGGAACTTGGGATGTTGTAGAAATGCAGCATTATAGAACTCAAAATATACACGTGTCCAAACCCAAGTTTTTTAATTGCAATTTCATTTGAAACTTGCTTTTTTCTTCTCAAAATTAGTTTGATGATCGTGGACTTCAGTTGCTGACAGAACATGTCAACACATTGCAAAGTTTGAACCTTAGTGAAACACCAGTTACTGACGAAGGACTTCAATCCCTGTGCATGCTTCCAAATTTGAAATTTCTTAACTTAAACAGCACCAAGCTCTCTGCACTTGCTTATGAAGGAATTAAGGTTTGTTGCAGTTTTCTTTTCCTTGTTTACCAATGGTGTCCTCGGTGTCGTTTTGATTGCTAGCATCTCCTTTACGTTTTACTTTCCCGATCTCCCTGCAAATATTTGCAACGTCTCGAATTTAAGGGATGAATATCCTAGTGCCTTGTTGTTTTAAGTATACTTCACCTTTCAATGTCCATTCCGACTAGCGTCCTCCGAACACCCTCCCCCCCCCCCCCCCCCCATCAAATAATAACCCCTCTTTAGTTTTTTTCTGAAATCAAATTATGAAAAACGTTCTACATCTGATACATATTAGCAGCCCCTGGAATAAATGCCTCATCTAAAGCATATAATAACTTGAATAACGCCTCGTTTGTTTTCTCAAAGCAATTCAGTGTGTTGTCCATGATTTCTTTAGAGAAGGGCCTAAAAACCCGAAACCAGTTTCAAAAGTGGTTATGTAACGTCCCGCTTGCTCTCGTTTACTTATAATATACTATTTTCCTGAAAACGTAAATAATCGCGATGACTTATTCTACAACTGTGATGTTTTTACTCTGATATTTACCTCTTGTTGACTGTTCCCACTATCATGGTGCAACATAATTCACGCTAGCTTTACTTGATGTTAAAAGAACGTTTTATACTAAAATGCTGTTCTTCAGTGCCGAATATCATGGTACATTCCCGGTGTCTCTTGATTGGTCACTAAAGGACCCAACGGTACCATTGTCTGTCAATTTTTCTATTCAGCTGTATTATACTTCAGTTTTCCGTGGTTTTTATGTAGTTAAATTCTAGTCCCACCTGCATTCCAATTATGAAAAACGAGGGCTTTATAAATTACTTGCTCTCTTCAACGCCTCCGCAGGCGCTCTTCTCACCGCCTTCCACCAGGATAGCCTCTACTAATTCTCTAGATTTTGGCACGCTGGGTTATCGAGTTCTACTCATATTTCAAGCCGTTAACCATTATATTCCTTTTTACATTTCTATGTTTACCAATTTTTGCGTTATTTTTAGAATAAACTGCAGACATTGGAAGATGTAGACATCCGGTACACCGAAGCATGGTGATATTAAAAACACTGAGTGCTTTTTCTACGTCACAATTGAGCCTTATGATGAACAGGTCTGCGAATAATGTTGGTGCGTGTAACCTGGCTAAACTGTGCTGCTCAAATTGTGTTAATATACAAAGAAACAGTAGCATTTACATTAATGAAGTATTGATGCCTTTGATGTGAATAACAGCAGACAAATAGATGACGTTTTGGAGCCGGTATTTGCTCGATTGTGAGTCAAGCTATGACAGCAATAGAATTCCTGCTCGAACTGTCAATTTTACTCGTAATATTTTACTGTGATTTTCTTTTAAGTTTAATTCTAAAGTAAATTATCAATTTCGTGCTCAAAGCCATTCAAAATGTGCAAGAAGTTGAAATCTTCAATTTAAGAAACCAGTCAAGAAATTAAGGGCGTGGCTTTCAATGTCGATGTTTTTTGCCAACAGTACAGGTATATTTTATTGAGATGCTTTGCTACTAGAAAACGATCTATATTTCCTTCGGACAAACCCAAAAGATATGGATACCTTCCTCGCAAAAAATTGAAATAAAAGGCTTGGATGGGGCACTTAGGTTTTCTTCTGTTTTTCACTGGCCTACCTCTCAATGTCGTGACCGTGTGACTGCCGTGTTTACAATGCTCTGAATCACACATGCTGACGAAATAAACTCATTACACTTCAGTTTAACCCCCGTTGATTCTTTTTGCATATAAAGAAATGTATGCATTTCAAGAGCAAAGCTGTGCTGCGCTGGGTCGTTTTCATCAGTTTTGCGATAATGGTTTTGTTCTCTAAATCAAAATCATACTGCCGAGTGGCTGATCCGGTTGCGGCCATTTTCATTCATATAATTTTTAGGTCAAGGCAACCCCAAAATTGAAATCACAGCCGTGAAAGGCAACTGGTGCATAAATTTGATGACCATAACTTGCAATAAAGAACAGTTGACTGTCAACTATGGAAATAAAGGTTTATTATCGCATTTCCATGCCGCTAATTGCCATACCCACTGTCCGCAAGCCCATGTACCCCAAAAAATAGCGTGTCATTAATTAGCATGGAGAAAATCGCCAACGAGAGCCTGCTCACCTTTCTACATTAGGCAAACCACAATGCTTTGGAAATCCGTTTAATAAGTGGCATGAAAAAGGTTTATAATTTTGTTTGCATTTACATTGTGAATACGAATTGCACTTCGAATTTAAACTTCCTCCTTTACACTTCAAAGCGCCATTGACTTTAATTACGAAATAACTTTTATCGCATATAATTGTATTTTTTAGCCTAAGTATATTATCTTATTAATGAAAAAGTTTATGAAATAAGGCAATCACTCCTAACAATTGACGCCACAACAATGTGGAATTCCCTCAAGGTCGAAGACACCGTGTTTTAGAACACGAGATCAGGTAACCCTCTCAAATGGTGTCCTAAGTTTCTCTCAGCTGAGAAAGATTCTATCACCTTGTCCCGTGGAGATAGAGCTGGTCTTTGTGTTCTGACAATTTTTTGTTGATAGATTTACAGATAGTTTAATTAACTGTAGTATAAGAAGTCATTAATGTTATTTTCGTAGATTTTCGTTTAATGCCTTGTCTGTCCTCAGCATAAAATCGCCATGAAACTAGAAATGGATGAATTTTAATTTGACAAGTGTAGCTCGTTGAACTTGCAATTTCAACTGTTGCAGCGGAATGACGCTGACGAACCCTCGTTACCTAGACTTCTCGGTTGCTGTGAATTCATTCTACTACAAGAAAGCAATAGCACTTTGATCTCTACCCAAGTACGTTTTTAATGTACTTCAAGTTTTATTGATTAATTACATACTTTTCCCTTCCTAATTTGAATGGAAACTCGAAGGGCTTTGTGTATCCTTTTCTCTTCCTAATTCGAATAGAAGCTCGAGGGATTTTGTGTCCATACTTTGTCTTTATCCCCGTTTGAAATGTAGCCATCCTTGGATTTCTTCTCAACTGTTGGACGAGAATTAAGGTCTCCGCTCTTCATTTCATTCATCTTTTTATCAGTGGTAATCCCTCAGTCAAAATACACATATAACTACTATTTCATGCCTTGTGCAGGGGACAGTATCTTGCACTGTCTTAACCATAAGAACCACATTATATTTCGCTTGACTCCAGTTTACATTGAAAATGTATGTACATTGTTGTTAATGTCGCTAGAAATTCCTTGCTCAATTTCTGTCATCTATTAGCGATATATTCGTATGTAACCAGGTACTCGTTGTATTATCAACATAAAACGTACATTGATGCCTCTATACAGCATTATTTCAGGACCAGGCTTACTGTCTGTTGTTAGAGTCCGTTGTTTCATAGTTGATTGCACACGACTTTATCGGACTATAGACGTAAAAGCCTGTCCGTTATTGAATATCTGTTATTGAGAGCTGCCTATTGATGGAGGTTCCATTGTAATTGTAAATATCTCACCAATCAAGAGCTTATGTTGAAAACATTGTTGATTAAGTTTTAATTCTGTTTTTTCGAGTCGTTTCTCTTATCATGCATTGTCGTTTCCCACTCGAAAGTCAGTTGATTTCTCTTCTTGGTTATCGTAGAATCGTTGGCACTTGGTAGCTGGTAAAGGCCTTTGCTTATTCCAGTTTTCAGGGGAATAGTGGTCTGAACTGAATTAACTGAATTTATGATAACTAAGCTCACACAGGAAAAGATAATAAGCGAATGGAAATGAAACGAATAACCAGGAAGTGTCATTTCGAAAAAAATAGGATTCAGTTTGTATGATTGGAAAATTATAACAAATTCAGCTCAAGATTTTTCATATAGTCTTAAGTGTGGAATAATTTACATCAAGAAGCGTGAAAGTTTTCATGTGTGAGTTGAAGAGCCAAAACCGGTGTATTATTATTGGTATACCTGTCATGGCGAAATATTTTGGAAGTTAAGTGAAATTCTGCTAGAATGGCACTTGTTTTTAACAGCTGAAGTAACAAGAATTTGTAGACTTTTAGGTTTTTGTTGCAAGTGATGAACAAGACAAAAGAGCAAAGCAAAACGGCATGTTTCTATTAAGCATCAGAATGGTTCACACAACACTTAAATGCACTCATTTTTTATAAGAAACTGGCTATAAGAAACGAATACTTGAAAATAAGAAAAGATTAAGAAACTTCAGTGCTCGAAGCAAAGAAAATTAAGAAACTATTAACTTGTGATAAAACTGAGAACAACGAAATTTTGTAAAATCCAAGAACATGGTTGCCCTTGTTAGCCTAGGACTTGAAGCACAAGGGATAAAAATATACTTCCCACATCCAAATACATCATCAAAATGGAAGCGAATCTATTGACGTGATAAAAAAGGTCACGAACATTTCATATCATCATTCATGACATCATATCATAATTAATAAAATTCTAAAGAAACAATGAGTATTGAAAATGCCAGGACATTAAAAAACTGGAGTATTCAACATCGACCTTTGTTTCTTATAAAAAATGAGAATAGTGTGAGTTATCATCCCTATATAACTATAAGAAAAACTTGCACTACACTGTTATGGAAACTGAAAAACAAGCAGGTACAATACAACCCCTAAAAGAAGTATCAACATTTTCAGGAGTCAGAATTTTTTGGGACTTATGATTATGAGCCTTGTCAGTGATACCTGGCAAAAAGGGTGTCACCCTGCGCCAATAGATCGTTCTTGGACAATGCCATTCACAGAAGTAATTTTGTTTTTTGTCAGACTAAACACAAGGATTAAATTCTCAGGTTATTCTACTCGTAGCCAGAGCTCAATCGTTGTAGACTAACCAGAATTTCTAGGGGCAATGACTTTTAACAGGCTTGTCCATTTCATAAAGGGTACTTGTCAACAGTTCTCGTCAGTGGCAAAGAGTACTCATAATTATCTTAACTAAAACAAATATTCCAGAATATCAATGTAGCCATGGTTCAAAGGCTGCAAAGTGTAACGTGCAATTTCAGAGACTTGGCACAACTGTCGTTTTGACAAGTTAAAAGGCTGCTCAGTTTCCACAGTGCCTCCGTTTTAAACTTGCTGAGCTAAAAAACAGCTGGCGTTTTCCAGCCTTTCTTTAAGCAAATTAGATTTTGCAATCTGAAAAAGAAAGCTGAAAAAACTTGCTATCTTTAGTAATATAAAAAGATTTCTTTTAAAAATATAACTTTATGAAGGACGCCAACCTGATTTGATATCATCCAATACTTTTCTTAATTTCTAACTTCAAGAACTTGATTTGAACGGCTTCAATGATTTGCTTTAACTCCATCTCTTGGAAGACAGTCACATCCTCGGCCTTAGAATTTGCGCTCAATCTTGTTCGATCGGTTTGTACTTTTGGGATCAATTTAACCTAAGATCAAAGCCCTCAAGCTATGCAACAAAAAACTGTCAAGGTCCTTAGGACGCAATATTAACTGCAGAACATGTGAAAAAATTGATTTAAATATTCGGCTCTAAAAATGTGGAATAACACGCAGTAGCGAATCTAGCCTTAAAAACCTTGGGGGGCTAGCCGGGGGCCAAACTTTCAGTTATAGGGGTCAACGCTTGTAGAATGTAAACAGTGACGTGGTGACTCAAATTAGCTACAAGGCACCGATTTTTTGCGCCCCCCTAGACAAGTATGTCCTTGGTACAGCTGTATCAAGGCTGTTATCATTATGCCAAATAGTTTTATTAGTGGCATAACGAGCAACTGTGTCCCCTAGGAAAAATAACAAAGAAAATTGTTGCTGGGGGGCCCCTAAAGGTTCGGGACCCTTTGTTGCTTAACTAAATCTAACTTTGTTCTGTTACTCCACTGAGTTTTATCTGTTTATCAATAATGCATCATGAACATTAGAATTTCAACAGGAGAACTATACTTCTAAAAAATAAAAGGCTAATAGCTTTGTAAAGTTGATTGGTAAAATTTATCCATAGCAGTTTGTATGCCTTCTATCCAACCTCCATGAGATCAAGCGAATCATTCTCTTACACAGAATTTCAAATCATAGAGTATCAAAAAGCAATAGTAGATTGCCAAGGTATACTGGGATGCCATTGGTATTTCCCTGCGCTGGGTTACAGTGCGAAAAGGGTTTTCAATGGGATGCGGAGAATCTTGGTTTGGGCTTACCCTGTGCACCCCACCCCAAGAAGGTAAATCTTCGTGATAATATATAACAAATATAGAATTTAAATGATTGTCAAGAATAAATTTTTCTTGGTGACTACAGAAAGGCCAAAATTCCATTGATGTTCACCTCGGTTACAAACCAAAACGCTTATCAGGGCCTTTGATTTGTAAAAAAATGCAATAAGAATCGAATTTAGCAAAATAAAGAGAGCAGCCCTAACAAAGCCATAAAACGATTGAACAGATTTCAAAGGAATCACTGAATTTTTAGTTAAAACTTTTGAAAAACTGGGGGGGGGCAAAAAATGGGCAAATAAAATTTCGGGTGAGGGGCATGGCCTCCTGGCTTCCCCATAGAAGCGTCACTGACAAAACGTCTGTTGATATACGACAGGCCTCAACTCGATCAAAAATGCTAACTTCAAAACAAGATCCCCTCAAAGAACAGCAATATTAACAATTTACTTACTATCATGCTTTTGATTTCATTTTTGTTTATTGTCGTGTATAAATATTCATTTATTTATTTATTCATTCATTCTTGCAGGGTTTTTCATTACTATGCTTTTAAATTTTGTTACTTGGAAACTTTTTTAAGCAAAGTCGGGGTGTAAAATTATTGCATGTCCACGCTCCAGCCCACCTCCTCAACCCAGAGCCACTGCGCCCCTGACTGCCCGAAATAAACACAGAATGGAGGCTTGAAATCACACTCTGTTCCAGACCCCACTCACTGTCAGCATGGCTTCAAAACTTTGAGCAGATGTTGTCTGTAATCTGACCCTGATCACAGAATTTCTATTCTGTGCCCTGATGCATAGAGTCGTTGTATATTTATCTCTGATAAGCCATGAAAGCTGTAACTTATATACGCAATAAAATCTCCAAGAGCAGTACATCGCCACTGGTAGGGCTGATTGTTTGCTTTTTTGGAACTGGATCTTGGGTGGCCATAAATGGACTCTTCGTACAGCTTCCAATTCTTGTGAAACATGCTCCTGAAGGTTGGAATCTTCCATCGTATCTTATCGTTATCATTCAGCTTGGAAACATTGGACCCATTCTTTATACCCTTGGAAGAAAGTTTGCACCTCGCGTAGTCAAAGAGACAGTGGTAACACACGTTATCGTTTTGATGGCTGCTGTATCATGTCTTTTGATGTCCATTTTGTGGAGGGACACCTCAGCCATTGCAGGAAAAGAGCACAGCACAGCACTTCTTGTTCTAGTATTCTTTCTTGCACTCATGGCATGCACTTCATCTGTAACCTTTATTCCTTTCATGGGAAAATTCAAGTCTGGTTACATTGTCGCGTTTTTTGTTGGTCAAGGTGTTAGTGGACTTTTGCCTAGTGTAGTTGCTTTGATTCAAGGTGTCGGGGCTAGTTCAATCAAATGTCCTTCAGCAAGACCAAAAATTGGACTAAACGATCCTTTGCAGAATTTAACTTCTTCAAAGAGTAGCAATAAAAGTCAGCCCTTGACTAAAATAGAAAGTGAACCACTTTTTTCAGCTAATGCATTTTTTGTCTTCATTTTTATTGTAATGTTGTTTTGTGAAATCTGCTTCATACTTCTCAACTATCTACCGAAAGCAAAAAGGGAGCAAGTAAGTTCAGGATCTAAGAAGAGGGCAAACAGGACAACAGCAGATGAGCAAAAACCACTGGAGTTCCATCATAGACGGGCCAATTCAGAGACCCAAAACGACCCTTCTGAGCTGCTTGAATTGGAACTTGCTGGAGTAGACAAAGATTCCCAAAGCTCTCTGGTTTCTGATTCTGTTTACACAGATACTGTAGAAGATACAAATGACTCACCAACATTGTCTATGAGAATGATGTTACTTGTTCTGACAATACAGGCTTACCTCAATGCAGTTTTCAATGGAGTGATTCCTTCTGTTTTGTCCTATGCCTGCCTCCCTTATGGAGAGAAGACATACCATCTGGCAGTGACTTTAGCTGCAATAGCAAATCCAATTTCATCTCTTCTCTACTATGTGGTTGTTCTTAACTCTGTAAAGTTCATGGCAATCTGGACTGGCCTTTATTCTTGCTTTTGTGTCTATGTTGTTGCTATTGCTGCAGAAAGCCCTTGCCCTATTCTCCATGATAATGTTGGTGGCTCATTCCTTATTGTGAGTACAACTTTACATACATTATAAATTTAAAAACATATTATGCTGTTATTAAACTAAATGTGATAATCAGTAACTTTTCTGCATTTATGTAATGTTCAAAACATTAAACTTCTTATTACAGAAAATCAAGATATGCCATATTAAGTGGGTGAATGAGAAAATTCTTCATATAGAAAGTTAGGATGTACCAGAGCTTGTATAGAAGTTAGTTGTTTACAAGCTGCTTACAAGTTAGTTGAGTATATCAAGGAACTTAAATTCAAATACTCTTTGTATCTGCTTTGATTAAATATTTACACCAAATCATTCCTATTTTGCTCCTCTTCAAAAACCTTGTAAACTGCTAATTTGTTTCCTTGTGAGCTAAAAGGGCTGCAAAAGACTTCCTATGTCATATAATCTTGTGCTTTTTGAGCCCAAAGCTACATTTTCCCTCTTAATGCAATTAACTATGATTTTCAATGAAGCATAACCAATCTTGTCTCTATTGACTATAACAAATGCACAGGGATGGAACTAGAGACAAACATTCAAAGCGATTTTAGAATAATCATTACATGACCATGAAAATACCATTCTTTTCAGGTGTTTATGACAGTTGCAGGGACAGCTTTGGGTGGTTACTTGAGGACAGCTGTGAGCACTATTCTTAGAAATCAAGGGGAAAAAGCTCTCTTTTGGTGTGGTATAACAATCCAGATTGGTTCTTTCATTGGTGCTTTAGTCATGTTTCCACTTGTCAACATTTCTAAAGTTTTCAAAGCCAGTAGCTGGTAAGATAGCAAACTTTGGTATCCTATTAGGTAGTGTTTATATTTATGTGATATACCTGTGACTTAAAGCAAATGACATTATGTTTTTGTAACCGTAGGTATTCGAAGTCAATTATATATCATATCAAATTTCATTGTTGTAAACTGTTCCTTAATTACCGTAGGATTTGTAAAGTATCACTGCTTCTGGTATCTAAAATCATTAATTATATTTTTATTCATTGTAAGCATCCGTTTGATCAGCTGTTTATCACTTGGTGCAAAGAAAATAATGTCAAACCATTTATACACTGTACTTCGTTTTGGCTTTTAGAGCTTTAGCTATGTTATTTGCCATTGTTTTATATCTGGTCTGAGTGCTCTAGCAGAAAGTATGCTGAAAATGGACAAATTATTTAAATACCTTTTTTATTCATAAAACCTTTGCTATTAACTCTTGCTCATCTGAATTTTACCAACATATAATTATATCAAGCAATTATACAATATGTTGAATCATTGACAGACCTGTCATGGTTTATTTCTTTTTCTTTTCTTTATCCCCTTCTGCAATGTTTGTATGCTGCCCATAGATTATTAGTAGCCAAAAGATGTACCATCACCTTTAGTACATAAATGAAATGATTAGTTTTAGATGATATCTTAAACTGGCACATAGTTTTTAATATTCCCTCTAATACAGCACTTACTGTACCTGCCCACCTACCAAACTAACAATGATCAATTACAACATATTACTTTTCACAAATTCAAACTGATAAATATATGTAGGCATGCTAAATGGGCAAACATAAAGGGCTTTTATTGAGACCAATTTCTTAAAGGAGGGCTACCTCAGTGGGCAAGCCAATCAAGTAGGGAATGCCCCCTATGTGAGAAGAAATGGACTTATTTAGGATATTAAGTTGTTTTCTAGCTAGTAAGTTTGCCGCAGTAAACCTGCTTAAAGCGGACACATGTATGATAGGTGTAACTGTCATTATTGGAGGTTAATTGTAGGGTGCTTTGGCTGCAGATAGGAAATTTGTGGAAAAATTATTTTGACTGTTGCTTGATGATGTCTGTCATTGGGAGATGTTCGTTGTTGGATGTTTTACTGTCATCACATTTTAAATCTTTGACATAAAGATAATTTATTGCCACAAGTTCTATAATTGACTGTTGCTTGATGATGTCTGTCATTGGGAGATGTTCGTTGTTGGATGTTTTACTGTCAACACATTTTAAATCTTTGACATGAAGATAATTTATTGCCACAAGTTCTATAATTTACACCAGAGACAATCATATAACGAACACCTGTTAGTTTATGAGATAGAAATTGACAGCAGAGCGTTACACGATAATACAATTTAAGATGGATCTATGCTGATTATTTGCTAATATGAGTATACAATGTGGTTAAAGGACTTCAATTCAAATAAGCTTGTACAAAGTATTTGCTTTTGATTAAATATTGATGCTCAATCATTCCCATTTTGTTCCTTTTCAAAAACCCTCTTTACTGCCAACTTGTTTCCTTGTGAGCTGGAAGGACTGCAAAAGACTTCCTATGTCATATAATTTTGTGCTTTTTGAGCCCACATTTCCCCTCTTCACATTTCTCACATTTCCCCTCTTCAATGAAGCATAACCAATGTTGCCTCCATTGACTATAACAAAAGCACAGTTTGGCGCTAGAGACTAGATTGGTTGTCAATGGGGGGATAGGAAGTTTTATTGGTCCTTCAGAAGCTAAGTTTTATTAAAAACAAATAAATCCTTGATATGTATTGCTTTTCTACGAATTTCCAGGTCTCCATTCAGAGGTATGCAAACATTTTGAGATCATAACAAGAATAACTATGAATTTAAGTAAATTGTGCATAGCCTGTTATCAAGTCAATTTGCATAAATTGGAGAGCATGAATGTTTTCTCCATTTTATGTTTCTGTTTTCAGTAAAATGCTTCAAAAGGTTTTCAGTAAAAGACGATCATTAAAAATAGAACAATTTGGAAACACTGTGTTGCTTAATTTTATATTCTTCCTTTAACTAAAAACTTGATTTTAAACATTCGCATTGTTTGGGTGCTTCCTTTTCCGATATTCAGCATTGCTGTAAAGACGAAGCATCATTAACTGTTTCTGCATTTTTACTCATTGCCACGCAAGTTACTTTCTTCTAAAAGTGCCTATCTATACATAATTTTTTCCCCTATTTACCTTTGCTTGATGGCGGGTATTTGAACAACTTTGTTTGTACCTGTGTTGTGATTTTATATCTTAAATCGATTATTAGCATGGCCCTTCTTTCTTGCCTATTGTTTTCAAAAGCTTTTCCAAGTTGTATTGTTCTACCTCCAACTGTACGGTCATAAACCGTTCGTTCTGTACGGTCATAAACCGTTCGTTCTGTACGGTCATAAACCGTTCGTTCTGTACGGTCATAAACCGTTCGTTCTGTACGGTCATAAACCGTTCGTTCTGTACGGTCATAAACCGTTCGTTCTGTACGGTCATAAACCGTTCGTTCTGTACGGTCATAAACCGTTCGTTTGTTTTGTACTAATTCAAAATGTTTTTTCCTATTCAAACTGCTCTATTCTAATTCAAAATTTTGATACTATTTTGAACTTGTTTGTCTTTATTCTTACTGTGCTGTCCTTATTCTAACTGTTCTGTAATTTTGAAAAATTTTCTGTCACGATTGAACCTCTTCCCTCCTGATTCACATTGTTCTGTCCTAAAACAAACTGTGCTTTTGTAAAATGCTCTATCATAATTCAGACTGTTCTGTCCTTCTTCAAACATTTGTGTTCTAAATCGAACTTGTCTGTCTTTATTAAAACTGTTCTGTCCTAACTCAAACTGTTTTGTCCGGACGGAAACTGTTTTGTCCTAATCAAAATTGTACTGTCAGTATTTAAACTTTCCTAATTCAGAATGTTGTTTCCTAATTTAAACTATTCTAACCTAGTTGGAACTCTTCTATTAGTTTAATTCAAATTGTTTTGTCTTAACCGAAATTGTTTGTGCTAATGCAAAATATCATATCAAAATTCAAACTGTTCTGTCCTTATTAAAACTGTTTTGTCCTTATTCGAAATATTTTGTCCATATCAAATTGTTTTTCCTGATTCGAACTGTTCTGTCCTCATTTCAACTGTTCTGTCTTTATTCAAGCTGTTCCGTCCCAATTCAAATTGTTTTGTCTTTATTGAATTTGTTCGGTCCTGATTCAAACTGTTCTGTCCTTATTCAAGCTGTTTCTTCCCGATTAAAACTGTTCTGCCCTTATTAAAACTGTTCTGCCCTTATTAAAACTGTTTTGTCCTTATTCGAACTGTTCCGTCCCAATTCAAATTGTTTTGTCTCTAGTGAATTTGTTCTTTCCTGATTCAAGCTGTTCCGTCCCGATTCAAACTGTTCCGCCCTTACATGGGCTCCGACAAAGGTTGAAAAGTAGGGGGGGGCCAAGGGAAAATTTAACACCCATAGCAAAAGTTTTTGAAAAAAACTCGTCGGAGGCCCTGCCTTATTACAACTGTTTTGCCCTTATTCGAATTGTTCTGGCCAATTCAAATTGTTTTGTCTTGATTGAATTTGTTCGGTCCTGATTAAACTGTTCTGTCCTTATTCAAGCTGTTTCTTCCCGATTAAAACTGTTCTGCCCTTATTAAAACTGTTCCGTCCCGATTCAAACTGTTCCGCCCTTACATGGGCTCCGACAAAGGTTGAAAAGTAGGGGGGGGGGCCAAGGGAAAATTTAACACCCATAGCAAAAGTTTTTGAAAAAAACTCGTCGGAGGCCCTGCCTTATTACAACTGTTTTGCCCTTATTCGAATTGTTCTGGCCAATTCAAATTGTTTTGTCTTGATTGAATTTGTTCGGTCCTGATTAAACTGTTCTGTCCTTATTCAAGCTGTTTCTTCCCGATTAAAACTGTTCTGCCCTTATTAAAACTGTTCCGTCCCGATTCAAACTGTTCCGCCCTTACATGGGCTCCGACAAAGGTTGAAAAGTAGGGGGGGGGGCCAAGGGAAAATTTAACACCCATAGCAAAAGTTTTTGAAAAAAACTCGTCGGAGGCCCTGCCTTATTACAACTGTTTTGCCCTTATTCGAATTGTTCTGGCCAATTCAAATTGTTTTGTCTTGATTGAATTTGTTCGGTCCTGATTAAACTGTTCTGTCCTTATTCAAGCTGTTTCTTCCCGATTAAAACTGTTCTGCCCTTATTAAAACTGTTCCGTCCCGATTCAAACTGTTCCGCCCTTACATGGGCTCCGACAAAGGTTGAAAAGTAGGGGGGGGGGCCAAGGGAAAATTTAACACCCATAGCAAAAGTTTTTGAAAAAAACTCGTCGGAGGCCCTGCCTTATTACAACTGTTTTGCCCTTATTCGAATTGTTCTGGCCAATTCAAATTGTTTTGTCTTTATTTAATTTGTTCTGTCCTGATTCAAGCTGTTCTGTCCTGACCCAAACTATTCTGTCCTGTTTCAAACTCTTCCACACGTATAACTCAAAGCGTTCTTTCCTAATTCAAAGTTTTCTGTCCTAATTGAAAACTGTTGTGTCTTGATTCAAACTTTTCCATCCTGAGTCAAACTTTTCTGCCCGAAACTGTTATGGAGCTAGTATTGAGTTTGTTTAAATGTTTATTTTGTCTTTGATAGCTATGTTCAATATTTTTCCAATTGAAGAGATTTGATCCAAGGTAGTACCAAAGTCTTTTGAGAGAAGGAGAGTGTCTTACAGGTTTCTGAGTTGGATCGGCCAGTAGTAATCGATTTTATCCGCTTGTTGATTGACTGCAAAGACGGAGATGGCTTGGCAACAAGACGGGGTATAGCATGTCGACTTGGCAGGAGATGGCTCATATTTATCTCCCCTACAAGGTACGTGAATTGATTTATTTGATCGTCTATGCATCTTATGCTTTTTATACATGATTTTTTATATGCGACACATATGGATGCATCTAAGGTAGCTTTAATAATGCCTACATTTGTAATATCTTCCTGTAAATATTTTAAATACAAGATTCTGGTTGTTCTATGACAAGAATTCACGAACGAGCCATACGAATCATATGAAGGAATGGCACTTCAGTATTTCAGTGTCTGTTCACTAGCTAAATTTACAGCTGCTCATGATCAAAATAACTGCTAATTACTTAAATCCAACATTTATTGAAGTTATAGCTATTTGTTACCAGTAACCTACAATATTAACTTTGAGCAAAAAACAACGTTGCTTTACCTAGTGCAAGAACAATAATATATGACACTTTCAGATTTACAGGCTAAAAATTATGCTAATGGTTGCCTATTGTAATGAGTACCAATACCTTGATATTTTCAAACGAAACATGAAATATTTAGTCACCTTTTAGCTATATGATTGATTAGACTATATACTATTATCATACTGTTAGGCCCATCAAAATTATTACTTACTATATGTTGAAGATTTTTTAATTAGGCCAATATTGACAGGAGGATATCTTTTTAACAAGGATGTATTCAAAGAAACACATGTTCGCTTTCTTCTTATAAGTAATCGTAAAAAATCTTTAGCTTCAATAGGATTTTACTATGTTGCTACCCCTAACGAGCAATTAAAGGTAATTTGAATGAATAGTAAAATTGGACTTTATTACGATGGGAACTTTATTAATCACTTGTAATCGAACTGATTTGAACTATTCGGTGAATCGTTGCTGATTCGCAACGGAAGAGTTATCATACCTTGCGCATGCCCCGAATTTTGCTAGTTTAAGACAGTAACACTTGGCTCTTACTATACAATAAGGGTTTTCGGATAGCACAATCCACAGTTTGCCTTAAAGACTCTGGTCTACCCATAAGGCTTAATGCTAATAAATACAGCAAATCTAAAATTAACTTGGACCAAATTAATCAGAGCACGCTCACAATTGGAAACTGCTCACGTGAATCTGTGTACAGGAAAAATCCGGACCATTGCCGAAGACACTATTAGAGTGAAGACACTTAAAGTGAGAAAATGGATGCTCGAAGATTCCAGACTACCGATATCGATAATTTTGAAATGATAGATCAATTATAGTTTATGGCGGAGACGAAGCCATAACTTTATTCTCCATTTTGAGCCACTGTGCGCTGCGCTAGGATTTCGCCGATTTACAGAAAGGCGGAAACTGTTCACATGATACTCTCCCTGCGCAATTAGATTGGTCAACCGTTGATGATCGATTGGCTGTAAGCCATTCTTATCTGTGTGAAATGCCTTTAATCGATGCGATGGTAAGCTACTGTGGCCCTCCGACTTGTGCCCGAAGTGTTGAAGCTGTGTGAACGGCATGTGTACGCATTTAGGGTATGCCGCGAATTGCACAACGGGACGAATGGCAAAACGGGATGAATTGCCAGGTGAAGCTATTTATCAGGTTACTAAGAAACCATTTGAGATGAAACTAGAAAGTAATTACTACAATTGTTGGTTGAAAGCAGAATCACACCACACGAAACACAAATGCATATTTTATAGGTTGGTTTTGAATTCTTATTCAAGTTACGAACACATTTTATTAGCGACCTGTTCCTTTTCTTGAATAACCCTGCTTCTTGCAACCAATTTATTTACGTGTACCATAGATCCCCTAATTCCATAATACACCGTTCTATTGTGTTTATTCGGTTGCGCCAGGAATATAATCAAATATACCTGTCTTATTTACCATTATCTTACAGAAGGCAAACAAATTGCGTGAACGTCATAATTTTGTGCCAATCGTGAACAGACTGTGGAAAATTTTGCCGACTTTTGAATTTGTTTGTTTCTCGCGATGGATGTTCGCATGGTGGAAATCTTGTAAGTGTCTTTATGTCTCTACTTCACTAACTTAGGCCATGATATTGAATGTTTTTGTTTGTCCCTGTCATCAGTGGGCGAGACTGACTACTGACTGTTTCTTAATTAACAGCAGCGCCATACTTTTTTCAAAAAATGCAGATTCAGTGTTGATATAAGCTGATTTGAAATATCGCGACATTATTCGTAATATATCTTTAGTTATCTTCAGTTGGTTTTCATTCTCTACAACTGACTCTTAAAATTTTTTATTTGTTTAGTAATTCGGTCTGAATTTGTTTGTAAACACGGCATGTTTTCCTCGCCGTAGAAACTTTGCAAATTAGCGCAGTTTTTTTGCCAAATTTAATTTTAAAAGGCATATTCAATAAATGAAAAAGAACTCATCTGTTAATGTCATGTCAATACCATTTAGATTCAGACACAGATACAGAGAGAAACACTTTGTGCTTACACTTAGGTGGAGTACAACTCATTTTGTACTCTCTGAATATTGCTCAACGATATTTAACTTTGACGTTTCTCATTTCGTTTTATCATCTTAATTTCAAACTTAAACGCAATCTTTTAGCGGTTTGTTATGCCAAATATTAGGCTATTGAATTTAAGAAGGCATGTTGCCAAAGTGCCTTCAAGTCCGTGTTCTAACTTGTTACTAAAACTTATATTGATTTCTAAGTTTAAATCTTTCATTCATAGACTTTTTAGTGATTAACTACTGCTTTCAAGTATTGAGAAAGTTTAGAGGACGAGTAGATTGTTTTCAATTGCTTCTATATTGTCTTCAAACTGCATTGGCTCATGATTATTGAGCCTGCTAGATCTACGCTCCTGATTGGAGCATTTTTTTGCTCGGCATGCAAGCGAAAGTCCTGCGGAGAGCAGAAATATCAGGGTTATTCTTTAAAGGCCTGTTGAAACAATAGCCTATTGTATAATGCAGCCAATAGAATTTCATGTGACCACCTAAATTCAGCTGGATATAATGCCTTTAACAAATATCTGTCCTTCAGTCTTGAAATGATGTTGCGATTAGCACAGAAACCCTATTTCTGTATTGTATCAGTTTTTGATAAACCGTGTTCACTTCGGAATCAACATGTGTTGTGTTTTTCGTTGAACTGAACTGAAAAGCCAACTTGTTGCTTTTTAGGAGTAATTTTAGTTTTATAATATTTAGATTTAATTTAGATGTAATATTTAGATTTAATTTTTACGAGGGTAATGCTATTAACTTCGATGAGTTTCATTCCTGTTTTTTATGTCATACAATACTTAGTCAGATAAACAAACATTGCTAGATTTTCTCAAAAAAGACTCATATACACTCAAAAAAGAAGCCATGGCCTCTTGTTAAACTTCCAACTTATTTCTTGTTATTTAAAAGAACAAAAGTGCAAACAGCATAAGATGATATCCAAGGAAGAAGATTAATTTTTCAATATCTAGGCTCTTGATTCTCTTCTTCAAATTTCCTTCTTGTTAATTTTTTTTAGCTGAAAAGCCAAAAAATGATGCTTCGTATTTGGTTCATTTTCCTTGCTTTGGCGCGAGTAAACAGCCTTGATGTCTACGATAAATATTACAGTAAGTGATTTTGCTGTTACTTATTAAAGAAAATTTGTGTTATTTATTCACACTGATCAGAAAGTAACTCTTATCTTGTAGATACGAAACTTCCCTTGTAGACACGACACAACTCTCAACACATTTATCTTTGTTCTCAATCATCTTCATTTATGTATAACAATATTCGAGCCTGCATATACGATGAAACATTTACTTGGAATAAACCCTGAAACATTTTATATTTGATATTAGTTGAAGGTGATGTGTATGTCGCAGTTGATCACTTACACTGCCTATTTGAAATGGTATCAGCATAATCTATTTACATAGGCTAGATTCTTTATTGAAACACGAGATACTCTTAGGTATCAAATCTAGCATACGATCTTAAGATTTTCTACCGTGATGCAGTTAGTAAAGAGCCAAAAATTGAAATTGTTGGTAAACAGTACTAATTGGCGAGGAAACACAGAAAATGTTCCATTGATAAGAAAGTGTAGAGAGAAAAAAGAGAAATAGAACTTGTAAAAAATTGGAACTCTATCAGCTTGTTATTACTAAAGACAGATTCTAAAATAGAAACACTGGTGATTTCTTTGTTTTCAAAAGACACACAAGATGCTAAATTACTGCGTACAAATGCAACATTTGTCATTTTAAAAATGAATATTTCTAATGAGATAGAAATCTCGGTAGAAACAGTAGAACGCTGTCATACGAGAAGTTTGCAGCTACAAATATCCTTTGACGGCACTGTAACGACACATTTGCTGAAAGTATAAATCTTAATTGTTGGATAAGAGCTGTTTCAAAATTTTAAGACAATGAAGAACAGTAGTTGGTTGATTTTCACGGAGAATCGTATTATTTCAGGCAAATGTCCTATGCTGACGGCAAGCGGCTCGTGTTGTCAACCCAGCTCTGAAGATTGCCATAATCCCTGCAGTTTCAATGCCACAAGCAAGCATCACGAGTGTACTGCAAATGGTGTCAGCAATGCCAAATGCCTACTTAACGGTCTGCCAAGTGAGTTGTTGTTCTTTTTATCTCTTTGTAGCTGTATGTTTTGTAAATCTATGTAAATGTAATTGTATTTGGTAGGGTTTTCAGATATAATCATAGATGGTTTGATTTGATTCGACCTGTTGGTTTAACCTATTCTTCTAGGCCAGTGGCAGTGAACCTGTTAGTTCATTTCTTTGACCTTGAGTTAATCGGGCAATGTACCAAAACGTTGCCTAAACAAGAACAGGTGCAAGATCTATTTTGCTGGCGTTTTTTATATAGTATTGGGTTTGATTCCGGGTCAAAACCTAAGTATTTCTAAAAAGTTTCACGGAGCAATCTAAATAAGCCACATAGGAAAAAGGAAGAAGATCTTTTGAAAAATTGCCTTTCATGATATAACAAAATTTGCAAGATATTGTGGTAGCTGGCACATGCCATCTTGCCTCCCCTTGGAATAAGTAATATTGCTCCCTGCACTAGTATCAAGAACAGCATAATAAAACTAATTACCCCCAATCGCTAACTCAACTCTGATATAGTACAAATCAACTGACCCAGGAGTACCTGTAAAGTTTCAAAGAAGAATTTGAATCTTTCAGGAACATGGTAGGCGTGGTCTGCACCTCGGGCAATCCTTCTTGGGTATTGTTTGCAAGACTTAATTGAATATGCTTTTTAGCTTGTCAACCCAAGAAGGTTACAATATGAGACGAGTACAGGTCATTGAAAAGAAGCGAGAACTAACTGATTTTTTTAAGAATGCAGGACTCGTGATTTGCTAAATCGAAAATATCGTGATTTTCAATCAATGTGATTGCTGTATAAAATGGTATAAAATGTATATTTATAGGCGTTAGCAATAAAGGTTTTTCAAAATTCTTGCTTGTTGTCTCTAGGCTTCTTATAAAAAAGATGTATGTCGCCATTATTTTTTCTTGAATTCATAGCTACATGTGTGTCATATAAATCCCTCCCACCCATAACTTGTGTTTTGTGCAAATTTATTCAACAACGGAGCAGCTTCTATACCTCACGCCAATATCCATGCTCATCAATATCTTTGCATAGAGTCAAATGGTCTTTAAATTTTTTTTAGATTTCGGATTTGCTTATCCACTTGGTTTTCTCAATGGTATGATCTCTGCGTCCCAGCTTACCACCTTGTCGTTTGTTCCGCGTGCTTTTGGAGCAAACGCAGGTTTCCCAGCAGTTAGTTCGGCGTCCTCATTTGTAATAGACTTCCAAAGAAAAAGGAAAATCATGTATGTTATATTTCAAGAAGGCCAAACTCGTACGACTGCTGTTCCATTGACACCGAAAATTATAATATCCGATGCAAACAACGTTGCTATCAGTAGGGTATGTTTTTAAATTTTCGCTGAATTTTGTCTACTTTTTTGATACCAAAATGTTTAACATGCGAAAAGTAAGTATAATAATAATTGATCGGGCAACATTATATTAATAATTTGACTGGGTATTTAGCTTCCAATGAGTTAACTATTAGATTTCGTATCCTGGCTATAAGTCCGGCTCATATGCATTTTCTTTTTTCCTTTATTTCCTATTTTTCCTTTTTCTTCATTTTTCTTTTTTCTCCCTTTTTTCTCCTTTTCCTTTTAAACTTTTTTCCTTTTTCTAAATTTTATTGGTATAATGGATAATGAATAAAGCATTGACTATGATTTTTCAGGTTTGTGAAATAATTTTCGTAGTTTTCTATGAATTTTTAGTATTTGATCTGCTCAAAATTCAAAATGTTAAACATTAGACATTCAAAATGACAGAAGACCTAATAGCCTAAAGCCTGAAATTATATGTCTAAAGTTTTTGCTTCTCTCGCTATTTAATTTTCTGTATCATGAGTGCTAAGTGTGAAGGTATTGTGAATAAAAAGTTAAGAAATATTAACAACACTTTCAGGTGATCAACTGTAAGGAAACATTCGGAAAACTGGAACCGTACAGCTGTCGTTTTGCAATTAAAAATCCATTCCGCTGCCAAAAGTTACAAGTCCTTGTGGAAATTACTTTAGCATCAACAACCCTCAACCCAAAGATTGAAGTCGGAGGAATGGATTACTTGGAGAGTAAGATGTTTCTACCGATTTCCATGGAACAGTTTTTTTCTTTTTCACGGCTTTTTTCAGTAATTGTACATTTACCAGGGCAAATTGTACCTTCAATACGGTAATCATTATCCAAGGACAATAGCCCAGTTTATTGTTTGGGAGGTGGTGGCTTAAAATTGTTCAATTTTTACAAGGCTTAGATTAAAAATGATTTGCTAATGGTTAAGTGGACGTCTGTTAATTATGATGGGGGATGGAGGGGGGTGGAGGGGGATGGAGGGGGGCTGGCTGAAGCCAGTCTAACAATTCTACCACGCACAATAACGTACCACTTGATGACAAGTAAATTGAGACCTTTTTTGCTATTTCAGCACTGACCTGAACATAATGATTTAGAATTCTTATTATCCTTTCTTTGAGTCCGACTTTAAAGGTGTCCTCTTTGCATCCCTTTCTACACTGGCCTTAGTTACGACAGTATTAAGATTATAATTACCTTTTCTTGTTTATCATCGATGACGACGACGATTGATTATCTTTCTATAAATTTCTTGTTTACCTTCGATGACTATCCGACGTTTATACTCTGAAGAGTGTCGGACGAAAAAGTGCTTAAGTACGCTATATTTTCGCTATTTCGTACCATCTTCAAATATGCATTCTTGCCCAGTCTCAGTAATGAAGAGCAGCATGTCTTTATGTGTCACCATGGGTCATAAGTTTTTTTACTGCGAGTCCCTTTATTCTCTTCATCTTTGTCAAAAGACAAGGGCTTCGAATTTATCTTAGGAAAATCTATTAATTTATTTTAATAGATTAATTAATTTATTAATTAATTAATTAATTAATTTATATAAAATTAATTTATTTTAGGAAAATCTTCTATAATTGAGCAGTTTCTCTTGCACATAGAGCAAATGCAACTGACTTGCAAATTAAAGAAACACTTATTTTGATTTCGAGACGACAGTTAGTTTTTACCACGTAAACTTCCATCGAATCTATTCAAATTGGTTCCAGGTGCCCAGGATTGTAATTCTATCTTCAACAATTTCCATTTCGCTCTTTCGTCGTTTATAATAAATTAGAAGCTTTTTCGTCTGACACTCCTAAGAGTATAAAACATCAGAATAAGTTTCCGAAAGAACAAGATGGAAAATATAAACCCAGTTATGGATCGAAATAGGCCAATCAGAGAAATGCGAACACATGAATGGTAAAGTTACCCAATCATTAGTATCTTGTTCTTTTGGAACCTTATATTAAGGAGAAATAGGACTATTTTCGTATCGAATTTAAATAGCTGTTGACATTTTTGTCTTCAGTTGTTTTCCAAATGCATATTTCCTTGGATTTAAAATCACAAAAAAGCCAATTCTACAAGTTGAACAAATCCAGATAAAAATTTTAAGGTTTTATTTCTATGAGTAATATCTATTTATTTTCATCCTTTCAGGTGATCATTTTTGGCGATTGGACACATTCATTATCCGCCCTGGCAATGATCTGGAGATTTTTCCAGACGAGAGAGGAAATTTCTTTGTGTCTTTGAATATAGGTCCTTTTTCAGCTCAAAGTACCGAAGTCCGACACAAAGATCTCTCCGCGGACAGCAGTTTTAACACTGCAAAGTTTACATTTCCAGCTGATTCATGTTTCAAAAATTTAGCGAATTGCCAGGACTCGATCACCTTTGCATTTTGGTTGAAACGTAAGTATAATTCGCTGCTAGTCATAGGCTTAGGTACTGTAGCTCTGTTTCTAAAAGTTGAGGGGGGGGGGGCACGTGCCTTCTCTGCCCTCCCCCCGGCTCCTACGTCTGTGTTTCTAGTATTCTTTTGAGGGTAGTTTTGCTAACGTGGCTTTTTCATAATTTGCGTATTTTTCATCGTTACCTTGAGTAGAGAAAGTTCTTGCGACTTACTGCACAGGGGGTTACCATGCACGTAGATAAATAGCAGGTGGTAATTTCTTTTTCCTCCTAAAGAAAAAATACCAGTATTGGTAGTTTGCAGCCGAACCAGTCATTCTAAAGTTTTTTTAAAAACATTACCCGACGATACAGTTTAAGATCACTTGTAAAGTTTTTTCATGCAGCGTGCCAATATAAACTTTTTTTGAGAATTTCAAGTTAACCGGGTGAACAGCTCTAATTTGATTCGTAGTAAATTATTGTTAATATGATTTTTTTAGGACCGATCGATGATGATGCATTGATTGAAATGAAGGATACGGGTTTAAATAACATTGCGATGAGAATCCAAGTAAAAAATGACGAATTTAAGCTTGAGGCCTACTATGATACATCTTCATCAATCCAATTCAAGACTTCACTTTCAACACCCACAAGTAGTACCTGGAATCATTTCATATTAGTATGGAAGCGCAAATACTCCTTTCTTTATGTTGACAGTGTAAGTAAAGAGTTGACTAATGAAGGTGGACAAATGTTGTCTGGCCTACCAACTGAACTGGAGATGAAGCCCGCATCAAATTTTAGAAATTTTCAAATATGGTACTTTGCACTAAATGCAGCAGAGGCTTCAAAAGTTTATACTGAAGGTTAGTTTTAACGTTTATAAGCCTTGGAAAAATCTTTTAATTTTCAAATTTCATTGTTAGAGAAACTGTCAATCAGAAATAGAAAGCTGACAGAACTAACCCTTTTCAGGTGTTGCTGCAATGGACTTCAAATTCACAGCATTTGAAGATTTTGGAGACTGGAAACTTGCAACGTCATTGTGTTCTCAAGGACCATGCCAGGACGCCACATCTTCTCCTGCAGCAGGTAACTCTAGTTGAAAGAATAACATTAATGACCTGATGGAGTTAGTAAAACTCTTCATTCTTATCGTACTTTATCGTACTTTACCTTTTTGTTGTTTGAAAAACTGATTTTTTATGGCTATCTTGAAAACATGTGGGATGTTGGAATGATGGAATGTTGAAATGCTGGAATTTTGGAATGCTGGAATGTTGAAATGCTGGAATGTGTTTTCTAAAACCTTTATAACTACTTGCTAACAAATACATTTGTATTTAATTTGGGTTCATTGAAACGAGAAAGTATCGTATAGGATGGTACCACCATGCAAAGGCAAACATATGCATGTTTATTCTGTTGCCGTAGGTGCTGCAACAGCCAAGCTTGAATATCGTGGGCATGTGGACAATTCTGCCTTTTACAGCGAAGCTTCTAACACGTGTACCAAAGCAAACGGCAACAGTCCCATTCCAATTACAATTTCATATAATCGGTTGTTGATGATGGCATTTAACATCGACCTCGAAGGTGTTGGTGTTGAGATACAAAGACTGACTTCCGCCAAGCTGACATTGGATTGGGATCTTGATCAATCATTGCCTTACAACTTAGTAATTGAAATATACGCTGTTAATTCCTATGATTACAATAAAAAGTATATCGACCAGTGCCGATTCATACACCTGGATGATGACGTCAAGACAGGGCCTGTGTATTGGGACAACTTTTCGTCGAAGGAAACTCCAGATTTACATGAATTGATAGTGCCATTTTTAGATCGTGGCTCAGTAGCTTGGAGGAAAAACATTGTTTTTGTAATGAAATTCATCTTGACGAAAGATGAAACCAAAACATTTAACTTCAGAGATGCTACCTTCAGATTGGAATATATTGATGGCACGCCAGGTAAGGAATGTATCATTACTTTGGCTGTATTTGGATGACTTTTAATGATTTTTCAATCCTTTTAAGTTTGCAAAAAACCTGCAAAAGATAAATCCTTTTTGTCCAATTTGGATGTGCACGTGATGGTTTTCTACATAATTCTACATTCTTATTCTACTTAAGCCAGTTTAGTTTAGACTAATGCCGAAACTGTGTATAAGGCAGTGCAAACTATAATTCGAAAGGTAGCTTGAAGCGATATTTAATGTCTAAAACTATTTGAAACTTTGCTTGCATAAGGGCTGTAACTACTGGTTAATTTGCAATGTTTTAAACATTGTAGCATGTTTCATAGATAATAAAAAGATTATCAAACTTGTTTGAAGCAATGACGAATTTGGAATTTCTGAACTTCTAGTATCTTTGTTATGGGCTATTTTATGATTTATTGACATTGCATTTTAACGTCTGCAGAGAAATTTCTGTTTGCCGACTTGAATCACGCTGCTGTTGGTCAGCCATTGATGTACACTACTCGGTTTTACTTACCAACAAGAAAATGCCTGAAATTTGCCTATTTTATGAATGGTGAAGGGGCTGGCTCGCTAGCTGTGAATCTGAGACAAGGAGATTCTTTGTTTGTGGAAATATTCAAGCTTGTTGGAAGCCAGGGAGATGGTTGGAAAGAAGCTAATGTTTCGCTGAACACACTTGGCCTTGATGCAATAACTCCGTTTCGAGTAAGTCATTTTTTCAGATTCTATGATGTCACACAAAATTAGAAATGGTGAAAAAGTATCCTATGGTATCAAATCTGGTCCTACAATGCCAAAAAAAAGTTTTTGGAACACTGAGCCTCCTAGGTTTTGTTACTATACTGTTCCATTTGTTTTCTTCACAATTTTATTTCCCTTACCTCCAGAACTATTTTATAACATGAAAATAGTTAACTCCTAAACTCTAACTTCCTAATTAAGGAAATATGAAGGTTGTTTCAAGAGGGTTGGTTGAGCTAGACCTTGAAAAGAGACTCTTTTCTAATTTGTAGTTCTAGTAGTCTATTTGTAGTTTGTAGTGAAAACTCTTAACAACCAGGAAAAGAGTAAGCCTGTAAGGTCTTAAAAATCCTTATTATTGAGTTCTTTATTCCTTAGCTTTTACTCGCGAGAATAACTGTTTACCGGACTGTCATATCGTGCTCGATAGGCAGAGCTGTAAATGCTTTGGTGTAAAGAACTGAATGATTACACAATTTAAGCGATCACCAGGCAACTGTTACACTACTGTATCTGCGGGTGTAAAGCTATTCAGTTTTATGTCCGTGGTATCGGGGTTTTAATTGCTTTGAAGTGTTGAATTGAAGCAATCGAGTTGAAGCAAGTCTGGCGCCCCTTTTAGAAATTGTGATTCCCTTTTGAAGAATGAGAATCAGGTAAAAAAGTTTTTGAGATTTGTACGTCAATTTACTTCAAGGATTACCATAAAGTATACAACAATTACTGTGAAAATTTTCTTACAAAGTGAATAGATGGCCTTCTGTCAGTAGTAAGGGTCTGGAATTGTTGTATACAGCGTATACTCTTCACCAGTTTCTGAAAATTTTTCACCACCCCCACTACAAACTGCCCTTCCTTCAAATTTGATCTGGATCTGCCCCTGTGACGTACTAAGTGACAACTAATTATTTTATTTAGATCTAATACATTAACTGGATCCTTTTTAGATAACCTTCATTGCACTAGGAAGCGAAAGTACTCAAGGAAGCATTTCAATTGACAATATCAAATTAACCTTTCCAATTTGTTCGTTCACACCAAGCAACGGAATTCCCACACGCCTAAATCATGGTAAGTGCGCAGAAAATTTTTGTTGTTCCCTTTCGTGCTTTTAGCTTAGAAATGTTCAATTGTTCATAAATTTTTTTTAAAGTGCACGAGTCCATCAATAGTGAGAATATTGCTCCAACCAGATAAAAAGCAGGCTTGCCAAGGTTGTGCCTAGCAAAGCTGGAAAGATTCATTATGAAATTAAATAAGGAAATGAGTTAAAGATTTTGATTTTGCTATAAGTGAATAAGGTTTACAGAGCCTTAACATTTAATGTTTTAGTTAACTTTGTAGGCTCAGGATCAGTATCAGTTCTTTGATAAAGGGGTACTTGGCTCGTAAGCCCCTTTGAGTTCCCCTAGAGTAAATTTGCCATGTTTTCCTTTTTCGCTGTTTAAAAATCATGATAATTTGTAGCAAGAAAATTTGTAATAGATTAATTTTTTGTCCGAATGAAATTGTTGTTGTTGTTTTTTCTTCTTCTCGTTTTAAGGATGTCTACAACAGGCGCCAAGGACCCTATGTTACTCTTGCCCCTTTAATGCATGTTTTGAATCTTTGCTATCGTTTCCGCTTTTCAGAATCCATGGCATTTCACATTTGTAATGATTCAACATGTTAATATTCTATCATTTGCAGATACCATATCAAAAGCTTTTGACTCTCTAAGAATGGATCCTCCACTGATTCTCGCACCACTTACAACCAAATCTGATACTGATCTAATGAGCACAACAACGGTGTTAACGAAAAGCTCTCAAAATCTTGAAGACAAACCTACCACAGATATGTTTGGATACCCAGTCACATTCACCCATTTCAAGGGTGCAAGCTCTGAACCAACACCTGGCGTTGTGAAAGTTCAGCCTGCACTTTCTCACGAGCTAAGAGATTTTACAATAACATTTCATGTCAAACCCGATGATGTTCTCTCGACAGTTTTTGCCCAGTTCGGAAATAATGATGGTGTTTTAAATACTCTTCTCTCCATGGATCGTGCTGGAAATTTTTCTATTAGGTGAGTGGTAATCAGCCTTTTAATATGTTGATCTTAAGAGCGACTCGAAATTGTTTTCTCTGTAATAAAAACTGCCAAACGTTTATCTTTCATTGTGAGATTGAGTTTGCCGAAACTCACTTCCATGGCGGTTTTCTGCTTGCAGGCTATGTTTATGGTTATGTCATGTCTAAGCAAAGTCAGTTTAAAATTATTTGTGTTGCAATAGATTCTTATTTTGGAAAGCGCAGCTTAATATTAAACAGTATGGGGACAAAAAGAGACATCTTGCTAGTAGATATTAGTTCAACTTCAACTTAATTGGCGGCAAATCAAGTTATAGATATTCCAGGTAAGAAAATCCATCTGACAGAAATCAATGTAATTCAGTATTTTCGGGTAAGCAAAGAACGACAAAATCAGTAGGTTATAAACGTTTGGTCTCTAGTTAGATTCATCTTTAATATAATATAGTAAAAGGCACAGTAACTATAAGTAGAAAAAGATCAAACAATAGGGATCGTGAATCATGCGACCTACCAGTATGTAGGAGAAGCAATCAGTACGTGAAAGAAGATATTTGTATTTGTTGCTACCTAGCATCCGAAGGTAGTTTTTAGGACACTGAGAAGCTTATCGAGCAGTGTCCTGGTCATTCCTCTCGATGTGACCACACCTCGTGATTCCTATGCCTAGAATTACAGAGAGCTGGCAACTCTCCTCACTCTGGGTGAAAGTTTGGTCATGCCAGGGACTCGGACCACGGACCTTTGGGTCTGTAGTCAGCGCCTCTCACAACTGAGCCATCCTCGCACCTTAGATATCAAAGATATCCTCGCCAACTTCTAAAAACGATTTCCTTGCCAATTGAACATTATGTATACTTTGTTATTATTAGAAATTCCCTACCTTTCAGCTCGTTGTGGACAACTTTTTCAAAGAAAAACTTATTATGCTTTCCTTTGGTATGAAGTTGAACTCTTGTTTTCAACAAATGATAAGAAATCGACCGGTGAAGACAAAATGCCCCCTAAACTTGTCCGTCTAGCTGCGAAGTAGCTATCCATTTCCCTTACAAAAAGCTATAAATACCATTATTAAAAATTGCAGATTTCCAGAACGCGGAAAACGGGCTGCAGTCACGCCTCTTGCAAAGGCGAACCTATTTCAACAGTAAAAAAAATACCAACGAGTAAGGATGCTTAACACTTTCTCAAAGAGATACTAGAAGATAATAAAAAATCAAATTAGTCCTCATCTCAATAAGACCATGTCTGCTTTCGTTGCTGCCTACAGGAAGGCTCACAGTACACAGCATGTCTTAATTATAATGCTTGAAAATAAGAAAGTCAAATTGGACAATGATTATATTGTCGGAGCAATACTGATGGATTTATCGGAAGCCTTCGACTGTATCTTGCACGACTTTCTTGTTACAGAACTTTATTCATGTGGCTTTGTTGAATATTCTATGATCCTTATTTACTTCAATTTAAAAAGGCCCTAACAAGCATTTCGAATAAGAGATATTTACAGCGATTTTCAATTAGTTTTATCAGGGGTACTGCAAGGATCAGTCCCTGGTCCTATTCTTCTCAGCTTCCACATCAATGACATGTTTTATTTCATTAGAAAGGTTTCTCTGGTAAATTACACAGATGAAAACACTTTAAAACATTTTTCAAAAAATCTGTCCCAATTAATAAATGTCTTGGAAAAAGAGGCAAGCATCGCCCTTGTCTTGCTTGATCAGAATGAAATGATTGCTAACCCAGAAAAATATCATACTCTTCTCTTCAGAAAGAATCAAACAAATACCATAGGATATAGCACTTCTATTCAAGGGAAAACTACAAGTTGTGAAGCCTTAGTGAAGTTGTTTGGGGGTTACTATAGATTACAAACTGAATTTTGTCATTCACATATCCAAACTTTGTAAAAAGGCAGCAACCCAGCTAAATGTGCTTAAAAGACTTAAAATTCTTTTATTGGTTCGAGGAGGAAAAGGTATTGGTCCAAAGCTTTGTCTTCTCTAACTTTAGCTACTGCCCTTAAGTGTGATTTTCTCTTCAGCTAGATCTATGGAGAAGATCGAAAAAATATAGGAACGAGCTCTATTTTTATTTACAATGCCCATGATATATGCAGTTTGCTTTGCAAATCAAAAAAATGCACATTGCATGTAAGTCGGCTAAGTTACCTCTGTGTTGAAATTTTCAAAACTGGTTAAATCCTGAATTCATGCAAACAATTTTCGAATTATGAACCTCCGATCGGTCCTCACGTCGTCCACAAGGCTTGCAGCAGTACAGGCCCAACTAAACAACTTTCGGTTCAAACAGCCTCAGATCCCTCGAACCACAAATTTGGAATGGATTACCACAGGAAATAAAATCTAATCCAGTTCAAAAGATAAATTAAAAACAAGGACGGTGCCAACATTACATGCAATGTATGCAAAACTAAATGATTTTTTGTAAACTTGCAACTAATAGTTATTAAACATTATAAATTTAATTCTTATATTTTATAATTAATCGAATTAGACAAGTTACTATGTTGTAGCTTAAAATTTGTTCTACTTCAAATGAGATCACAAACAAATGAACAAACAAAAGTTGCCTTTCAGTTTTATATGCTTTACTACAGATAATGAGCTGTTTTGATATCCTTTCATTTCAAGTGATATTCAAGAAATAATATTCAAATAATAATATTGAAGTAATGATATTCAAGTAATATTTTTCAATGTGACATTTCAGTTGATTATGACCCTTATTTTCTTAGTTTTATCAAAAATGAAACCCCAGAAGGTATTGAAACAGCAACTACGAGCAGTGTTTTCCACAAGAACTCATGGGTTTATCTTGCAATAACTTATTCAAAAGCAGCTAGCAGATTGACAGTTTATGCAAATGCGACGGTTTGTTCATTCTCTTATATCTGTTTTCTTAGTTTTCTTCTATCTGTCAATTAAGTAACAAGTACTTAAATTTGATTAACCAGCACTATCTTTAGTTTATAAGTACATATTTTTATATAAAAATACTTCAAATTTTTGCTGGGCCTTAATATTCTTAAAAATCCTGATGCATGAATTACTCTTAAATCATTTACTCCGTCACTAAAACATCGCAGGAATTGAAACAAACCAGCACAAAAACTTTTTGAATTAAAGATGGACTTGTCGTCTTTGTCTAAAACACAAATAAATAAGAGTCAAATGTCGAAATTTTGTTATAAAATTTGTTCCCTAAAAAAGCGTTCAATGAAGTATTTTTCTCAAAGACGCACGTGGATACCGAGCAAAATGGTTTGATAATAGCTGGATTGTTGAAGCACTCAGGAACGATTGCTTACATGAAGTTAAGATTTGCTACACACTGACACTCCAGTCGTTTTGAATTCTTTATACCGTATTTGAAAATGGCTTCGAAAAAAGCAAACATTTTACGACATACTTAAAGCTTTTTCGTCTGACACTCCTCAGAGCATAAAACTTCAGAATAAGGGTCCGAAACAACACGATGAATGAAAAATATATATCCAGTTGTGGATCAAAATAGGCCAATCAGAAAAATGCAAGCACAAGACCGGTATAGTTGACCAATCAGTGCCGCAAGCCTAAAGAAAAATTACCACTGGAGACCAATGGCCTATTTTGATTCTGACGTTTTATGCTCTGAGGAGTGTCAGACGAAAAAGCTTTTATTATACCGTATTGATGAACAGTGTTGCTCAAGCCGTGAAAATCATCCCATATCGAATGGTTAGGTCAAACGAGTAACAGTTACAAAAGCAGTCACATAGAAATTCTAAAGACTGTTCCTTAGTTGTCTATTTTTAGGTTGTCAAGGTCTCTGGCTCAAGCCACTTTTATATCCGTCGTGTGTCTTCACGGCCATCAGTTCTGTTGAGTCTATTCAAATTCTGACTCCAATTCAAGGAAAAACAGCGACCCTCTTAACTGTCAATTTGTATAAAGATTCAGATCGTTTTCTTCACCTTTTTTAAATATGCTTGTCTTTGTAGGAAGTCTTGGCTGTAAACTCAAACGGTACAGGTCAACTAGGAAACAAACTAAAGATGGGAGGCAGTTCTGAACCTCTGCGAGTACGTGTAGGAAAGGGGGAGTATTTTAAAGGCTATATCAGCTGCTTGCAAGTTTACTCATACGTTCTTGAGTATCAGCAGATAAAAGCCGTACAGATTTGTCCTGACCGCATTTGTAAGTTTATTCACTATTTGTTTGATTCATGTTTTGTAAGCAACAATGCTGCTAGAATGCACTTAGAAAGACAGTCTGTTTTTTGGAGATTTTAGTAAACTGCATATTCTTTGTAACTTTTGAAGTGTCAAATTATTTCCAGTTCCCTGTGCGATTGACAAAGAAGAGACTGGCGTGTGTGAGTGGCAGGCTTTGGGCTTAGATTTGAAAATGTCACAGGGTAGCTCAATTGGATGAGCAACGAAGTGCAGGGTCGCTGGTCGAGGGCTCGTGTCCTTTCCTGTCCTGTCCTGTCCTGTCCTGTCCTGTCCTGTCCTGTCCTGTCCTGTCCTGTCCTGTCCTGTCCTGTCCTGTCCTGTCCTGTCCTGTCCTGTCCTGTCCTGTCCTGTCCTGGTCCTGTCAGTCGCTCGTATTTTCTCTCAGTATATCTTCTTAAATGCTGTATGCATTCTTAAGTTTCTCCCATGTTTGGCTCCCTTTCGTCCATTGGTAAATTATTCTCAGCAGCCACCAGTTATATTTCACTTTGCTTTTAGCTAGCAAAACATGTCTGCAAGCTTGCAAAGGTCGTGGCTGTTGCGATGCAATTACAGGCAAATGTATCTGCTCACGTTTTGCTCGATATATCAACAAAGTGGATTGCTCCAGTGGTAGGTGATATTTAACGTTGAAGTGTAAAGCAACAGTGTTGGACCAATGTTAGGGGGGGCACTGACCATGGTTTATTTGCTTGTTAAGGTATAAATCTTAGGTACTACGTGCCGTTGTCTCTTAATGGATTAACTAGAATATGTCTCAGTTTACAGAAAGCAATGAATTATAAAACCGTGTTCTCAAATGGCTGACTTTCTGGCTGTTGTTTTATTTCACTATATTTGATATCTTAATAGATATTCATGATCAAATTCAAATTGAAAGAACATTGATACTATTCTGGAAAACTTTTCATAGAAATCATCTTTTGATAGTTTGAACTTGAAAATTTGCGGAAAAAGCTTATTAATTACAGGTAAAATTTGAAAGGTGTTTGAACTATTGAGTAAGTCATCTTCTAACTTGCAGGCCAGCCCAAATCTGCGCCTTTCTTGTTTTTTTCTACTTATATTAATGAATGCATTGGCTTTTGAAGTAATTAAGAAGAATTTTAGAAATTTTTCTGATGTTACTTGAAGAAATAAAAACAGAGAACATCAAAGAACAAAAGTTAGCTTTTCTTTGCACTGGTGCTTTCTGATCTTGCATTTGTTTTTCTAAGTTATATGCCAATATTAAGTTATATTTTTCAAGTTATATGTCGTGCAACTGTCTCATTTAAAAACTATTTTTCGTCATCTTAGCAGCAATTTGAAACTATTTAACGAAATAATCTTTTTCAGCATTGATAAATACATTGTACAAAGATGCTAAAAGTATCAAAAGCTTTGAAAACAAGGTCGGGATGAGAAAGGATTTTGGAAAAGGCCTTGATTTTCATCAGAGTGCGTTGGCCTATGACTACCTGTCCTCGATAACGAGCGAGAACCAAGTAAAATACATAACGATACCTGGCCCGATCAACAGCGCGATTTGCACAGTGAATGAAGATGGGATAACTTTATTGGGCATCCAATCCTGTATCATAGATAGGAATTGTAATGCAGGATTTTCGGTCTCGGTTTGGGTCCAGCCTCCTCCTGAAAAGTTTCATTCTGGTCGTAATATCTCGATACTCGACATTGGTGCCTTTCAGCTGTCTTTCGCTAACCGGGTTTGTAGTGGCAAAAGAGGATATTCTTACGAGTTTCGGCTACAGGTTGGAACAGAAATATGCACTTGGCATCCAGTCAGCAATTGCATCTCGTTCTCTAGGGTTTGGACGCATTTGGTAGTGTCTGCTGATTATGCAAAAAAGCGTGTTCTGATTGTTCAAAATGGAATGATGATGAAAGCACAGAAAAGTAGTTGCACCACGGTATCTCCAACGCCTACCCCAACCCCAGCCAGGATTGGTGGTGGTTCTAACTTTACCTGTATTGACGAGCTGGTCGTGTGGGATCAGCCGGTGAGCTCTGCGTCAGCAATAAAATTGTACTGCTCCCTGCGGTTTACAGGCAAGTTAAATTGTTACATTCGCAAAACTCTGTAATCTTTCTAGCTTTATGCTTAAGCACTGCCTGGATTATTCTTCGTACCATAGGTAGGCTGCTACAACATTTTGTCATAAGTTATATGATCCTCAGTTTTCAGCAATTTCACATTTTTCTTCATTTGACTAAAATCGAAGTTTTTTTGCGTTGTACTTGTCTGTTTAATGTATCGTCAAAACACGATCTAGATTTAATATATCCTTTTCTTCGATCTAGATTTCTGAAAAACAGCCATTTGTAAAAATTTCGTAAGAATTTACCAGGTTTGCAAGCTTTAAACTGGCTCCGTTTGTTGGAATTTTGTTGTTCTTCTATCAATAATTTTAATAGCATAGACGTTAATAAGATTATGTTAAAGAATCTATTGTCATTATTATCCAGTGCATTAATATTTGTAACACGTAAACAATATTTATATATTTCCCTTGGTCATCTACTTAATCTGTAACTTAATATTTTTCTGTTATAAAACTGTTATAAAAGAGACCTCCAACTAAAAGTCTGACAGTAAAACAAGTCGATTGCCATTTATAAAAATGTATTGTTTTCCAGGAATGAATCCCACCCCTAGCACCATTAAATTTTCGATGGCAAGCTACAATGATTATTCTGGTTCTCTTTGGGCCATCGATGTGTATGGCATTGTGTACCATTACGACAATGGAGTATGGAAACAGATTGACGGAAAGTTGAAGCACTTGTCAGCGGGTTGGAACGGCGTTTTTGGTATAGGTTCAAATAACATACTTTATGTTAGAGATGGAATAACACCCAAAAAAAAGGCAGGCTCTGCTTGGCGGGCTATACCTCTTTCTACAAGTAAGCATTTTTATCGAACAATTTTTGCTCGTTACATAATTCAAGTGGCTTTGAAAAAAAGCCGACATTTTGAAGAATTTTGTGCCTTTTCGTTTGACACTTCTCAGAGTTTAAAACGTCAGTAGAGTGATCGAAAATTTTATGCTAGGAAATAAATATACCAATATTTTTCTCTTAGCTTAGAATTTTTTTATCATAATTCTGACGTTTTGTCATTTGACTTGTGCCTCCCAAAAAGTTTAAGTATATTTCAAAATGTTTTTTTCTAGCAATTTTTTATTGTCGTAAGAAAATAAATCAAATTCTAGATCACTGGAAGATTGCATCGAAGATCAAGTTTTCTAGAGAATTAGTTTCAATCCCCTGGATATCAGATGTTTTCCAAATGTTTTCCAAAACATGTATAACGACATGTTTACAAAAGCAATCGCTAATAATATGTTTTCCAAAACATATATAACGACATGTTTACAAGAGCAATCGCTTATAATATGTTTTCCAAAACATGTATAACAACATGTTTACAAGAGCAATCGCTAATATTTCCTTGTTATAAGAAGTAATTGAAAAACGAAGGCACTTCTTTCAAGGCCAAAATATCTACTATTCACATTAGAAGGTTTTAATATTCAAACACAACAATATACCAAGTTTAGTTCAAATTAATCGGGTGTATACTTAAAAGAAATGCTTCTGTCAGATTTTGGGCTTTGAAATTGGCCTCCATGTAAATACAAGTTGTTTCTTTTATTTGAAAATCTTCCATTTCTGTTTGGCCTTAAAAAAAATCAACTTTTTAGACAAGTAAATTTTGATTTGTTTTATGTTTTGTCAGATGATCTCCAAGATTCTAGACACTCATCATTTCCACTTCAATTGACTGAAATATCTTTGCAAAGAAATATCTTAAAATTTTAAGGGGGCTTAAGATTGCATTTCTTGGAATTTCTTATGAAAAATTTATTTTTTTCAATTACATCAAGACTTTGCCTTTGATGGGGTTTTTGAAAGACCACGATGCCATACCCTGGGTTCCAGAGCGTCAAGTGTAGCAAGTGGGGCGTCGAGGAAATAGTGCGCGTTGTCTTTGCAAAGCACCATTTCTTGTTTCTGTAGTTGCCTGGGGGCTCCAAAATATTCATCATTGATTTACTTCGGACACAACGCAAACTTGCCGACGCCATTAGGCCAACCAATGCCCGCCCTGGCTTATCCTTCTTTCAATTTTTGTCGGACTTCTTGAATTATTGGTCTTTCAAATATAATGTGTTGTAGAATTGCTGCAACCAAACTTTTTTTGCCATTTGAAATGGCACTTCAGGAAACAAATGACACGCTAGACCCAAATAATTTCTTGCTTATCATTCTCTTTCTGGTCGTTTTTGTGTTTTCGAAAAAAAAATATGAAAAAGGCATTGAAAAAAGGAAACTTTTCACAACATACTTACTAAAGGCTTTTTTGTTTGACACTCCTCAGAGCATAAAACGTCAGAATGTCGGAATAAGGGTCCAAAAGAACACGATAGAAAATATATCCCCAATGTGGATCGAAATAGGCCAATCAGAATAACGCAAACACATGCGGCGTAGTTGTCTGATCAGTGCCGCATGCCTTTAGAAAAATTACCACTGGAGTTCAGAAAACGAACTCCTTCTGTCTCTTCAATAGCGGTTTTTATAAATATGAAGATCGATTCTAAAACTGCTAGATGAAAAGACGACCCGGCTCTGCCAATTATCTCAAACATGTCGTCATTCTAGAGTTTTGCACAATCTGGGTTTTGCACAGTGATAAAAACATTGATATTTTCCATTTCTCCTTGACATTTTGTTATATTTCTATCAAAGAAAGGAAGAAACCAAATTGAATTTGCTAGGAATTGCGTTTTTGAATCCTGCCACAACAGCAAGATTTGTTCAAAAAATTAAAAAAAAGAGTTTCGGAGCCGTCATTTTGTTATTCATCGTCCTAAAACTTTCGTCACGTAAGTGTAGAGCTAATCTTTTTAGCTCAAAAACGGAATTCAAGAAAAGTTAACTTTTGATTTAAATTAAAAATATGTAATCGTAAAATCATGTTTAGACAACCATCAGTTTTCTGGATTAGTTTTAGGACAGGTATCATGTTTCCAGAATTTTTTCCAGAACAAGATCATTAAATTTTTTCTCGCAGGTACATCCCCTTAATCTTTTCCAAAGTAACCCTCCGGGGGCTCACCGCCTTTATTTTTTCTCTCTTTACAGATAATTGGCTCAAGGTTTGTTCAGGATATATCCCGAAATTCATCTTTTTGATAAGGAGCGACAACTTTCTATTTGTTGTCAATTTAGGAAACAATCCTGTTACAGCGAATCAACATTCAAATCACAGGGTTTTGGACATATCTTGCAACGACAAAGTCTGCTGGGCTTTGTTAGCTGATGGTACAATGGCAAATTTTTTCAAAACAGACACAGGAATTGGGGGCTTACATCAGGTAAGCTACTATTCTAGATGCTTCATGTTAGCGTCAACTAGTTGAAAGCTAGTGTTCAGCTAAACGTTGAATAAGGCTGATGATGATGGCTTGATCATGTTCTTGTGCAGTCATACTGTCTTCTTCTCTCACTAATAACTTTTGCATACAGTTCATCTCGCTTACTAAGCTTTTAACTTTTTTGTTGCTCTTTTGAAATATCTACGCAACCTCATTGTATTTTAGTTCTTCACAAAAAAAGGTAATCAACAGCTTTCAACAGGGAGGCACAGGTTTGTGATCAGAATTAAAGATAACGCCGTACAATGGTTAAGACCAGCTAGTGGGGAACTGAATCCAACAACCATTGACACTGGCTTGACAGAACCTGTCAAGCATATCTCACTCATGTCTTCTGACATCTTGGTGGTTACGAATGATGGAAAAATTGTACTTATCAAGGAGGACGGTTTGTGTTCTTAATCTTTTCTTTTAATGAAAAAAGTTTTCTTTACGTAAATCAATCTGTTTTTAGATTCCAATCAAGGGGTTTTATGGGATAAGGTCGCACTTAGAGTTTTGCCATGACTTCTTGGCTTCTGCCCCATTCTTGTTGACCCCTTTACTACTGCCCCTAGCTCCTAGTTTTAAATTTTCGATGCCACTATCTAGAAGCTAAAAATTTGCCAGTACTAATGCAAAAATATGTTTTTAAGTACCCCTTCAGAATGCCTTTTATATAGACACGTATCAATTATAAAATTCATTTAGGCAATGAAGTACATTTTATAATCTTGAATAAGAAACCGAACTATGTTTAAAGACAAAGGTTCTTTGGCGATGGTTGATGAATAAGATTCACATCCTATAGGTATTACACCAAATCTCTTAACTGCGTAACAAATGCTCGTGTAACAAATGTGTTTGGCCTAGCCTAAGTTTTACATGATTATGCATAGTGAATATCTAGAGAGGAGTCTTTAAACAAAAAGTTTTATCTGATTTAAATCATATTTAATGAGCAGCGAATGGAGCTGATAATGCATATGGTGTGTTTGCATACTGTTAATGACTTTCCCAAGGTCCAGTGACGTCGCTAGCCCTAAAAAACTGGGTTGGACAACAAAGTTTTCTCGACCACGCCCTTAAAACTCTCGGAAAACGTGGGAAATGTCTTTTTCAGTTACTTTGACCTAGTTCAATTTTTTTTGAAAAGCAACTTTCTGAAGCAGCATTTTTCCTGATCATCCCCCCCCCCCCCAAACGATCTGATTATCCCCCCAAAGTTTTCAACGGATTTCAATAAAATTAGAAAATGAGCCTCTGGGAAAACTGAGGTGGACATGTTCACCTCAGTCGACCCCGTGGCGACCCACTGTTTCTTTTATGAGGCTTAGCTGAAATATCAAGCCACAACAAAGGCGACATGATTTAGCTCGACATTTTTTCTATTCACCCTCTTCAAAACCTATGCTATGCCATAAAATTCTGACTTAAAACACTTTGTGTCGTGATTGAAGCACAATATCTTGTAACACCGGCCTAAAGTTTTAAACAAACTGGAAAACGCTGCTCAACAACAACAAAACCACTACCCATATCATCATAAAGGCCATTCAACATATGCGGTTGAAAAATTTGAAAGAATTTTTCTTATTTTTGACGACTGCCTTTTTCGTTGTGAACTTGACTTTTTTGCAAATGTAAAAAAGAAAAGCAGCGTTTTTACAAGATTTCAACACTATTTACCACATTTCGCGGTAAGTCTTAAATATACATATTCTTCGATATAAAAAATTTCGCAAAGCGGACGTCTCTATGACCATATCTTGTAGATCGAGCTCTAATTCTTAATTCCTATGAATAATTACTTAGGATGCTGCTTTGATCGTTTTAGGCAAAGAGGCTTTCAGTATTCGGCATTCCAGTGGAAGGTATTTGGCAAATGTCGAATCGAAGTTTGCACTACGTCACGATTACTTTGATTTCTTCAAGAAAGAACCTGGCATTTGCTTGAAAGACATTTATTTGAATAAATATCTGACTATGTTGGGGGGAAAGATTTCAGTACAATCAAATTGCTTTCAGTTTTTGTATGGCAACGACTCTATGATACGAAAGAATGGCGAATGGTCTGAAGCTATGTCTTATGGTACACTTGAAAATGTCTACGTAAGACATTCCAATTATCGCACAGCGCTGGAAAGCGAGCAATGGGAAACAAATGCTGCAAGATTCTACTTTGTATTCAGTATGTGTGAATTTTTGAAGTTAGACCGTACAGTTAGCATAAAATTTTATAGCTAAGAATATAGTTCCTTCGTCAGGCTTTCTGTACGAGGAAAATTGACGATATAAAGTGTATCATATCTTCATCATAATCTGATAGAAAGCCTCTTTATTAACCTGTTGTCTAGTTTGCTCCAAGTTATTTCATGGATAGAGGTCTCTGGGAATATCTTTTCAATAATCTAAAGTAAGAAGTAGAAATGGGTTACTTTTCGATATTAAAAAGGGGCTTAGTCTTCTCCCTGACCAACATTTATTAGCAAATACATAATTTTACTCAGTCAAATGATATTGGTGATAATTGATTCTGTGAAGTAGTAAATAGCAATGCCCCTATAGCCTGCAAATTTTACCAAACCTTTTGTGTTTTTACCTTAGGCTCATTAAAGCAAGTAACGAATTTTGACCCAACTCGAGTAACCAGTGGTTTGTATTCATTAACTTTTAGAGTTTTTCAATCCTTTCAATAATTGCATATATTTTGCATGAAAATGCTTTCAGACTTTCAAGTAGACTAAGGTAAGCCTTCTTCGTGTTCACGACGCTTTAAAACAGCTTCTCGATCGTGTTTCAAGGAAAACGTGCTTGAATAGTCAAAACAAATTTTTCGATACTCTATTTAATACCAAAACCATGATGCTAACAAGATGTAAATGCATTCGCGAAGCAAATTAGACAAACATATTATAAACACTATCCATCTTTGAATACTTTATATCTTTGAATAGACGTTTGTTCCACATGACTTGTGAATTATTTATGAAGATATACATTTGAATCTTTGGGGTAATATTTAAAATTTGTTTCTAATTCGCCTCTATGTCATCTGACTTCTTTTACTCGCTAAAAGATCTTTATATGGCCCAGACTAAAAGACTCTGGATGTTCTGTTCATGCTTTTCAAATATTGGTTAACACGAGTTTAGTATGGACAGTGAAGGGTTTTGCTTAATCTTTTTAAGCGCAATTTATTATTGCTCTCAAGAAGGGGAGAATCTAGGAACAATGAATAAGAAAGTGATTAAGATCCTTGCAAATTTGTATAATGTCTTAAATTAATCATTAAATTACAGTTTGCTTAAATCTGAAGAGAGTATCGAAATCTTTACTCAAAAGAGTATCAGAATTCTATGTTTCTTACTGCAATCGTCATGAACTGAGAACTGAAGACAGGAACTGCTCTTTTATAAACACATGTTGATAACAAAATTCTTGCAATTTTTCGTATCCATCTCACAATTAAAAGTGTATTACTAACAGAAATTGGAAGAATCATTAAATGGTTTTTTCTCCAAATTTCTGAGATATGTGGTTAAATTCGTGTGCGCAATTTGTTCGCATTTCCACTAACAATCATTTTATTGTCACGTGACCTGATAAAAACTTCACCGACATCCACATACGGGCTTCAATAGCCACAGGAGTATGAAATTTTTGACCATCGTTTCTTGTAACTCGCGAATAATAGAATATCATTCAAGAGCATGCCGCCTGTAGTACGAATTTGACCTATGGTCCATGTAGCTAAGGACTATATATAAGAAAATTCGTTGTTCTTTGTAAACGAAAACAGGCTGTATATTTTGAAGCATTTTGCTCGAATCCTTCCTAACGACAACTTTATTCGCAGATTCATTTGATGGAGCATTAAAAGTTCAGATATTGGTAAGGTTTTGGCTCGAAGATTACGAATTCATAAAAAGCTTGAGTGAAAAGACTGGACCAGAAGCAAAAATGATCTTTGCCAAAGTGAAGACCGAGGTAGTATCTAAATGTTTTGATATTTTTGGTAAATAAGTGGACAAGACGTAGTTTAACCAATGTGAACTAATGTATGCAAGCCATTTGTGAACGTCATGACCATGTGATAGGCCAACTAACCTTCTCTGTAGGTTTCCACGTTCGGCTGTTCACTTCAACGTCTATGTTTTTTTACCGTCCTTCGTTGGCAAGACACTTTGGCTAGGATGGAAATTAAAAGTGGTCGGCAAACTTAATAAGTTCCCCATCCCAAATGCCATGCTGAACCTTGTATGGTAGCGGTAGCATTTTTTTGGCATGCGGTGTACCCAAGTCTACAGTTTGTAGCTTTTTGTTGCCAAAAAGCTAAGTAGTTTCTTTCCTGTAGAAATCGGATTTTGAAAACAAGCAAAACTGCTGTAATGTAAATGTTAAAGGTAAATGGGTAGAGAATTTCTTTACTTTGTACTGAAAAAAACATGCTGCTTAGGCAGTATTGAAATTTAAAAAAGATGTTTAAGTTATTTGCAAAATCTTTGAGGAAAGGTATTCAAGATATATTATCATACATACGTTAGAAAATATTAAAAATTATCATAATATTTTCAGAAAATTACACCCTTTGTTTTTCCTACAGGGGGTTCACAATCATTTGAAAGGCTCTTGCGCAACCGGCATGCTTTGCGGCTATAATTAAAATCCAGCTTAATATCGTACAACATGACAATACAAAACCAGTCAATTTCTCAAGACAACTGCCGCTAAGCATGCCGGTTGCCTTTAACCTTTTGTTTATCACAGATCATCCCCAAATATCTGTAACAAGCTGAATCGATAGATGCTTTCGATACTTATGCGCGTTTTATATCTTAAATAAGGTTTGAATCTTTTATTTAAATGTTTTTTGATTTTTTCGTACAACAATGAGTCTCTTTCTTTGCAGATTGGTCAATTATTTTTTGATAGCAGATACTACATGACCGTACAGTTTGATCGAATAACGTAAGTGAAATCCCTCCTTAGTTTTGTGATAACTGCTCATCATTTAAAGACACTCTGTCCAACGCAGTTTAATTCACGCACCTTTGAGCTTGATCGATAATTAAATGATTTAAACCAATCAGAGAGACAACTTTTATTTCAGAGCATTTGAATCAAATGACTGTGTTCCCGTTGTAGTTAAGCTGTGGCTAAATAATTGTTGCCCTGGTTGGTTTGTACGACAGATATGTCAACAACGAAAGAAAATGCTTTCGTTTTTATTATTGAATTCCAGTAATTAAATCTTTTCCCGAAAGCTTTTTGCTGGCAGTTTCAAAAGCCGTCCACTACCGCAGCTAGGCCAGCCAAAACGAATAGCGTAACCGTTAAAGCGGGAAAACCAACTTTTCATTATAAAGAAACATTGAGGGGACAGACTGTCTTTATTTCAAGGATAGCCTAATGATGTAATAGTTCAGAAAATGAAATTATCTGTCTTGATAAGCAAATTATGGTATATGAAAAGCAAAAGATTATGAGATAGTTATAAAAACTATTGAAATATTACAGTTTCCGACAGCATTTAAATCATCCGAGTAACTGAAATGTAATCTTAGAACATGTAAATTGGAACATTATACATAATCTGTAAAATCATTGTTTGTGTAGTAAAATTTAATTCTTAAAGGCATTGCTTTTTCCCCAGCAGTCTGGGATTGAAGTCTTTAACTGGCTTAAAAGCAATGGATGCAATAATAATGGCCTAAGTCATTTGTCAATCAATGTTAGCCAATCAATAGGCGTGCAAGTGGTATCACACTCACTGATTGGCCAATTGTTGACTGATAGATGGCTTTAGTCCCTTTAGTATCCGTCAAATTCATTAAAGCAAAGGATACTTTGTTTGAATCGTAAAACATATCCCTTCTAGTCGTGGAAATAACGTCAATATCTGGTGCAACTTTTACGGAAATAGAACAGATACTTGTCCGAGACCCCTATACGTTGAATTCACGGCCATGATTCTTTTTGGGCATGTATCTGCTACAGAAAGAGCAGTGCTGCTCTCTGAGAAATTTAAAGGAACGGACATGGACTGTCAAGGAAACAAGTGCTCATTTCAACGAACTGGTGTTGCCATTGGCGGTAAGTTTAACACAGGGTAACAATAGTGTAGATAATTGCTCCTGCTATCAAATGCCCTATTGATTTACAACGAATAAGCTATCTCGTCTCCAAACTTGTGTTCAAATTTAAAACATATTATTCATATTCTGCTGTGAGAACAAAACTTGAACGGAGCTATTTCTTCTTTTTCTTTAAAATGTTTGGTAGCTACATCCTTTCTATTACAGTTATTCTTCTTGTTTTATTTCATAAAAACAGATAAACCAGTTGCAACATACATGTGGTAATGAGATACTTAGCTTAACTGGAGTTGAAAGGCTCTTTTGTGAATTTTTGCATGAGCTTTCTCGTCATCTTCGCCAATTCCTGCATTGTCTCTAAAGGGATCTGATCTCGTATCCTTCCGACATAGTCATTTCTATTGCTCACCGAATTTTTGCTGCAGAAAAGCAATGGACAAACGCAGAATAAAGAGCCCTCTCTCAGTTGTTTTTGCACTTTTGGTTGTGATAATCGCTTCTTGGAAAACCTGGCAAGACAGTCACAATTTACTAATTTGATATTAAGGTTTTTTGTAGTGTGCTTGAATTGAAGTTTTTTCATTTAATTTTTTATTGCTATTGTATTCTTTATGTACAGTAAAAAATCTGTATTGAAGAGATATGATAATTTACAAGTTGCCAGTTGCCAGTTGCCAGTTGCCAGTTGCGAGTTGCCATTTGCGAGTTGCCAGTTGCGAGTTGCCAATTGACATTTGACAATTTGACAGAATGAAAAGTTCCTCGAAAGCTTAAATATTGAGCTTAGCATAATGGAAGAATGCCCTCTTGAAGTCTAGGGCCTCCACAAGTTGGGTGCCCCCTACTATGGCCCTGACTCCATTATAATTCATGCTTTTAAACTGAGACAAGAAATTAAAAAAAATTCAGTAGTAAAATGCATAGTTTTCGGCTTGAATCAAGAGACTTTTTCATGGCCTGATCAGAACTTCTTCTGACAAAATGTGTACCTTTTTGGCCTCAGTCATCCCAACCCATTTAATATATTTGATGAAATATCCACTCATTACTTCATTATTGAAAATTACAAATTTACATCTGGTTATCTCTAAGATGAGCTGCTACAGTAATTGATGTTAAGCCAAATAATATCATTAGAGAATAGGTACAAATGTTGGGATAACAGAAGCACATTGCATATGAGTACCCACTTCAAGCAAAATGCATCAATCTCAAAAGTAGTTTGCTATGGAAAAAATAAAGCATATAAACACCAGACATCCAAAAATGATGTGTATACTCAGCCTTTCCTGGATCTTATTCTCTAAAGATTAGTCATAATAATCAGTTTGTAGCACAAAAATCAACGCACACGTTAGCTCATTTCACTAGCATCTGCTGTGCCGATGTACAGTTACAGTACAGGTTAGTTTGCTATGGGATAAGTTTCTTGACTTGCTTCAAAAATATAATTTTGCCAAGTGCTTTTTTAAAACAAATGGCACCAAAAACGGTTTTAAACCAGATAACTAATTGCAACACTCTTTATTTGTTTTAAGTAACCTACATAAACTTCTTGTACTGCAAACTATGAATATATGGTTCTCAGCTGTTGATGTTGTTTTCCTTTTCTTTTGTAAAAACTTGTCATTCAAAGATACCTTTGGAGGGAACATTATGGAAACAAGATCGCACTGACCTTTTATACCATCCCTGCCATTCGATCGAAGCTCAATGGATATCCTTTTGCAAAAAACGCTTTAATGTCCAAGGGCAACATATTTTACTAACTGAATTTCTTAACGCACACTGAGGAAATACTGTTATACTTTGGGGTTAAAAAGAATGAACTGACATGATGAAAACCCAACTCGCAACTGGCAACTGGCAACTCGCAGCTGACATTTCGCAACTAACAACTCGCAACTCGCAAAATATAAGTCCTCTGTATTAGAAAACCGTCAATTAAGTCATTATCCTCGGCTAAGAACGCTAAATCCCTTGCAGTGATTATCGGTGATCCTGATATCAAATTGATGTCGATGGAGAAAAATGGTGCGTCCATCAGAGCCAAGTTTCAGTACTTTAACGGAGTAAGCTCCGTGATACAGGCTGGTTATAAAGTGAACCTTATAGCAGCACCCATCATTCAACCATCTTTACAAATCCACCATTCTTCCATCATCGACGAAGGTGCAACGTTCTTCATGAATTTAAACCCATACCACAGAGTCACTGGAACAATGTGCCCAAAGAGCCTTCAAGATGATGCAAGTGGTTGTACTAAGCTAAATTTCACCACTATGGCAATTGGTGAGTCTCTTTGTCTTAGATTCTTAGCGTATTTACAATGATTTTTCTCAACCTAAAATGCTTTTCAAAAACCCTAATTTCCCAGTAGAGCGATAGAGCGGCTGTTACGCAATTTATGACAGGCTCACTCTAATGAATTCTTAAAGGTGTTGCAAACAGGTTTTAAACGCTATACACTTGAATTCAGAAGGGATTAAAGAAGCTCTAAGCAAATTTAGGGATGAATTTGAGACCTCAAGCATAAACACAAATGTATGTTATGGAGGTTGAATTTATTTTGCTTTCAAGAACCTTACACTCGCAGCCTCCAAGGCTTATCTTCCCGAACAATGCTTGAATTTGTTTACTTTTCGGCAAGATAGATAACATTTTAAAGTTTTATATTTCAAAATAATGTTTGTACGCTTGCATACAACTGTCAATTTCTAGACTAGAGCTCGTTTGTCTTTTTGATTGAGGGATTTGAACTCAGGAGTTATTTGAAAAATATTCTTAGTACATGTGGCATATACAAATAGAAGTTGCTTATCACAATTACATGTAGCAATAATGCCGATGTCTTGATATTATAGTTTTTTATCTCTTCATAGCACTCTCATATACCTTCTACATACATTTTACTAATGCCATTTCATCGTTTGATTTGCAATGTTTTAAAGATTCCAAATCTAAACCTTGAAGTTTTTCAAAAAGATTGCTTATTTTGTCGCCTTGAGATGAAAGGGAGATGACTTCTCTTTTTCTAAAATTCGAAGATATTGAATGACTAAAAGATGGACAAAGATTTTTAGGACCACCTCTTTACTTTGCTTATCATTTATTTCAGCACCTACTGGGATGACATCATACATGCAATGTTTGGAAAAAGAATCCAAAATGCTGACATTTGTCATGAACAAAATTGATACTATAAGGTGGAATGGTCAGCCTCAAGCTTACTCGATATTTTACAAAGAAACAGCCAAGAGCAATCAAGTTGACAAGTATTTTGTCCCTTGCAACCTGACCAGCTTCTCACAATATAAATTTGTTGAAGAACCTGTAGGTGATGTCCTTGGTAAACAACATAAAACAACCCTGACTGGTCTTGAAGCTTTTATGAAATATGAAATCTACGTAGCAATCAATACTTCAATGGGGCTTGGACCATTTGCTGGTATCATTTGCGAAACAATAGAAGGAGGTATTTTGTTTTCCTAGGCTTTCAAGATAGTGATTCCCTTTTTTATCAATTAAAAGTCCAATTGCGTGGTGACTAAACGAGAACACCAAAAAACGTATGTTTTTTATTTGGAGTTTTAATACTCTTGGTAGAAGAAAATTATAGTAAGCTGAAAGAAAATTTTGAAGAGCCTTGCTTGTGAAAGAATAGTGTTGCCGCAGGAATAAATCTAATTCCGTGTTGGTTATGAAATTTATAAACTAAGCCTAGCCAGCAGTAATTTGTTGTGTCTTCGTCTCACTAGCAACAAGTGCCAGATTTGACTAGTTAATTTGCTACATATTTAACCTCTTTTGCACATTTAGAGGCATTCAAAGGTTTTAGAAATAGATTGTGACTTTATTAAACACTGTTATTATTGGTAAAGAAATACAAATAATAACTATATATTCGTCCGGAAGATTCGTTACCTTCTACTCGTCCAGTCGTCGCTTTTGTGAATGCGAAGAAAAAGTTTTCCAATCCTATTTACATGTAGGCTATTTTGAACGAGGGGCAGAGATCAGTATAAAAAAGATATATGAATGATTTCTAGCGGTTTAGTATGCAACGAACTACAGCTAAGATCTGTCATAGAACTCCAGCTAAGACCAATATAATTATCTAATCACGTCATTTGAAATGTCAATCAAACTGTGCAATGCCTTGGCTCAGACACCATAGTATGAAAGCTGCCTAATACTAATGAAGCATTTTACGTTAATGTTGCATTTACAATGATAATCTAAACAGGAAAACCTGTTTTGAAATTTTTCTGACAAAGACAAAAATACTACCATGCTACGTTTTTCTTTCAAAGCGCCTGATGCTGCGCCTACGAATATCAGAATCGAGCAAATACATCCAAACAAAGTGAATGTGTCATGGATTCCTCTTCCAAATGATCCTGAGGTGTGGAACTCAAACAACGAGGCGAGTTACGGTTACAATTTGGAATATATGGAATATACTGAAGGGGAAGCATCGCCAGCTCTAATCGCAAAAGAGACAAAAGATTCTTCATTGATAATTGAAGATCTGCATGAAGGACGTGGATACAAATTTCGTATCGCAGCTAAGTCAAGTGGAGGTGCTGGCAATTGGTCCGAAGCATTTTGCATTCGATTGCTAGATGCTGGTATGGTTTTCCTAGCTCTTCAATAAATATAGAATTGTTCACTAAAGCGATATAATCATGCATATGTTTGGCGTATGGGCTATACCCGGCGATTTATGTTTGAAATGACAATAAAAACTTTAGTAGCTTGATGGAGATCTATGATAAAATACATCAATGGGGGAACTTTTAAATATAACCCATAAATAATCCAAGTTTTCTCAACCAGAGGCAGATAATAAACGATTCTCTCGCATAAAGAAACCGAAATCGAACACAACCATAACAATAAGAGATTTTTTGCTGCCAAAGTATTTGGACTCACTGCAGTTGTTAGCGTCCATTTTCTTAGACTTTCAGTTGTTCGTTCAAACTATTTGCAGCTATAGCTTCATATCATCCACACCAAAATCTTGTCGAATTTTTGTCGTTGATGTTGTTTTTGCTGTTGCTGTTCCTAATTTTGTAAATGTAGTTTTGTTGTTGTTGTTTTTAATCTTGTTCTCGGTTATAGTAAAAAATATTGAGGTGAGATTTATTTCAGTCAATGTTTCCAGCATTATAATAGTTGACACAAGCTTTCCATCAGTTCACTTTTATTCATACTTTGTGTAATTCACTTCTTTTATCACCAAATCTTTTGTTTTGTAACGTGGATATTCATTTTTCGATCAATTCTTTGAATAACTTGAAAATATCAACCGAAAAAGTACGTACTGTGTTGATTCCTCAATATTCCCCTGTTATATTATAGATATCTTATAGATAGACTCGATTTCAAACCGTTGATATTCATCGACGTTTCTATATGCTGCTATCTATTTTCTCTTTGCAGCTCCTGGTAAAAAACCCGGCTCAGTAACTGCGAAGTATTTGAATGAGACTGCCATCAACGTTGATATTGATGCATTAAAAGATTTATATGAAGAAAATGGGCTGATCAGATTTTATAATTTGACAGTAACTGAACGCGAAACTGGCGTGGTCAAGATCTTTACAGTACAAAATGACCTTGAAATGACTCCCAAGATACTTGTGAGCAAACAGAATGGCTCCGCTCAAAATTCTGCAATCAGTTGTGAATGGATTTATCGTGAGAATGCTTCAAAATCTTCGAAACCAAAAACCTTTATTGTTCCAAACCTGAAGTATTATACAGAATATAACATTTCAGTGTCGGCATGTACCGAAGCTGGATGTGGGAACTCTATAGAAACACTGGCGAAAACAGATCAGTACCGCCCAACTTGCCCACCTCCAAATGCAACAATTGACGTTATTAACTCTACATCTTTGCTGTTGAAGTGGCAGCCATTGACGAAATCATGCATCCACGGCATACTTACCAAATACCGCGTTTCTTTTGCCGAAGAAAATAGCTTTCTGACAAACAACACGAGCTTTGTTAAGTTTAACGGCTCAAACCACAAAGTACCATTTTATATAGATAATGATCCAGGTGAACTGACACACGTACATCTTGACAGTCTTAAAGAGTATGTCAGGTATTGTTTCAAGGTTACTGGATATACTGTTAAAGGAGATGGTCCTCCTTCCCAACTTCACTGCGCCACAACGCTGCAAGACCGTAAGTTGGCACTCTCTTCTTCAATTGAAAAACGAAGTTCACATGTAATCTTTATTCTGAAAAAGAGGCCTTCTTTTTCAAAATACAGATTAAAGGTCAACTTCGTTTTTTGCCTTCAAGGCAATGTAATAAAACATAATTAGATGTAATATCACGCTTTGGTGTATAGAACAGTTTCTGAGTTGCAACTTAGAGTTTTACGCTTTAATGTAATAATAAGCAACAACAGGTAGATCTCTGCCAGACCGGTAAACATACATTTTCAACGGAGTTATCATATACTATTTTGAATTAATTTTATAATATTATATTATACTTTGCTATATTATTTCATATCATATTATATCATTTTGATATGATTTAAAATATTTTTATATCATTTTAAACTATATCATTCTAAATTATATTATATTATATTATATCTATATTATATATTATATTAATTATATTATATTATATTATATTATATTATATTATATTATATTTATATTTATATTGATATCTATATTATATTATTTATATTAATTATATATTATTATATTATATTATATTATATTATATTATATTATATTATATTATATTTTATTATATTATATTATATCATATTATATTTTAACATACTATATTTTATTCTATTTTATTGCGTTTTATTTTATTCTTTTTTATTGTATTATATCTAAACTTTTATTTTGATTATATTCTAGGTCCTCATGGTGCGCCAACTAATGTAACAGCCAATGTAACCTCCAGCCGATCTTTCAACATCAAAATGTGTGTTCCAACCCTTGATGACGCTAATGGAATCATAACTCAGTATACAGTTTTCTTCAAGCTTGTAGAGTATGAAGATACAAGAGAAGAGAATGTAACTAGAAAACTGCTTCCAAATGCTACGTATGAACATTGCACAGAAGCTGATTTTGATGGGCTGCGAACATTCTCAGAGCATGATGTTCAAGTTGCTGCTTGGACCATAATTGGGATGGGCCCAAGGAGTATCAACATATTTTTCAAGACATTCGAAGACGGTAACGACCTTTAATGCTAACTCACTACAGGCCATGTCCCCAGGGGCGTCACTTGAGGGGGTATGGGGGTTCACCCATACGACTTGATAACGAGTACATGCTCGAAACGTCATGTTTTTAACAATCAAACTATTATATTTTTCATTCTGGTACCAAATTTATTTGCTAACTATATTATCGTCATCTGCTCTTACGATGAAACGACCGTTTGTTGTTCGTCTCTGCTTGCACTTTTGAAACCGCTTTTGTAATTTTCTAAACCCGCTCCTAGTTTAAATGCTTTCAGAGATGAACATTTTACAAAACGAGATATTTTGTTAAGTGTGTTTCCAGGAGGTATTCCAGGTATCTTTAGATACTTTATTCGATCTAAATGTTCGATGTGGAGAAAGACAGGGAAACCGTATGTGGAACATCAACAGATACTGTAGTTTTGCGATTTAGCATAGAAATGCAGCTAGTCTGAAACAAATTCTAGATGTTGTGCTCTAGGGAGAACAGCACTCTCCATAAAGGATTCTTGAAAAGTATTTTTGTTAGGAACGTGATAGTGTGTTTCGAAGATCGTAGACAGATTAATTTGGTTGTTTCGGCGAGTTTTGTTGTTCCAGCGAGTTCCGTTGTTTTTGGCAAACCAAGCAACTATCAACCGCTACAAACTTATTGAAATAAAAAATAACAAACTCTTCGAATTTGAAAGCAGAATTCGTAAAGAAGATGATTTTCAAAACTTATCAATGTTGCAGTAAATTTCTGCTTGTAAATGCTTTGTCAATCATGTTTACAAAATTGCAAAAAAGCAGCTCTGCGCTGGCAAGAGATATTGGAAATGAACGTCACTTTTGATATCATTTCGTGGCGCTTTGGAGTTTTAGTAAAATTGCGGCACTTGTTGCAAGTTCTGGTAAAATTGTGGCACTTGTTGCAAGTTCTAGTAAAATTGCGGCACTTGTTGCAAGTCCTAGTAAAATTGCGGCACTTGTTGAGAATTCTAGCAAAATAACAGGGTCTATTGAAAGTTAACGCTCAATTGAACTAGATTTCTCCTTGGTCATGTCATACATATTATTTTTTATAAGAAACCAATAACTTTCACTGACACTCGATGTTCTAATTTTGTAGATGATTTTGACTCAGATGTCGTCGATGATCTTAGTATTGTTCTTATTTAAACATTTATTATTTTATCTGCTACGAACTATTTTGTCTGAAGCTTTTTTATTTAAATGTCTAACTATTTAATTTTTGCTTACCATTTTAGTTCCGTCCACCTGCCTTCACAACATAACTTCTTCCCACGTGACGGAGAGAACATCTATCATTTCCTGGTTGCCAGTTTCCCGTCTTGATTTGAATGGCGAATTCCGCAAAATAAAATTGCAGATAACCGAGAAACTGCAAGATGGCAATGTTTCTTTGTCCCGCACTATTTACATTGATGCATCAAATATTTTTGACGTGTTTCGCTCGGGTATGAATGCATTTGTGAACCTGACTGACTATTCTAATAACTCGCATGGTGCTAGATATGATTATTCATCACGTTGGCATTTTATAAAACTAGTAAGTTTGAAACCGTACGCTTCCTACGAGGTGCTGATGTCATCCTGCACCACACCAGGTTGTGGACCCGATTGTGGGACCAGTTTCCTCACAAATGAAACAGGTGCGTTTTACCAACTGTGTCTATATTGTTTGTGCAATCAATTTGACTTGACGTCATCTTTAGCAATTTTGATCAGTGAATAATTCGACATTTCATCGGGGGACGGTTTTTAGTGTTCCTAATTGAAGTTCTTAGGCCCTATTCTTTCGGGGAATTCCAGGAAAGCTGTCTGTCTTGAAAGTGTCTGGCAGTGGGATTGATGCCAAAGTCAATGTTATTATCAAAGTACAGATTATTCACCACTGTACATGATCATGCGTAGCTATTTCGCACTTTAACTCTTATTAAAGCTACGTCTCACAAAATTAGAAAATTCCAGGGATACTCTCTGTAAATTTATATTTGTGAACATCAATGTTAGAGAAGCTAGGCTTGTTTGGTAAATTCCTTTTTTATAAGTAACTATATATAAGAAACTCAAGGTTTCATTATTGATGTAAGAAGCTTAGAAAATCAATCAATAATTACAAAAATCAGCCACTTTTGCTACTAAGTATAAAGCCTTACTGCATTTTGCTATCGGGCAGTTTTTTCCAAAATGTCCGATCATGCAGCTGTAACAGTAAGGTATTATAGCTCATTTGAATATCCTATTTCGTTTTAACAGCGCCAGCTGGAGTCGTGAGAAATCTTGAAACGAAAGTTATCACGGCAGACACGATTGGAATTTCATGGAAACCAGTTGAAGTGAAGGAGCGACATGGCCTAATCTTACGATACGAAATTAGCTGGCTAAACGAGTGTCTGGAGATCGAACGAGACTGGCCTCTTTTTAAGGAAAAGAAATGCGGAAACAGTTTGTCACGTGATGTCCCTCAAACTGGTAAATTGATTATTGAGAGCAATAAAACATCGGTTATCCTGACGAACCTGGTGCCGTTGAGTACATATTTGTTTAATATCACTGCTGCTACTAGCAAAGGGAACGGACCTGTGTACAACTGGAGTTTTCATCTCCCCGAAAGCGGTAAGTGATTAAGTTTCTTTTAATGTATACACATTTTTTTCTTCAGGGTGTTCTCTTTTTCAATCAAGTTAAGGTACCTCTTTCCGATAAAGCTTGTTCGTTTTGTGTACTGAAAAGATTCATCCACTTAAAAAATACTATATAGTCAATATTTTAACAAATAATGACTTTAAATTCTATTGAAGAAAGCAAAATCTATTGCTTTAAGTATTTAGAATGTAATAATTTCATTTCAAAATGACACGAAATGACATTCAAAAGAATGAGAATCTTCCGGACTTGGAAAATAACTTCATCTTTTCAGATTTCATCTAGGCCCTCAAAATATACCTAAAGGCATGCAACTGGTTTATTCATGTAGACTATTATTCCTCTGCAATTGAACATTATCTTTCCTTTGACACATTTGCGTTTTTCTTTCGTAGCACCATATGTTGGACCGGTAATCGACAAAATTGAAAACACAAGTTCCACAAGCATTAAGTTGAACTGGACCGAAATACCAATTGAACAGCGCAATGGTATCTTAATTGGTTATGTTTTAAAGTATCTAGAAGCAGAAACAGTTGCGTATGGAATTTATTCGTATCAAGAAGTCTTCTTTCCAGTTTCAAATACAGAGGTGTATGAGTATGAAATTGTGGGCCTTCAGAGACACACTTTCTACAACATATTGATAATTGGGAGAACCCTTTCTGCAAATGGAACAGCCACTAATATCACAATGCAAACCGGTCCTTATGGTGAGTAGCAACCTTTCACTAGCAGAATCACAGCCACTTGTTATTGCAATTCCTATCAATGTACAATCATAGATCTTTAGGGTATTATTTCTTGAAAACGGCTAACTCGAGTCTGAAATCATTGTCATACGTCATGTTCAAATTGTGCTTACGAATAGTACAAGGTTTGCTTTCTGTCTTCTAGCTTTTAATAAATTTCACAATCAACCTTAAATTCTCCCGCTGATGATTTATCCATTGGAAGTGACTTTAACAAAAAGTTTCAATATTAAGCATACCCCTAAAGACTTTTCACCTCATGTACGGTCTGGTTATGCCTAGTAAATGGTGATTGGACATTGTGGTCAGAATGGAGCAGATGCACTCAGTCCTGTGGTAGTAGTGGTACTCAGAAGAGAGAAAGATCTTGTACAAACCCAGCCCCGTGGAATGGAGGGGATGATTGCATTGGCCAAAGCCACGAAATAGAATGGTGCAACACACACCTCTGCTCAGGTATTGATTCTAATCGTGATAACGAGATTTGATGCACAATAAAACGGATATGAGGTTAGGTATCTTGCATATCCCTGTAATAGAGATGGGAAGAGACCTCGTCCAAAGATAAATGTAATTTTTGTATTTTTTGATAAACATATGCATATCTATTACTGCTATCTTTAGGGGCTTTCACGTCTGTCACGTTTGATGAAATGCAACTGAAAGTCCAATTCCATGCCATTCGATAAGGAAATTCCATGGTGTGAGAGCGGCTTAGTATTCAGGTTGTAGACAACAAAACCAAAGGCCTGAGAGTCGAGTCTCTGCTATGACCAGACTTTCACCCAGAGAGTCGCCAGCTTTCTGTAATTCCATTCTGTAATCACTGGTCACACTGAGAGGAAGAGCCAGGGCACTTCTCAATAAGCATGGATTCTCAGTGTCTTAAAACTGCCTTCGAAAGCCTGATAGCAACAAATAGAAATACATTTAAAAGCAGGCGTTTGGGTATTTTTTGTATCCATACACTTTCTTTAAGTGATAATTTTCTTTCAAGTCTAACTAGAGGGTTATTCTGTCAAAAAAACGTATACTTTGACTATCAGAAGTTTAGACAGTTGTGTCAAATTATGTAAGTGAAATTATGGAACTTCACACATTACAAAAACTCATACCACCCTATAACTACCTTCAGCTCCCATCTTAGTTGACGGATCATTCTGAAAAGTATTGTATGAAATATCCAAGTGATTTACAAAAGATATATCTTAATTTTCGAACTTCAAGGTAAATTCCTCGCAAATCCGAATGATGACTGTAATGGAGCGTGCGCCAGTATGGGACTTACTTGCGTCAAAGATCTAGAAATCACATCAGAGACAAAAGTCTCCGACTTCCAGCAATTTGTCACACCTTGCAGTGTTATTCTCCAATCCTGGTCCTTAAGTGCTAATTCTAGTCTTACTGAGAACACAGGAACTTGTGCTGGAAAACCAATGTTACTCGGATGCATTGCATATGGGACAGAAACTAAACGGAGAATATGCAATTGCTACAACAAAGGTCAGTAAACAGTATTTTCCTTGTCCTTCGTAAATAAGAAAATAAAGGTCATTTTGAAGGCCTAATTTGACAGCGCATTAATCTTGATTTTCAAATTCACAAACTGCCGCAAAGAGGCTTACAACATGCGCTTTCAAAGTTGTCGTGCTGCTCTTCCTGATTTTAGTGGATATATTCATTAAATTTTAGTCTGTTATTCTTTATTACTAAAGTCACTCTACTGCCAACAGTCACTTAAATTTAACTCTAATGTGCTAATCAAATCTCGGTTTCCAGTTGACGTCATCGATTTTGCATCTTGCCATCTACAGACCTTTGTCAAGAATGGACTCAGTTTTAAAAATGTCAAGTTGAAATCAGCCTTTACTGAATAATACAAGACAGTTGGTTGCTTGTAACTACTTTTCAAAAATTCTGATATTTCTGAAGATTCGACCGGAATTTGCTACTGCAATGACATTGCTTAACTGCAGCAGAAAGTTTTAGTGAAATTTACAGGAAAGGCTAAGTTTCGAAGACGGCGGCGTTATTCGCTGCCTGACTGTCAAAACAACAAGAAATTTTCGGCACAAAATAATTTCGCCATTAAATTCTGATTCTATCATACATTTTTTGGCAAATATGAGGAGGTTAATGAGAACCATGAATTGAAAAACCAGTTAGCTATTTGTTTACTTTTTCAGCTGAGATTGGCTTTGGACAGTGGGCCCCTTGGAGCTTCTGTACTGCGTCCTGTGGAGGAGGAATACAGACAAGCACTAGGACATGTTTGTTAGGCGAAGGACAGTGCTCCGGGAAAGCATTCTTTCAAAAAGATTGCAACGAAAATCCCTGCCCGGGTAAAGTTTCATTTGCATAAAACTATCGAAATACCATTCTTAGACTAATATGAATGTTTTTTTCATTCGAATAACTGTGATAAACACCTACAAATAAGTTGAATCCTGAACAACAATTATTCATGGGCATTTCGTGTAATTTACCATTTTTTCATTGAGTTTACCATACAAACTAGTTTTTTTATATGATGTGGCTAAGATATTGGACGTTCACAAGCAAGAGATTTTGGAAAAACGATCAATGTAGGTAAATTGTACCAGGAAAAATTTTTTAAAATAATTAACGACGTTTCGAGCATAGCCCGAAAAGCATGATAACGGGCTTTGATCGAAACGTCGTTAATTATTAAAAAAAATTTTTCCTGGTACAATTTACCTACATTGATCGTTATTTAAATTCATCATATTGTACCGCACGCATTTTAGTATATTTAAGAGATTTTGGAAGTTGCTTATCCTTTGTCGCAAAAACTCTTTCTTGGTTATTAGTTAAGCTTTCCGCTTAAAAAAGGCTTATAAAAATTTTTTATTGTGCGCATGAATCGTCTCGGACTTATTTTCCATTGTGCACACCTTTTCAATTATATAGGACGCTTAATAATAGCCATTGTTCTCATATCTTCCCTTCAGTTAACGGTAACTGGGGCCAGTGGACAGAATTTCAAAAGTGTAACCAAACTTGTGGTTATGGATACCGACATAGATATAGAAAATGTGACAGCCCTGCTGCGGCACACGGTGGAAGGAACTGTTCTGGGACATCTGTTGATGCTGAAGGAGGATGTAATCCACAGGTTTGTCCAAGTAAGTGGGTCATTTTTGGAAGTTCATTCGTTGGCAACAAAAAGAATCCTTACCATTTTACTGTTATTAACCAAATTTGTCACAGTATCACAGGTTGTTCGCATAGCTCCCGTACCACGTTACAATTTGCGTTACTATTAGCTGCAGAACCGGACTGATGGTTGTTCTTGGTGCCAACATGGTGCCAACATGGTGCCAACATGGTGCCAACATGGTGCCAATTTAAATTCCGAAACCAAATAGGCCCAATGAAAAGCTCTATTTATGCTGCAGCATCAAGCCCAATTTGGGCTCAATTAGGCCCTAATAAGCTTAGATCATGCTTTTGTTAGCTCGTTATTATATAAGTCGGCCTAGGCTTGGTAATGTTTGCTTCTCCTAGGTAGATAGATTTAGTAGTAATTTTACGTTGCATCATATGTAAAAAGTTAAGCTTGATGACACTGCTATGAGAGGCTTAATTGACCGTGCTGAAATTTTAATGTTTTGGCCATCTAAATAGACTTGCAAGCTATTAATGTGTCTTTTTAGTGCGGATGATACATACAACAGATTATTCCAATTAAAAATAAACTTCCTTGTTTAAGAATCGGTTTGAAAGAAAACTCACCAGGATGGTCAGTTTGAATAAGTGAAAAATGATAGAACCGTTAAGTCATTTGACTCATGCAAAATTGTAATGATGAATGAGTTTGTAGACCTTCAAGTTCCGTTTTTTATCATTCGAGACATTTATTATTCGTTATTCATTAGGCCAGTGTAAAGTGATTACTCTCTCCAGTTTTACTGGTCACAGTGAATGATAAACCTAACTAAATATTTATTTTGTAGTACATGGTGGCTGGAGTGAGTTCGGGCCTTACGGCGTCTGTACACAACCTTGTGGGCTTGGCAAATCTATTCGAAGGAGATATTGCAATAATCCAACCCCAACCTATGGAGGGATGGATTGCGAAGGGTCAGCTACTGATAGTTTACCATGCAATCCACATCAATGCACAGGTAATTTGACGCTTATGCAAAGCAAAATAGCTACTTAAAACCAGGATGAGCGATCTACGTACGTCGTTATAGAATCGATTCGACGACGCTTTATGGAAGATAAACGACTTTGACTTCATTTCGCGTTATTTAGGCGTGATTCTTTATCTTTGACCAAAATGTATAGTTATGTTTTTTGTGTGCTATGTATCTTTGCATGTACTTTCATAATCTTTTCAGGATTTCATCTTCTCCTAAAGGTTTTGTTCAAGAAAACATATGAAGCTGTTTCTGAAATTTTGCAGAAACACAGTGATAGACTCTCATGGCTTTTGGCATTTCTTTAACAAATCAGAAGTTTAGTCTAAGCAATTTTCTTACAGTGATTGAATGAGGGTATCTTGATTCTAGAATTTCCGCTACGTTTTTAGCTCGATTCCTGATCATCAATTCCCCAATCCCAGTGTTATCGATTCCAGAATCCTACTCAGAAAAATGACAATGCCCAGACTCCAAAAAGATGACAATTCCCACTTTCCCGGAAAAACATATTGGGTACTCTTCCCAATGTTTACACGCAGCTGCACGTGTCGTTGATATTTTGTTTCTATTTGTTCCACAGGACTAGAGGTTCGATGCAAAATGAGGATAGATATGGCATGGAATTACAAGTACGTGTACAACGAGATACCCATGTCTTTGGACTTAGCTGAACAATGTCGACAGGGTGTAAGTATGATACCGAACATTAGCTTAGTGTCAAAGTGACGTCATCAAAGAAATTTTTTTCAGAATTTTAGAATTCTGACCCCACATCACCTGAAAAAAAAACGAACTACCGCTAGATGTGAAAAAATTGGACATAATTCTAAATTTCAAAGATTTTATTGATGATGTCACTTTGCAACTCCATATCATCAATACTTTTAACTTGCAGTACGGGGGGCATAGTGTGTGGGGAGAGCAATGGCTAGAGAACCAAATGGATTTAGAAAACGGTCGGAGTTTAAAAGAATATTGCCTCTGCCCCCCACCCAAAAAATAGAAAAAATTCAACGCCCAAGTGGCAATAGCAAATTGCTGCAACAAATTTCTGCAAAAAGGATCAAACACGGAGAGTGAAATAATTCTTTGTACAAAGCTTGATCAAAAGACTGGCTGATTGTCTAAGCTTTTTGATCTTCATACTTTTCTCGAAATCTTCCCTTTGCTCCTTTTCTTGATACTATCACTTTAATAGCTTCACTTCTTCTTTACTTTGTCTCATCCCAATGGAACACTTCTCGAATACAATTCCTTCAAACAGTAAATTTCCACAATTTTCCGAAGCTCAGCATCTAGCTATTAAAATATACTGATTCTTCTTAATATAAAAATTAAATCTTACCCCAAGGTTCCTTGTTGAAATAACTCATATTTTTAGTTTTGCTTGCCTGCTCTTTACGACTAAGTGCTTCAGAAATTCGTAAATGCAAAATTACAATCGTGATTTTACTTCTAATTGCTACCATAACTTTCTTTTAGATTCTGTCCTTGTACTCCAATAAATCTTTGGTATCGGCAATCAAATTCTTCAATTTTTAGTAAGTATTTTCACGAAATATTTGACACACCTTTGAAACGCATGCCTCGAGCAAAGTCAGGACAAGAGAGTCTTTGGATGTTACATCACAAGATATACCTTTCTAGCATTTTATAATGTTGACCACTTGATCTAAAGGAGAAAATAAATTACAAACAGTCTTTTGGTGGTACGAAACTTAAAAATGGCTTTGAAAAAAGCAAACATTTGTGTATACTAAAGCTTTTCATCTGACACTCTTCAGAGTATAAAACGTCAGAACATAGATCGAAAACTCTACGCTAGGAAATAAATATACCCAGTTGTGGATCGAAATGAGACAATCAGAAATGCGAGCACATGAATGTTGAGGTTGCCCAATCGGTTCTGCTTGCCTATTTTGTTCCAAGTCTAAACTCGACTCGCAACTTGAACAACTAAAAAAGATTTTTCTCGAGAACGGTTATCCAGAGGATGTCATTTCAGTATGCATTAAGGAGGAAATAGCAAATTTCTCGGCTGACGTAAAATTTGGTCCGCAAAAGTGTCTGGTTTATCTAATACTACCCTGGATAAGTAACAGTTCCTTGCGATTTGCAAGTCAGATATAACAGGCCATCACAAATAGTTTCCTTGCTGTTTCTATTCAAAAGGATTGCATTCCTACCACACGAAAGAGTTCCGTTATATATAAATTTACGTGCCAGTGTGATTCTGGCTATGTAGGACGCACTACCCAAAGACTGGATAGAATAGAAAAGCGTGTTCTTTCTAGTATCAGAAACAAAGCTCATCCACAAAGAGAATAGCCACTTCAGTGTTGCTGATCTATAACTACAACTAAAACATGGGATTCTGCTATCGGGCTGCATTTACTAGAAAACCCAGATTGTGCAAAAAACTATAATGGCGACATGTTTCGGTTTATTGGTAAAGCCCGATCGTCGTTCCATCTAGCAGTTTTGGAATCTATCTACATAGGCACGAAAAAAATCGCTATTGTGTAGACAGAAGGAGTTCTCTTATTTCCCTTCACATTAGGACACCATTGGTTACATTCTCAATAGGCAAGCGGCACTGGGCAACCTCAACAGTCTTGTACTAGCGTTTCTGATTGGCCTATTTCGATCCACCATAACGGCCAAACTTAAATCTTTATAGATGGCAGAATAGAAGTTTGAAGTAACAAGAATGTTTAACTTTAAATCAGTTTTCAACTTCTGTTTGAATTTTTTGTGACATTCCTGAATTTCTTAACTTAATAGTGTGGCTCTAAATATGTTACATACACATGTAATGCTTAATACCAAAAATTACTACCTCCGATTGAAGAATTTCTATTTTGTTCTTGCTATTGTTTTCAATGAATCTTTTTACTTCATTTCAGCAAAGGAAGCGTCATTGCAAATTTCAGTATTTACTACTCGGCAGTAAAGAATGTTGAAGTTCTTGTGCTGCAAGATACAATATCTTCACAGCAGAAAGTAGGGAATCTCACCGTGACAGAGCTTTTGAATACACCTGAATCAAGTGAGTTTTCGATTTCCTTCCTTTAAAGAAACGAAGCTTGCTTGTTCATAGGTAACCCTTAAGCAAGGATTTGCTACAGACAAAATTGGCGAGCTAAATAAACTGTTTTGAAGTAAGAAGTTTTTGTTGTTAATGTTAGGGAAAGGCTCGTGACCTTATAGCTAAAGAGAAGAATAAAGTCGAGGGAGAGGGGCAGAGCGTTTTACAATCACTGCCAAAAGTCTTGGTACACTAACGTCAGTTTTCAAAGGAAAATTCAGCCACCCATTCTCCCCCTTGGAACAATGTTGATTTACTATAGAAAAAAGGAAGGAGTTATGGAGTACGCTTGTTTGATATTTTTCTAATGATTTCAAAATTGTTTTGGGGGAATTCGGAAAAAGAGTGTATTCGGAAAAGCAAATGAAAAATAGAAAAGCACAGCGCAAAGTTTTGGGTGTTCCAAGTAATTTTGGCAGTGATTGTAGTATTTAAAAGACATGGAATGGAAGGATTAGTTGCAAAGAGGCTTGTACAAAGAAAACTGACTAGAAAATAAAACTGTTCTGAATGAAGTGTTAATCAGTAATGTAAGGGGACTTGTGTACTTTGAGGCGAATAAACTTTAGTAGACGTCAAGGCGAAGGAAATTGATTTTGCTAAGCAACCGGCTAAACATTGAGTTCTTGATATGATACTTCTTTGTAAGCTTGCTAGATCATGAACGGGTGTAGTCGTAGTATTTGTTATAGGAGCTTACATCACATCGTTTTCAGGCAGCATGCAACTCAGGGAATTCGTAATTTGTAAAATTTTTATTTGTTAGTTGATTTTTTGGCTTCTTTTATTTAAGAGAATGCTATTATATATAAGCAGATTTGTACATGCTTTGGTATAAAGAACAGGACGGTTCTACTATGCTCTGAGTATCAGGTAATCTTTGTTGTTTGTATCTTTCAACAATAACTTGGCCTGATTTTCTTTATTTATTAAAAACGAATTCAATCTGCCTTTCTAGCTTTGCCGAATCCTCCCAGCAACTTAACTGTAATTGGAATCGGACCAAAAACGCTAATGATAACTTGGAAGTTCAATGGTTCTCAGCCAACCGGAATGAATCTGTCGAGTTTTTACGCATTCTTTAGGATGAAAGACAGTCCGGTTGGTACCTGGAATGTGGTTGGAATTCCCCTTGCAAATCGTGCGTTTAATATAACAGACCTCTACGCTGTAGCAGAATACAGAGTGCGGATGTCTGTGTCGTCCACATTTGCTGCTGGACCCGCAAGTAATGAGGTCATCGGAAAAACCTTAGAAGGAGGTACCTTATAGCAAATTTGTTTATTTTGGATAATCAATAAGGCTTTTTCAATTGTTAAGTTTATCAAAGCATCAAGTTTATCGTAGGCTGTCTCATATGAATTTTCGCTCTTGATAAATTTGTGCAGACAAAATAATTTTATGAGAATTGCCAAGACGAGCCTGTATATTAGACAATGTTTAATTATTCGGAATACTTAACTCCTGGAAGTTATGTTCATAATTTGGGTTTTTGAAATAGATTATGAGATTTCTATACAGGGGACGATTTTTACAATAGGCTCTTGAAAAATCAAGGAATCTTCCAAGAAACATTTAATTGACTTAAATTATCAGATGAGGTGAATCACTGAGAATACAAAATTCAGTGACTCAAGCGATTAAGTGATCATAGATAAACAGATTTTTGCAGACGTATCTAGTGATGCGAAATAAAAAAGATTCTTGTGTAGACCAATGCAAAATTCAATAAGCACAACAACATAAAAAAGTTTTAACAGATACAGAGATCCTTACACCAACTGTGTGCAATAATGACATCCTGTTTTCAATTAAATGTTAGTGCCTGGAAAGACAGTGCAAGGGTTCCAGATTCGTGCTACTCAACCTTCTGAAGTCTACGCAGAATGGGACCAATATCCATACGTTGATTTCAATGGATACCCACGTGGCTTTATGATTCGATATAAGAAGCATGGGGATACTGCCTTCAAAGAGAAAGTTGCTGCATACGGCAGTTTCAGCGATACGATAAAGGGTCTTAAGCCCTTCTCTTTTTATACATTCGAAATATTGGCATTTACAAATGTTGGCAGGGGTCCACCAGTATCCAAAGTGGTGAAGACGTTGGAAGGCGGTAAGACAATTTTCAAAATGCAAATAATATTCTGTATTTGACTGCACAGTACTACTTGACCAAAAGCTTTCGCAATCGTTCTTTAAGAGTTACAATGCTTGCCACAAGTACTTGGAACACCCAGCAATGTGCATTGCATTTGATATCTTTCATTCCTTTTCCGAAAAAAATTACCGCCCCCTTCCCCCTAGAACATTGTTGATAATTTAGGGAAATATCATAAAAGAAGCGCAAAAAAGTGCTTCATAAGATCCTAACCCGTTTCATAGTAAACCAACATTGTTCCGTGGAGGAGAGCGGGATGATTGATTTTGACCTGGGAATCTGTCGTCAGTGTTCCGAGACATTTTGGCAGGCATTGTAAACATAGCCTGAATTTTTTGGCAGCTTGCTTTGCTTCACTATATCTTTCAATTTGAAGGATCTCTTTTGACTGTCTAGCTTCTAGGCAGGAAAGAATTTCAGTCTTTATGTCATACTGATCATTATGACAAGTAGCAAGGACCAGATTGTCGCAAAAAACTTTTAGATTTCCACATATGGTTTGTTTTGGTATGTCTTAAAAAATCTACCAATTATTCTTTAGCTCTTGATTTTTAGCCTTCATACACGCCCTCTAATCGCCTGATGAACTGTTTAGGTTACCTCTTTGCGAAAATTAATCTTGCATTGATTGGCTGTTGAATTTTAGCCATTGTAATTGTTGAATTCGAATTGTGAACATGTGTAAATTGAAACTGCCGCTGATACTTTTTTAGTACCAGAAATACCGCCTCCAAATGTTCAAGCGCAGAGCTACAGTGGTACGGACAGGACATATTTAAAATGGGGTTCTATACCAGATGAAAAAACTAATGGCGTTTTCAAAGGCTATAAGATACAATATAGGCTTGCTAGTGTTGGCGGCAGACCTTTAGTGCAGAAAGGGCCTATTAAAGTGATCGAAACAGACAAATTTACTCATGACTACGAGATAACTGGACTGCAGAGTTACTCCACGTATGAAGTCACTGTTTCTGGTTCCACGAATGCTGGAGATGGACCAAAAAGCGACGTTCTAACACCTGGTAACTACTGATAAAACTATTTGATTTTTCAAATCAATAACATACAATTGCTTTAGTATAAGCTTAAGCCAACAGTTGTTTTAAAGATTTCATCTCAACTAGTTAGCTCTAATCAAAGCCTATAGGATGTCAGCATCTAAAAAGTTGTTGTCAGAAAACTGCGAATGGAAATTACAAGCTTTAGATACAAATAAGACGTAGCTATCTAGTATTTTACTTGCATTTGAATTCATTTTAGCTCTTTAGGTTTACATTCTATTTTCGTGTTGATCTCTTAAATCATTCAGCTCTATAGGCTAGCTGCTCGTAAGCTGTCTAGCAAAATATCCTGTTCAGGATTTTTCATCCATCGCTGTTATTTCACTGGCATTATATATTTTTGAATAAATAATACTATGGTTAAAGCATTTGAATCTTATTATTTGTACAAATTTTCATGCTATGTGTTTTTTGCCTATTTTAATGTGACTGAGCTTACAGTCTATTTTCATTCAACATATAAATTTATTTGCTGTTTTTCTTCCATTTTGAAGCTACTTGTAAATGTCCCCAAACAATATTCTTGAACTGGTACGAAAGCAGGCCATACGTCATCAAAACAGGCAAATCTACTATTGAAGGCATCTTCTACAAGGTGCTTACAGATACACTCACTCAATCCTGTGGCACTTGCAATGGCAAAGCATCTGTAATTTCTCCCTATAAAAGCCTCAGTGGTGAAAAGCCAGAAAAAACCAGTGCAAAAAAGGTTATGTCGGTGATTGGTAAAGAATACCATGTCAGTTTCCCTGTGTTTGGCAAATCTGATATGAGTACATACCTGAAGCAGAACGTCTTTGTCGCCCTGGTGGAATCGCCTGGTGTTGCTGTTGCTGTCAGAAATGACGTTGATTATACAGTAAAGACTAAAGCTGCCTTCAATGCCATGATAAATGTTTGGCCAATGTACATAGTGTTGATCATAATGACTTTGCTAGCTGGCATCTTCGTTTGGTTTTTCGTAAGTCTTACGTACACAGATTTCCCACTCTATTCTGCCTTATGTCTTACGTACACAGATCTATCTATTGCAACGTAGTATAAAACATCAGGATAAGGTTCCGAAAGAACAAGATGGAAAATATATACGCAGTTGCGGATCGAAATAGGCCAATCAGGAAAACGCGAGCCTATAGGAATTGGTATAGTTATCCAATCTGTACCGCATGCCTATAGAAATTGTCATTGCAACAATCTTTCAACTGAAAAAACTTGATTCTATAAAAAATACATGAGACCAATTTAGTCATCTTTTCGAAAAGAAAATAGGTGAGATATTTGATAAATTTTGTATCATTGATGGTCAAATGAGAGAAAAGATCATTTTTATGAATTTGGAGATAGATAAGAAGTTGTACCAAGTCTTGGTTAGTTCCAAAAGCTCACTTTGGATACAGGTTCCAAGACCCATGTGGTGCGTGTCGTTTTTTATGTGAATGCAGAACTTGACTAGTCATTTTTCACGTTATATTTCGTTATCTACGAATGGTTTTAGTACCTCGTGTATCTTCAAAACTTGATGCATCTTCCGTAACTTTAGAAACTGAACATGAGCAAAATTTCTTTCAAGTCGAGTTCTCTTTTGTTTAAAGAATTTTCATCATCTTGTAGGAGCATCGATCAAATCCAGAATTTTCAAAAGATCATTATGTAATGGGAATACTCCAGGGTTGTTGGTGGGCTTTCATTTCAGCCACAACAGTTGGGTAAGTGCGTCTTTCATCTACTATGATCTATTGACTGGGAAAGCTTGAAACAAGTAACCAACAGCAGTATATATTTGTATCAAAAATGTTTTCCGGCTATATTCTTTTGACTATACTTAAATGTTTGCAATCATATTATTAAGTTATTCAAAAGCTATAATTTGATAGATTTGCTTGCACAGATTCTTGACTTTGCAGGTTCTTTAGAGTCCTGCTTTCAGTTTTTCATCCACCAATTGTATTAATTACGAAATCTGTCCAATTAGTATCTTCTGCATGAACGACGCTCAATGTTTTCAGTTGACACTTAACATGAGGCCCCGAAATCAATCCAGATTGTGTTCATTGCAGGTACGGGGATCTCACCCCGAGGACATTCGCAGGACGTGTGTTTGGTATTATCTGGATCCTAATTAGTCTCATTCTCAACGGTATACTAATCGGATCTCTCACCTCTTCTGTTACAACGATGACACTGCCTTCACCATTGATGCTTTACGGAACTAAGGTGTGTTCCATTGATTTTTTATCCACAATGAGTGTTCATATCGCTGACAAGCTAACAACCGATATAGCACCCTCTTTGGACAGCATTTTATTCTAAATAAATGAATTTGAAATTTTGATACCTCAACCCACAATTTAAAGCCTAACACTTTACCTGAGTTATCTGTTGGCTATGCAATAGTGTACAGGGTAAAGTTTTGATCGGGTGTTCGTATACATTGATTGATTTTAGCATTTCTGTTGCTGAAAGTTTTCAATTTATCTTTATTACTGAAATTGCAAATCAGCTTTTATTTATCATTATAGATTTAAATAGTTTTACTTATTAAAACAAATTATTTTTGGAACTCTTGATTGGGTAGATATTTCGTAAGGCTCGATTAAAAGTCTATTTTTTATCCCATTGTGTTTTCTGATTAGTCAGATCTAAGTTGACTTATAATTATATAAGGCCGAAAACTCAACTGGAGTACCAGCTGAAAATGAGCTTTTTTGAGTCAAGTTATCAACCTCAATAGAATCATTCACCAAACACTCAGTTCACTAAGCAAGTCGTCTATTTTAGATTTCAAATTTTTTACATGTTTATTTGACAGCCCATTCTTGTATTGCTATTTAAGAGTGCAGTAATATTGACCGTGGAGAAGAACATTACCTTTTTATTTTGTATATGTGCATTAGCTTCAGGGAAGGCTACGCTCAAAGAAAGCAACGGGAGCAAAGCGAGATGAATGTTTGGCTACTGTACATTTTCGACTTTCATAATGGCATTGAATTGAATGTACATAAGTACAATATTATAGCATATAACTTTCTTCGTAGACTTCAGCTGTGACAAACTCTTCTGAATATTCTTTGGCCATAAGGAGGAACTGCAAAATAGACAGAAGTACGTGTTGAAATTTGCTACAAATTTTCATACCATTGATTTGATGAGATCTTGAGACTTCAGTACTGTTTTATCGATTTTCTAACTAACTATTATAACTGTTTTATCGATTAGAAACAAAAACAACAAGAAATGATTTTCATGTGTGGAAGAAACCTGAGCAACACGGACTGTTTTATTGCTCCTAAAAATCCATTAGTGATGTTTATTATGCTTAGTATATTTCTATATCTTAGTATATCTCAAGTATTTTTCTTTTAGACGTTGAATACGAGAAAGTCGATTCGGTTTTAGCAGCACTCAGTGATAAACATGTAGATATTGCATTGATGGATGCATTCGTGGCTGTAGCCAAGGGAAAGTACATTGAAGACAAAAAACTTAAAGTTAAAGAGATTATAAAAACTACGGATTCTTTTGGATTTGTTCTATCACATGAGCTTGTTCGACTGGAAGACGATTTCAGAAGCCAGGTGTCAACTAGACAGGATCTGGTTGCAAAATTTGTTGCCAACATGACTGCGCGCGTACAGGTTGGCTTAATATTATCAATTAGCTGGTATTCAGTCTTCTAGGGCTGCAATGTTTATTGTTGTTAAAGCTATCAAGTTTTATGAAACCTTTTAATTATTGCTTTGCAAATGGGTGCATTGAATGTCGGCCAATCCCTATTAGTTTTTAGAAATACATTTTTTTCAATAGCACATTCAATATTGTCCCATATTTGAGTATTTCGTGTTTTAAACTAATGCTAATACTGTAGATGAAATTTATCAGCTACAGCTAATCGATATGATTAAAAGTGATATTCAGTAAACTCAAAATCCAACATCTATTCCAAACGACAGTAATGAAAAGTCACAGAAGCGTAAAACCGTCCTTCTAGTGTAGAATCTTCTTGCGTAGAATCTTTTTTCTTTTTTTTTTGTTAAAATGTAAGAACTCGAGAAAAATAAGAATAAACTTAACTGAACTAGAATTTATATCATTGAAAATTTGCATCGTCTTAACTTAACTTCAAATAGGATTATTCTGCTGCATATTTTACTTTGCCCATTTTTCGTTATTTATCCTGTCAGAAGAGGCTTTGAAAATATCCCCTTCTATCCTTCGCCCATTTATCTTTATTTATGCAGTCAGTTGAGCCTTTCAGCAAAGCAGGAGTTTTATTTTTTAGGTTGCGGAAGAAATAGCTGAGGTGATACTTTTGATGGATCCATCAAGCAAAATGTTTTGGAATGTCCTTGAGTTTATGGGAATACTTGCTGCTTCTTTCACGATTGGTGGTATTATCATATCGTATATGCTCAAGTGGCGCAGTTACAAGAAGTACATGGCGATTCATCCAGGTATTAAATATAAAATATTTGCTGAAAAGATAATTGGAGTTTTCCTCATGGCCGGTTGTGACCGATGTGTTTTCTTCACGGCAGTGACCAATGTGTTAATTATACATCCATCTTTACATGTTCTTTAATCTTTGATTATTTGAGTTCGAACTAGTGCATACTTGAAGACAACATGATATATATGATACAAAATATAAAATGATAATAGTCTCTTGACTCAACATTGCTGGAGATATTTCGATGCAGTTGAGTTGAGTCTTTATGTCGTGATCAGTTCAGTGCTTTTTCCAGACATGTTGAATTAAGTACAGTACATTATTATTCAATAAAAGACCTCTATAATTGTTTCTACTTTGAGAATATCGTCAAGATTCCTAATTGCAGCGTTCCTAACACAGAAGTCCATTTAATAAAAAAAATTCGTCTAAAAACGTTTTTCCACACAGGGTGGTGATGGTAAAGCGATTAAATATTGGTTTGCCAAATTGATCCAAAGCACCTTTAATCTACTAATTGTTTTGCCTATACAAGAACAAGGTTGATATAAATCCTGTCTAATTTTGTAATCCTTAAAAACATCTTGTTTGAACCACGAAAGTGAAGGTGATATTCGATACCCTAGGCTTTAGAGTCTCCAAAAGGTGTTGAATCAAACAATGGAAGTATGAGTTTGAATAGCTGAAGACTGCAAAAAGAAAGGAAAGAAACGAACACTCTCTCATCCCCTCTCCACTCAAAGTCTTTATCTGAGCGACTCTACTGTTCCATGTTTCTTGTAGCCTACTTTTCGAGGCTCTGGTACCCATGGTAGATATTCGAGTAGCTCTGGTTCCTTGACTTTAACTTAACGGTCTCAACGCAAACATATATATGACCGTTATTGACAATTTTACTTTTAGATCCACGAGCCAGCCTCTCTAAGTCTATGGACAAAGATGTTGAAAACTTTGAAAACAACCTACAAAATTTGGCAGATACACTCGATGAAAAGCACTTCAGACGGAGGCTGGAGCTACTTTGGATTAAACAAAACTACCGTAGATATCTGAAGCGCAGAGCTAACTATTCTGTAGATGAAGACATACTGCCGAAACCTGAAATATAAGTAATTTAATCGATTTAAATTAACACACACTCGGTAATTCGTCGTAAGTCATGTCATGGAATGTGTTGAAGGGAAAACTGAAAGGTCCATAGAATCAAGTGGGTATTTGCCCGTCCGTCTAGGAATGCCTCTCCGGTTCTTTGAAGCAAGCACTGGAAACTTTGCCAAGAACCGCTTGATTTAAAATACAGTAATTTAGAAACTAAAAGAGTTAGCACCTTTTGGTGAATTGTTTATCTGTATTTCTTAAGGTCACAGTAAAACAACCCATTAACCCCATTGAGAATTTTATGTTCAATTGTCTAAATACCCTTGAGGATTTCGCTGGGTATGAACTGTCACATGAAATGCATGATACTCTCGGAATATTTTCCAATCCTCTCGGGATATTTTACAATCCTCTTGGCACTTTAATGCGAGATGCGAATTCTTTGCGTATCTCAGCGAAACACACAGGAAGATTTTTAGCAAAAGCTATTTAGGCCTTGGCACGTGTTGTGGAAGCATCTAATTCTACTTCGAGAGGATGTCGATAAAATTCTATCCAATCCCATTGGAATCCTATCCAATTTTGGTAAGTTTTTCGACATGTATTTCACAAGAGGTTTTAAGAAGCTTACCTTGTTACATTATTTTGATTTGCTGTCGTTGAAGGAATTTGCGAGAACGAACCCTGGTAAAATTTCCTCTTTTACTAGGTATTTTTAGTATTTTATTTTAATCTTATTTGAAAAAACAAAATTTGCAGATAAAGATGCTTTTTGGATAATTTCACCACTTCTAATTTTGACCTAAATGTAGATATTTCAGTATTATAAAAGGTTTTTTTCGAAAAGTAGCTCATTTGTTTTAGGAGCTGAAAAGTTTTTAAAAGTTTTTTTGTAAATTGCTGTCACTAAATCTTCTTTTAACAAATGCAACAATGCTTGAATTATAACATTAATGCTTAAATAACGAAAATTAAGTTTAATTTTTGTGCCATTCGTCGTGATAAACATCATCTTGCTATCACCGTGAAAGCTTCTCGTGAGTAAAGACTCGGAAAGGTTTTAAGGTTTAAAAGATTTTCTAGTCCGTTTCTTTCCATTAAGTTCGTCGCATTCACTGCGCAGATTCGTTCCATTCCGTAGTTTTACATTGTGAATACCGTTGTACCAGAATACCGTTGTCATTCCCCAGCCAAGTTAGTATCATTGCACTGGCGTGGTCGGTTGAATTTTTCAGATACAGTCTATACGTGATAATACCTTGCACAATCAAAGATTACCTGAATGCAAAAATGTTTTGAAATGACCATACCTTTCATGTTTTATTTATCTTATTCCGGTTGTCAAGAAGGAAAGTACTTATGCATTTTACAAAGGAACGAGCATTCAAGTACCTCCAGACGATATTTCTAAACATGTCCTGCGATAGAAGTCGTTCTAAAATGCGGTAAGGGCCTATAGTAGGTTTGAAGGAGCAATTCGGCAAGTGAGTTGCAGACCATTTCCTTACCACTGCAAGTTCTTAGTTTCACTGTTTTTGACCGGATTAAATTCTGGAGATGTTTGAGAATAAAGCCGCAGAATCTATACCCAAGTGCGTTACCGATGTATGTATGGGGTTTCCTATTTCCTATCACCTATTTCCCACCACCGCCCTACCATAAAAAATGCCCATGCCAAATGGTCGTCTGGGAAGATTGTATTCTCTAAAAATTTAGGCTTTATAATTGCCTATTCCTTCCCCCACACTACTGCACGAGATGCCTAGGCCTTTTCAGAACCTCCACTGATTGTGGCCCACGACTGGAATGCCCTTGCTTGTAAAAGGACTATTTTGATATAAGGCTTGTTAAGGTAGTTTTAGATATGAAATATCGACACAAAAAAGCAGTCTTTTCAAGAATTAATATTTGCAAAAATTTTCCCATCCCATGCTAAATTAACAATTTTATCATTTTCGAATTCAGGCTGGTTGAATAGCTCACGTATATTTCTAAATCTCATCGCATAGAAACTTTTGTTGTAATACTTGCAACACGTTGAAGTGGAATTTTTCAGTTCAAGTAACCTGAAAGGTTATTGTACTTATCATGACCAAAAGTGAAAAAACACAGATGATGACTCCTTGTTTATTTGTAAAGTACATCGGTTGATACATAATATTTCTATATAGGGCATTTACAGAGCTGTCAAAAACTGGAAAGCTTTGATAATTTGAAGTCAAAACAATTGATATTCTACGAAGTTGATGATTTTAGTCGCTACATTCTCTTACTATCCATAAAAAGATGTTTTTTTGAGCGCAAACAAACTTCCGAAATTTAAAAACATTGTCGGATCAAAAATTATGCGGGACTTGTGAATCGACACGTGAAATGAAAGCCAACTTTCCTCTTCTTCAAAATTCTGTGGCGTAAATACTGGGCAAGTGCTTATGGTTCTTGTATGGAGCTGTCAGCCAAATATTGCTGATCCATTTCTCTCCCTTGATTACGTCACATCCCCCATGCAGACTTAGTCCATCACGTTCTCCCAGATAGTTTGATTCATTGTCGACGTAGTGGTTGTACCAGAATACTGCTGTCCCCTTCTTTGGTTTCATCACTAGGTTTGCATCTTTGCAGCGAAGTGACAGATTGCACTTTTCAGAAACCACCTTCAAAATGATTTTTATAAACATATGTGATCCATAATTGAATTCGTTCGGGTGTCGAATGACTCAAATCCCTAATATAAACACTTACAAAGATTAAATCCTTATCATTTTCTACCTGATAAATAAATCAAAACTTTTGATTTTAAAATATCAAGGAAATAATTTGTCATGAATTGAAATTTAAGTTTCTAGGGCACGGTTTGAAATTCCACCGTTGTCTAGTACATCCCATCGTGCATTGCTTTGATTTATTGTTTACCTAGTAAAGGATTGCTTGGTTATCTATTTATGCAGAGGTAATGTTAGGTTATCAAACTATTTTTTCATAGGCCTCACTAACTGGAAAGCTACAAGCAGAGCTAAATTTGCTGATGGAATAGATTATAAGAATAGATCCGAATATTCTGTTGAAAATGAAATAGAAAAATGATTGTTTTTTAGAGTTTTGTATGGTGCCATAAAAATGAATTAAAAGGTTATAACGTGAAATAAAAACAGGTATCACAATATTTGCCTACCGTTGCTGTGTATGTTTTATTGTCAGCATAAACAAATGCCGTTTCGCCACCTTCTTCTACGTCATTCATATATGTCATAATAGTAATGAGTCTGAAATAAGATTAAGATGCATAGTCTTAGGTAGGGATTTTTTGCAAGTGACTGAGTTGTTGGTGTTGTATGAATCTTAATAGCCTTTATTTTTTCACTAATTCATATCGAAGATGGTTTACTTTTAATTTTGGAAACTGAAGTGTGCAAATTTGATGACATCACTAAACACCAGCCTAGCAGTATATTTTCGCCCGTCAATGCTTGACTTTTAGCCTTTGCGAAGTTACTTTACGCCATTTTTAGCAAGCAGGTGTTTACGATCGTATATTGGCTATTCTGAATCTTCTCTACATGGAAGTGTCTATTAATGATAACGTCCGTCAAATGATACCCAATGCTGCATAAGCTCAGCTCTTACGCATAACTTTACTACTGTGGGACCTTAACGGGCACCTCTGAACAACGGACAGAGATTTTTGTCCACAATGGTCAAATTGGTCTTCTAGGAACCAACAGAAACCTCTAATCAACAGACAATTGCACAGGTCCAAACGGCGTCCGTCATGTTGAGGCTCCATTGTTTTAGAAGTGTATTGCATGTTAAAGACAATACGATTCCATGTGTTGTATCTGACGAATAGTTAGCATACAACGCATGGAAAATAGTGTTCAAAAGGACAAGCAAGTGGAGTCAGTTTATATGTAAACATTTTGAGCTTAACATTTCATTTCAAGAAAAGGATAAACATCAAAATCAAAGTGTCTTATATTGTGTAAAAGCTTTTTTCGAGTACATTTGTGCATGAACTCCGACACAGGTTGAAAAGTGGGGAGGCCAAGGGGAAATTCAACATCCATCACGAAAGATTTAAAAAAAAACATATTGTTTTGCTAAAAAGTGGGGTGCCATGCCCCCCCCCCCTTCGTCGGAGGCCCTGTTGTGTAAATATGCATATGAATGATAATTTAATCAAGGTTATACTCCCACTGTCATCTTTACCTTACATTATGTTTTAACTGCAAGCACATGTCTCTGATTATGAGATACCCTACCTGCATATAATGCATTTTCCAGAGCCATCCACTTCAGCTTTAATCTGGTGACAACATGGCAGATCAGAGCGTAAATGCGTTTCACTGTCAAAATGCGCGTGATAATGTCCTTTTGGGTAATAGTGAGCAACCTAAAAGGCAATCAGTCAGCATTTATATCACCACTAAACTTAGATTAAGTTTTTATTGCAATAAATTTTGAGTCAACGTGATATACAGATAAAATTTATAAATGAAAGAACAAAAATGACAGTTTTGGAATGTCACTACTATTAGATTGGCACAAAACTTTCGACTCCATGAAAATGAACAGATGCTCAAGATTCAATCACCACAACCTACCTGAATGGATTCTCCACCATAAACAATCTTTTTTGGCAACTTTGTTAATTTCACTACTCTAAAAAATAACAAGAAATTGAAATTATATAATGTACTTTGAACAAGCGGCAGTGAATTTTTCTAGAAAAAAGGACATTCTTAAATTGGATTTCAAACATTCCAGAAATCTTAGTTATATCCCAAAGTCGTCAATCTTGTCCCTATACATTAAAAACAAGTCTATACCTTTGACGGAGATCAGCCAGAATGCCTTCCCTTTCCCAACCAAGCCACGTTTGTTCGCTATGTCTAGCCATGAACCTTGGGTCCTCAGCAAACCAATAATTGACTTTGTCTTCTATGTGCACAGTATCCATGGTAGCCCATTCATCTTCTGTTATGACACCTGGAAAGAAAATCCATCACGTTTACTGTAAGAAATAACCAAAACGGCGTGAACCTGACTGTTTTTTATCTTGGTCCTCTTGGCCCATAGCAAATAGCTTAGAATAGTGGACACCATAAAAAAGCTCACTAGAAAAGAGTTTTTTCTTTTGACAATGCAGACACAAGCCTTGGTTGCTCTTTGGACTTACAAGTCAAAGGTCGTTATTTCCTATTAAACCATCAGCCTTAGGTAGGCAAAAGTACCACTTAATTATCTACGAAAACTACTAAATTCTCAAAGAATTTTTGTAAAATGTTCTGCACTCGTTCTAAAAGTATTAAATTTTTTACGTATAAGCTGCCATCTTCAAAAACATTTGAAAATAAGTTCACAATGAATTATCGTATCGATTCTTTCTCTATTTAAATTTGAGCTTGTGGAAAAATACTTGGAAATTGTAATGTATACTAACCATCTTCTAATTCTACAGGAAAGATTTCTGTAAACCTAAAAGAAGTGGGAAAATATTTGATAAATTTATTGATTAAATATATGTTTTGGTTATCTAAATTGTACAATAATGAACGTTGACATAAACAGGGAAAAAAGGGTAGCTAAGCAAGTAACGAGAAAACAAACATGACTGCAAATTTATACATTCTGATTTACAAATCTTAAGTGGAGAAAAGTTAACATAACGTCGAAACGCTTTGCTGCTTGCAGACAAAGAATTGATCACAATCAAAGCAAGAACATAGAAATAAAATTACTGAAGAAGCAAAATAGGATTTTTTTTTCTGCCAGAAGCATGTTACTCTCGAAAGGTGATTTGTACTTGGACTCTTGTTCATTAAACATTATTCTAAAAGACCTGAATAACTACATAAATTGAAAACAAAACTTTAGCCTAAACATTAACTCAACGTAAACATAATTAAAATTTGCTGTTGGATGAAAATAGCCTTGATAAGAGATGATAAGAATTATGAATCGAAAGACAATTTCTTAGCACCCAAAAGGTATAAATCTTTCGATACTTTCTTGGTAAAAAAAGACATAAGTCTACAAAATAAAGAAAAAAGGCTGTTGTAAGACGGAGCCGTGCAAAAAAGCTATTGTCGAAATTGATTTGAAAATCAATGTCTAGTTTGAGACATTTTTAGCGCTGTTAGGGGAAATGTATAATCTTGGGATAAGATTAAAGGTTTTTTATACTAAAAAGATTTTGAATAAGGCAAACGAGCATGATTGCAATAGTACTAACACATTAGTGACTTCTTCTTCATCTGGTGTGACAAAGACGATAACCCTTGGCATTCCTGATGTTAGCTGAAAGCATAAATTAGATAATGAAGGAGTTTCTTGCCGAAAGCTAATGATACTCATTTGGTATTAGATACATTGTGATACAGAGGTTAATTAATTTATAAATAGCTACATTATCAAATTTAGAGTGGTTCTGTATCAATCGCAATAACTGAAGCCAGTGCCTGTTTTGGGACAGCATCCTAAAGATTGTTTTTAAAAATGAATCCTAACAGCGAAATAGGGCGTTTATTAAGCACTTAATAATTGAGAATAGCTCCATAGCTTGATTTCAGCGTTGAGTACCCTCAAAGCAGCAACATTGGAAGTTTCATCAAATAATTCTAATGACGTCACTAATGTGGGGGTATCCACTCTTTCTATATCCACCTTAACGGACATTGCCATTTTAATAGTGTACGAACATTATACAGGTATTAACAGGCATATTGCATATAAAATTGCAAGTAAATGGAGAGGAATGTTTTTTGTAGAGATTGATTTTGAAATATATTTCTAAAAAGCAGACAAACCTCTTCTATATCAATAATACCATCATTATTGACATCCCAAAACTGAAAATTATCCCAGTAAGGTTGAGCCCTCTTTCTCCCTGAAATGACAATGTGAACATTTGATCTTTTAACAAGTAATTTATTGCTTATAGAATATGTACATAGCTTCTTTCTAGTTAAAGGTTGCATAAAGCAGCCGAAGGTTATAAAATAGGAAATATATTTAAAACAGGGGCTCGCTAAATTGTGATGCAACGGAACCAAGGCAGAGACTACGGACATTATATATTGGGGGAGGTTTAAAATTATGGTAGGGCATAAACTTGGCTTTTTGAAAATGATGTAGAGAACTGTCTCCTAAACATCCACCTTCCCATTTTGATGTTCATTAGGCTAAGGCTAAATAGCCGACAGAATTTTGCAAATTAACTCTTTTGCTTTGCAAAAAAAACATTTGAGCTAAAATCCTCAAGCTATGCATTGGCTGGTCCAAAACGAATGTCACAAGTATAAACAAATCCATAAAACTGATTTTTTATAAGCTTTGAATTATCAATTGTCTTACAGAGATATGAAGAGGGACAATCAAGCAGACTTTATATAACTAAGGTCAGTTACCTTCATTTTTAACGTAGACAAATTTTTTATCGAGTCCAGACTTTGCTTCACTTGTTATTAAATTTTGTTGCTTTGCTTTGTTCACCATATATTCAATTTCATCGTCATTAAGAAAATTTGGAATTTCTGCAAAATAAAAAATAAAACAATAAAGCCAGATAATTGTGCTTTATGCGTAATGTTGAATTTTTCTATTGTGTAGGATATTTTGTATCTTCTTCTTCAAAAAGGGATTTTATCCTTACAATGATGGTTTATTTCTTTTGAAGGAAAAATTGTTGATAGAGCAAATAAATTTTTACTGAGTAGAATTCATCAATTTGGAAGTTCTTCCACTATCAATAGTAATGAAAAGCGAAAGAAAATAATTGGCTAAAAATTATCAGATATTTTTCATTATAGGTTATGAGGGGATTTATAAAGCTACAAATTGTGTTTAATTCACATGTTTTTAGTTTTCATTAATCTGACTTTGACGGAAGGAAGTAGACTTAAAGGGCAATTCTTCTATCTGCAGTATAGTAGCTGCTAATAGGCAAGATACGAAATATTTACTCTTTTTATGCGGTCTTGAAATGGTGCTAGGGTAAGAAACTTAACCTATCTGGTCAACAGAATCACGTGACAGAAAAATTGACGTCAGCTGAAACCACTCTATTGTTTCAGATTCCAGCTTAGACCATATAGTGGGTAGCAAATTATGTCGAATCTGCTTCAGCTGCACATGAAAGGCCCATTTTAATAAAAAGCTACCAACTTTAAGTTCATCAACTACCATAGAGAATTACAATAGCATGCATCTCGCATTTTTATGCGAAATAACAGATATAAAGCCGTTCTTACACGGACAGATTTTGTCGAATTCAATAGTGTCGAATTTAGTTTTGCTTCAGTTTTGCTTCAGAATGCCCCTTTTACACGATCAGATTTTGTCGAATAAATAACAGTCAAACACATCATAAATTGTAGACAAAATGAAGAAGCAGGTTGCTGAAACTGCCATAGTTATAGCAATGGCTTTGAAAAGATTTCAAAATAAGAGGCAAAACCGTACAAAATGGACAAAAAATGGCTGAAACACCGTCCTATTTTGAAACATACTTTTCACTTTTTTAAGGGATTGTGCTTCACCAAAGGAAGTACTACATGAACTAGAATTCAGCAATTTTATGATCGTCAACTACCATAAATAATTGCAATAGCATGTATCTTGCATTTTTAAGCGAAGTTACAGTGCAACGTGGTACCTCTTTGTTAGCTGAGTAACTATGGAAACTATCTACCAGTTTCCAGGCTCCGTGTTTTTATAAACCATCCCGTTTGCTTTTATATCTGGCGCGAAAAAACGTGATACTCGGGTTGCTATGCAGACGCTGAAAGTGCTTTAGTGGAATGTTGTGTTGTCTATCTAACACATTTTCCAGCAGAAGCTGATGTTTTCCATCTAGTCGCACAAGCCCTTTTTTTGTTTAGTTTCGTGCGGACATAAACCAATAGCAAAAGTTTAGCAACAGCAAAATTAAATAGCCAAGTAGCAAAATTAAAACGAATTTAATGTGCGAAATGTGCTCACCAAACGTAAGAGGTCGCAAGGCTCTTGTGATCAAAGTAAGTGTTCTTCCATTACCAATATCAACCTTTTGTTCGTGTCCTACCTTTAAAAGCAAAAAAAATAGGTAGTTATTCTAATCCATTTGCTGTAATGTCCAACCTTCATATTTCAAATGCTCTTGGTTTTAAAGTGTCTAAAATTTGGCTCGTTGGCATTAAATATGTGAAATCTAATAATTCAGCTCTTTACCAATTAAAAGTCTTCAGTCTACAGAATCATTTCCTGAATGACCAAAAGTGAAATGTTTGAACTTTAGAGTTTGAAATGGTTTAATAAACGGTGCAAATTAAGATTTATCAAAGCACTTATTACCATGTTGCTTTGCCTTACCCTAAATCCTTGCAGTCTTGTTAATCCTCCATTTTCTGTTTCATCCGTGACATTTTCGGGTTTCTTGTCCTCTGTTGGTCTTTCTTCTCCCCTCTAAGCAAATTGATAAATTTTCAAGTTGCAAACTTGAGCAATCGGATCTATTTTTTAGAAATTCTGTTGCCAGAAGTGCAAAATAGAAATTCCCAGATAATTATTTCATAAATTATAAACTAAATTGAATCCCATAGTTTTTGCTAGGTTTTGTTAGAGTAAATTTTAAATAACCTAAATGTTCAATTAATCAAATAGAAGAAATTCACTGTTGATGTTTAAAAATGATCATTGTTAATAAACATAGTTTGTACGTAAGGCCTTTTCCAGCATCAAGCTTTTTCGAGTGATAAATGAAATATAACTTCAATATCAAGCTATTTGAATTAAAGCTTGACAATAAAAACAGCAACTTACTTGCAACGTAGCATTCTTCAGTTCCCTGACTTCTCGAACCAAATATAAAGAAATAAGAATTGATATGACGAATCCAAACGTTTCCAATTTGTTCATTGCTTCGATTTCTTCAAGCCTCTTTACTAAAGCTCTGCCCGTAGTATGCTTACATTAGATCAGGAAGATTGCCACGAGATGTTTATTGTTACGTCCGCGTCATACGTCACCGGTCGTGTTTTGAGCATTTGGTCTGCAATTGTTTAGTTTTCGGGATGTGTGAAAACATGCTAGGGCAACGGTGTGTTTCTAAAACAAAATTTTATTTGAATCAAGAAATGGGAGCTTTAGCGGTTAGACATAGAAATGCGAATATGCTTGACCAGATAAATAATTTCGAAGTAGCAAAAGTGAGAATCTTTTTTGTAGTGAGAATCTTTAGGTAAAGTTCTGCGTAAGATATGTTGTTAAATAAGTAAAGTGGAAATAGAAGAAATGCTTGTGAGACTCTTTAAGATGTTGTTTAGTTTAATCAGATTATGCTCTTTAAAAAAGTATCTGTATCTTAGAGTTTTACATTCTTTCCCGAATCAGTGAAGTGTCTCTCGGTGCCTTCAGTTTACGCGAAACCGTTCAAATGGCAAGATATTGAAAAAGGATAAATAGAGAATTTTTCATGCCCAATTTTGGTTTTACCTATCTGCTCTTCTGATCTACGCTTGAGATACTACGTAGATCACTACGTAGATCACTACGTAGATCACTACGTAGATCACTACGTGGATCACTACGTAGATCACTACGTAGATCACTACGTAGATCACTACGTGGATCACTACGTAGATCACTACGTAGATCACTACGTAGATCACTACGTGGATCACTACGTAGATCACTACGTAGATCACTACGTAGATCACTACGTGGATCACTACGTAGATCACTACGTAGATCACTACGTAGATCACTACGTGGATCACTACGTAGATCACTACGTAGATCACTACGTAGATCACTACGTGGATCACTACGTAGATCACTACGTAGATCACTACGTAGATCACTACGTGGATCACTACGTAGATCACTACGTAGATCACTACGTAGATCACTACGTGGATCACTACGTAGATCACTACGTAGATCACTACGTAGATCACTACGTGGATCACTACGTAGATCACTACGTAGATCACTACGTAGATCACTACGTAGATCACTACTACGTAGATCACTACGTAGATCATTACGTAGATCGGTCGCGTTACTACGTTTGCATGGCAAATAAATTGCTCCGAGAGCCTCATGCCCATCTCCCGTTGATATTATTATTCAAGCAATCTTGAAATCATTAAACTTTGAGAAGCAATGCTTTTTCATAACACAATTTCTTCTTACATCAAGATCAGCCAGTAAAACAGCCCGGGCTGATCAGAATTGATCATGTTGAATTTTTATGTCTGGTGGCTCCTTTGCACTTCATACAGAAACGATTTCAGTCTCTTCTTGCCTCTGCGAAAGATTCTAGGCACATTCTCGTTATCCCTACAACATTACCAGGTCAACAAATGCTTTTTCAGTTTTTCATTGCCATTCGCTTTACACAGGACATGAATGAGAAAACCTGCTTTGAATTTAGACAGATAAGATAGAACTTGCTCAAAAATCAAGGGCAATACGATCTCATTAGAATCTTCAATTAGTTCTAATTACTTCTCTAACTAAAGCTCTTATGTAGTTGAACTTGATGGACAAAATACATCATTATTATTTGATAAAAACATACTTACATGGCCATTCGTTACTAAATGGTTTAAGCAATATTTTTGCTAGTTAATAAAATCTAAAGAGCAGTACTAACGAAATCTATATTATTCTACTTTCTGATCACGTATATTTCAACAACGAAAAAATTTTCAAAAAGGAAAATATATTCTGTTTCTCCAGTTTCAATAACTGCTTGTTCAATAGTTATCGCTTTCTGTTATCTCATAATCGAAACTAACTTCTTATCATAATTGGCATAGAGAGACATTATACTTGGCAGATAATGCTAGGCCTGATTTGGAATACTTTTTTAATTAAAATACTGTGAATATAATCGTGGGCCAAAGTCCAACTTGCGTTGCATGGTAAACTCAGCAAAGAGCCAACAAAGTGTTACTACTTTTAGCTTCTAGTCAATCTTTGTGAGCATGTTACTAACAGATCTAATATATCTTAGAGATATAAAGCTCGCTATTGTCTTCACTGTCAAAAGTTCTTAGCTGTACAGACTCGGAAGAACTTTGTGGTTCTTGTATGGAGCTGTCAGCCAAATATTGCTGATCCATTTTTCTCCCTTGATTACGTCACAGCCACCGTGCAAGCTTAACTCGTCCCGTGCCCCTAGATAGTTTGACTCGGTGTCGACGTAGTGGTTGTACCAGAAAAGCGCTGTCCCCTTCTTTGGTTTCACCACCAGGTTAGCATCTTTACATCGATTTGATAGGTTGAGCCTGTCCATTGATATCTAGAAAATGTATTATATATTATTTATTTACATGCAGTATTCACGAGTCAAGTCACAGACCATAGTTTTTGTCAAGAAGGATACTCGAATTTTACAACATTCCTTTTTCTCTTAATGTGTTTCCATAGCATGAATTTACCTAAAAATGTTTGCTTCACAACATATCTCTTTTACAGGAATCTGCAAACCTTCCTTGCGGTACCTTAGGTGAATTAGATTTCGTGGTGTATTATAATTCGCGCATACTTGAATTCGCGCGTACTTGAATTCGCGCATTTTAAATTCGCGCACAAATCTTTCATATTTTCGCGCAGCTTTGAATTCGCGCACACGAGAAAGTAAACAGGGTGATACAACAATTCAGATCAAAAGAAATTATATTTCTGAACGTTTCTCTTGACTAAAAGTAACCTTTTTATAAGAACTGGTCTTCATACTGGCGCTCTTTTGCTCAGAAATCTATAATCCCAGCCCTCTCAAACTCTTTGACAGCTATATCTGGTCGGTTTTGCATGCGGTCATAAAAGGATATCAACCAATTTGCCTATATTGGCTTCAAAATACTGATTTTCAAGTCTACTTTGACTTGTTCTGCTCCACAACCATTTTGAATTTGCTGCTGGACAAACCAGTTTTGGGCCTCCTTACGAAGAAACGCCTTGCAACTTCTGTTCACTGTGAGATCAAGGGGCTGGTAAGTATGGGTCATTTTGTCTGGCACTGGAACCATCTTTTCGTTATTTTTAAGCACCAACTGCTTCACATTTTCAGTCCATTGGCCCTTGAAAACATCGGCTAGCAAATCCACTCTTGATTTTTTTCTCAGTTGTAGCTCTTCTCTCTCCTTTTCTACATTTGGCATTAAAATGTTCAGCACCCTTGCTTTGGATTTCTCTTCATTGGACCATAGGTTCTCTGTGTGTGATGTGAAATTCCTTTGGAAAGGTGTAGTTCGGATGACAACAATCAGTTTTTTCTTGATAAATCATCTGCATCGACAAGAAGTTTTTACTTAAGCTAATTACAAACGTACCCATTATTTGTCTTTTGCCTGTCGAATTTGTTATGGGAATCGATTTTTTTTAACCTTTCTTTGTCATCGTATATTGAGAAACAAGAAACAATTAAAGGGCTGTTTGGTCCAAGTTTTTAATTAAATCGTCTGCTATTTTATGCGCATTCACAATATCAAATTTGGCCTGATGGAAAGAAAACCCAACTCTAAGGAGACCCGGAGCAATTGGTGCCTTTGATGTAGTTGCTTTTCTTTTGCTGTAGCCAAGTCGACGAAGTATAGACTGGGCCCAACTTTTGCTAAAATCGATGTGGCCACCGTTTTCTTTCAAAAGGGTTCTGTCATTTGTGAGTGCTATCCCTCTTGCTATCGAGACTGCCATGCTGAAATCGACTGCAGTTCTTGATGCACGCATGCTCTGTATCATGGCGAGGACTTCTTTTGTCGATTTCTTCAGGGGCAATAGTTTTTCCCCGTGCTATTTTTGGGCAAGATTTCCAAGTCATCAGGTGTAAAGCTTTTTATAGATTCTTTATATGGTTTTATCATGCTCCTCACTGTTGATTCTGGAACAGAAAATTTTCTTGCTGTTGGATGAATACCATAAACGATGCCCCACTTAGCAATTCAGCTCGTTTCGATTCGTCGTAATCACCATATTTATTTCTCTTTCTCTTTATCGATGTCGACGCAGCTTTCGTAATCTCAACTTCAACTGATTGTGTCTAAAAACATTTCACATATTGAGTACTCTCGTCTTGATAAAAGAAAAAGCAAATCCTTACCTCACGCTCACTGAGACTATTCTCAGCTGCAGATATTGTTACTTTTTCTTTAGGTACTCTATCAAAATACTTGAACATTGACCGTTTTGTAAAGATAAATATTGCAGCTATTAGTGCAAGCAATGTGAACGACGTTTATCAATAACCAGAAGAGGCAAGTGAGTGACCCAACAAAATACCGTTGTTTGAAATACAGTGCTTTCGTTTGCAACAAAAGTCTAGAATGCTCAGTTTTTTGTGTATGAAAGCTACCCTGGCTGGAAACAAGCTGAGAGCGTGGCTCTGTGTAAAACATGTGACGGCGAAGAAGTGTACTCCATCGATGACAATGATGATGAGGATGATATGGAATTAGAAGGAGATAATGGTACTACAGAATTGATAGAAAATAGAAAGCAGTTTGAGGTAATATGTGGATCTCGTGGTTTTCACCAATACAGAAGATTTTGGACGAAAAACTTGACGAAAAACTAGAAGCCGTACATGAAAGAGGCAATGTTTACGATCCTTATGCAATGTCTTTGCGTAAGACAAGAAGGACACGATCGACGGACATCGCGTAATCGGGCATTTGCCAAGGGAGATAAGCCGCTTTTCGAAGTTTTATTACGACTATGGGGGAGGGGGGGGGGGATGGAGGCTTTTGTATCAAGCATAGCCATTAGAAAGTCTCCAATACCACAGAAGGGTCTGGAAATACTGAATGTCTTGAAGATTTTTAAATCTAAAGCACCAGGCAGAATTTTCGACATTATGAAGGAGAAAGTAGACTCGTACTATACCGAACAGGATCAAATTTAATTCAACAACCAATATTTTAGTGATACTGACATTTAAAGTAATAAAAAAGTTCGTTATTTAACAGAAAACATAGCGTAAATACTTTTTCGTTGAATTTATGACGATATTTTGCCTTTGCATTATGCGCAT